TGCACCGACTAGGACTGGATCGTGAGACCAATGTGTGCCTGTACACACTGGAACCACCACTGGCAGTGTGGCTCAAGGGTCAGCAACAGCTTTCCTGGCTTATGGGCCATTTTAGAGAACAAACAGGAATGCTTTCGTTTGCTGTGTCAGTTGCCGTGAGTGTCGCTCTGTGTTTTTGCATGGGAGCTGACCTTTGCCTTAAGGGCTGTTTATCATTGCCTCTGCACCTGAACTCTGGATGCACAAAGGTGAATTTTATGGGGCTTCGTGCAGACTGGCTCTGGGGCAGCTGCAAAGGACAAGCCTCGTATTATTAGCTTTTCCAAGGCCGAATGCATTGTTCAGTGTGGCTGTTTTGCCCATTATTATACTGCATGCGTATCCTGCCTTTCTTCCTCTTGTGAGGAATCCAAGGCAGCTTACACAGCTCCATTTTATCCTCACAACAACAACCCTGTGTAGTAGGTTGGGCTGAATTGCTGACTGGCCCCCAGTTACCCGGTGAGCTTCGTGACTGAGTGGAAGCTGGGGGGCAGCCCTCCCAGGTTCCCAGCCCTTTAAGAGAAGTGTTCTTGTTTTCTGCTTCTTGACTTGGATGATGATGACGCAATAATAAAACTGTTCATGCAACCTTCCTGGCTCCACTCTAGCTTTCTGCTTCATGGAGTTCCGTAAAGTGCCCAAATAAGAGCTTGGGCTTCCCCAGTCGGCTTTGTTCCCCTGAAGGAAGAAAAGTGAAGCCAAGGCCCCCACTGGGTCCTTCTCACATAAGGCCTTGCATATTTATTTTTTTATTAGATTTATTTAAAGGCCACCTATTAGCATCATGCTCTCTGGGTGGCCATTACAATATAAAATCAACAAATAACATTAATAAAGCATATTATAAGCAGAAGAAAATCATAATAAAATAAACAAAGCATACATTAATGCAGTTAAAAACTTGAGCTTTGATATAAATAATCTAGATGTTGCCAAAGATGTACCAGGAAAGGAAAGCTTTTGCCAGGCAGCTGAAACTCAGCAAAGGTAGGCACCTGGAAAATCTCTGGCAGCAGAATGTTCCATAATCGCAGTGCTACCACAGAAAAGGCCTCCCCGTTAGCCTCCTTGGGGAGAGGAACTCGTAGGAAGACCCCAGCCCAAGATTTCGGCCAATGGGCAGGAATACATGGCGTAAGGTGCTCCTTCGGATACTGTGGTCCCAAGCCATTTAGGGCTTTGTATGTCATAGTTAAAACCTTGCATTTGGCCTGCACAGAAAGAAGCAGCCAGCGCAGGTGGTGAAGGACCTGCACTACCTGAGATAATGTTCATTAGAACCAGTACTCGTTAGCAGCCGCACTGCCCTGTTCTGGACCATTTGAAGAGTCCGGACTGTCTTCAAGGGAAGCCCCATGTATAGTCCATTACAGTAGTCCAGTGTATCAGTATTCCCTTATGTTCTGGAATATTTTGTACCCATTTTTCACAAGGAAGCCAATGTTCCTTGTAGCTGTGAGAGTTCTCCAGAGGTCTCCCGCTTCACTTTTCTTTCTGTGGTGAGCTAGTTTAAAACGTTTCATTATAGATGGCCAGTGTCCCCAGTTCATTCTCCGAGTGCCAGTGATTATGCACCCAAACAGCATCATTAAAGTACAGGAACATTATTGGCATGCTAAGGGAAACCCCAAAGTATGATGAGGTAAAACAATCTTAATGGGGCATCCTTCTCTACCTCGCCTGGTAAACAGATACAATGAGGCTTTAGCATTCTCAGCAGCTGGGAGTTGGGAATGGGAGTAGAATTCCAGGGATCCCGAAAGTGCTTGGCTGGCTGGAGCCTTGAGCAAGGATGCCCCGCAACGCACCAGTTTGTGGGACTTTCCATTTGTAATCAGCCTGTGTATGAATGGATCCCTTTGTCGAAGGGGCAGGGTGGCAACCCTGCTCCAGAAAACCCCTATTTGTTGATTCTTGTTTTATGCCTAACTATGAATGGATAATAAATAGAGTTATAGAATAGTAGAATTGGAAGGGGTCTATAAGGCTATCGGATCCAACTCCCTTTAGCTTGCTTTAACTGCAGACTTGATGGAACCACTAACAGGTGGTGCCTACAGAATCAGTCTGTGGCAGATGGCTGCCCAACTGCCTTTTGAATGCTTCCAGTGTGGGGGAGCCCATGGCCTCCCCAGGGAAGAGTTTCCACAGCAGTACTGCTCTAATAACCAGGAAATTTTTCTGATGGCCAGCCGGAATCTGGCTTCCTGCAGCGTGAGCCAGTTATTCCGTGTCCTGCACTCAGGAATGATGGTGAAGAGGTCCTGCCCTTCCTCTTTGTGACAGCCTTTCAAGGACTTGTAGAGTCCTGTCATATCTCTTCTCTTCTCTTCTCTTCTCTTCTCTTCTCTTCTCTTCTCTTCTCTTCTCTTCTCTTCTCTTCTCTTCTCAAGGCTAAACATGCCCGGTTCTTTCAATCTCTCCTCAGAGCGGTGTTTCTAGTCCCTGCATCTTTCTTGCTCTTTGTCCCCTCCAGTTTGCCTGCATCTTTCTTAAAGGCTGGTACCCAGCACTGAACACAGTGCTCAAGACCAGGCCTAACTACTGTAACTATTGCGGAATCGAAGAGAGCCAGTACCTAATATGATGTGGAAGCTTTACTTTTGTTAATGCGGCCTGGTATCGCATTTGCCCTCTTAGCAGCTGCATCACATAATGGATTCATATTCAGCTTGTGATCTATAACAATTCCAAGATCCTTCTCACTTGCACTATTGTTGAGCCAAGTATCTGCCATCTCGTAACAATGCCTATGGTTCCTTTTTCTTAGGTGCAGATCTTGCCGTTTGCCCCTGTGGAGTTTCTATTTATTGTTTTCAGCCCAGCACTCCAGCCTGTCAAGGTCCCTTTGAATTTTGCTTCCAGGGTATTAGCCATTCCACCAAATGTTGTGTCATTTGCAGATATGGTCATTGTTCCTGTATCTCTCCATCCAGGTCATTGAAGATAAAGAGTACTGGGCCCTGTGGGACCCCGCATGTTGTCGCTCCCCAGCCTGAGAAGGTGCGATTGATGAGCACTCTCTAGGTAGGCAGCTGTGAATCGACCTGTTCCATCAAGCTCTCTTTTAGCCAGTTGGCTGAGCAGAATATCATGGGGCACTTTCTGTGCCAAAATCTACCTCTGTTATGTGCCCTGCATTCCTCACCAGTTATTTACCTGATCAAAAAACAAGATCAGATTCATCTGGCCAGACTTGTTCTTGAGAAACCCATGTTGGCCTCTCATTATCACTGCACTGTTTTCACGGTATTTGCTGTGCCAGAGTTTTCCCAGGGATTGATTTCAGACTAACTGGTCTGTAGTTCCCAGGATCCTTTTTAAACCCTTTTGAAGGCAGGGACAACATACACTCTTCTCGTACTTCTTCCATGGTCTCAAAGATAATAGTGGTTCTGAGAGTTCTTCTGCTAATCCTTTATTACAGCAGTTTATCAGGCTGTGGAGATTTCCTTCAAAGTCCTTTTTTTCTGTCTTTATTACACAGGTTCCCTTGTAATTCTTCCTCTGCAGGCTGTCCTCATCCTCCAGGTCTTATCCTCCAGTGATAAACCAGGCTTGCCTCCCTCTATGCCCTGATACTCCTTTGCACCCGTTTTTCAGTGATGAGTATAAATGTACAGCCAAGAGGTTTTGGGAAGTGTCATCACCTTGGATTTAACAGGGGCTCTGCTACCAGTTTTCTTTGTTGCATGTTTGCCAAAGACATGGAGTAAAGGGGGGTTTTGATGTGTCGCTGAGTTGTTACAGGGCTATTCTACACATCTAGCTGGCAATAAATCCCATTAAATCCAGTGGGACTTCCTGTTGAGTAGACATTTTTATTTAGCATTATTTCTGTGCCAGAGTTGTTGAATTAACAGTTTGGATAAACTTGGGCCTTAACAACAATTCACTGCATTGTCAGTCAGTGCAAATGCAGTAGGGTACATGCCTTCATGTATTGGTCAGATCAGGGTGGGAGGAAAAGGATTCCATTTTTAACTTGTCCAGTCAACGAACAAAATACTATTCCTTTGCCATTTAAGCGTCTCAGTTTTTCAGAACCTGGGCTGAAACTAGTAGCATCAATGGAGTCACCTGTGGCTGTTCCCTACATACATCCTTTTGGTGCAAGTGTTCAGTGAGAGCCATTTTGGTGTAGCGGCCAGTGCTGGACTTGCCCTGGGAGATTCAGCTTCTAGTCTCCCCTCAGCCATGAAGCTCAGTCACAGGTGCTCAGCCAGACCCATTGCATAGGGTTGTTATTTCGAGGATAAAATGCAGAAACCTTTTAAACTGCTTTGGATTCCTTGCAAGAGGAAGAAAGGCATACATTTAATCCAATACTAATAGTATCCCATCTTCTATTTTGGGACTCACTGCAGCGTACCAGGGAATCTCCCACGGTCTGCCATCCAGACACTGATTAAATCCAGACCTCCTTTGCTACAGCAAAGGAACTGCTGTCGTTCACCTTCACACCATGCCTTCAGACACGCTACCCTTTAATGTGGTTTTATTTATTGTTGTAAGCCGCCCCGAGGCTTCGGTGAATGGGGCGGCATAAAAATGTTTTAATAAATAAAAATAAATAAATGATGCGTTTGAAACATGGTGCTGAAGGAAAGCTTTGTGAATACCCTGGACCTAAAGAAAGATAAACAGGTGGGCCCTGGATCAAATCAAGCCAGAGCTTTCTATAGGAGCAAAAATGACAAAGCCGAGGCATTTGTGTCATCCTTTGGACACAACATGAGAAAGCAAGACTCACTGGAGAAGACCATCATGCTAGGGAAAGTCAAAGGCAGAAGAGGAAAAAAGACCAAATGAGACATGGATGGACTGCATGAAGGAAGCCACAGGCCTGAATTTAGCACGGCTGAGCAGGGCTGTCCAGGATGGGGCATTTTGGATGTCGAATTTAGCACGGCTGAGCAGGGCTGTCCAGGATGGGGCATTTTGGATGTCGAATTTAGCACGGCTGAGCAGGGCTGTCCAGGATGGGACATTTGGGGTTGCCCTAAGAATGAAAGCTCGATGGTTCGATGGCAGAAGCTTCCAAGCTGGATTGGGAACACGGTGGAAGGGTAAGCAAACCTTAAACCTTCTTGCCAGCTTACTCCTCTCCCCATATCAGCCCCTTCTTTAAAAACCCCTCCTGGGTGACCCCTCTTCTTTTGCCCTTTGTAGTTTGAAGTTGATTTTTTTTTTTTTTTGTGGCGGGGAGGTTTACATTGTATATATGTATCTAAGTGTGTTTTAAAATATTTGTGTATGTAAATGGCTAAGAGGTGTTGCCATATTAAGTGGTATATCAGTTTTACTAATAAATTAAGAATTGTGGAACGAACAATGTGTGATGCTAAGCATGTAACTTAGGGTTATATATATACTTTTAATATATACATATACATTAATGTATACTTTTACATATGCAAATGCAAGCTCCTGGGGGGCTGGTCAGGATCAGAACTGGGGCAGACAGAGCAGAAATACCGATCTGCTTTTGTTTTTCAATTCTTCCAGCACAGAAACCAGTTTGATAGGATTGTACTTGGAGTGGACCTGTTATGCTACACTGCGTAACAGAGCAGCTTGCCAGACTGTGCGTACGCTTTGTGCATTTAATACGTGGGTCGAACCCTTGTTTCCTGCAGAGCCCTGGATGTTTGTGACCCCCACTTCCCAAAGAAAAGATGGTTCTGCTACGGCAGTTTAGGCTTCTTCTCTGGAAGAACTACATCTTGCAGGTAAGTCACGTGCTGTAAGCCACCTAGAGAACCTCGGGATGAGGCAGCAAACAAATTAGCAGAAAGTGGTCTGGATAGAAAGATGGAAAAGCTATTAGGTGAATCCAAAATTGGCTGCTCAATCAGACACGAAGCGTGCTGATCAATCACACCTTCTTAAACTGGAGGGGGGTAACTCATGACGTGCTGTGGGGTTCAGTCCTGGGCCCAGTGCTCTTCAACATCTTTATTAATGATTTCGATGTGGAAGTACAGGAAAAGATAATCACATTTGCAGACAATACAAAGTTGCGTGGAGTAGCGAACACCCTAGAAGACAGAATGAAGATCCAAAGTGATCTTGATACATCTGAACGTTGGGCTGAAAGCAACAGAATGAGATTCAATAAGGACAAGTAAAAAGAAATAAGCATAACATTTGAAACCACCAGCACCAACAATAGGGACAAGTACCAAGTCCTCCACCTAGGAAAAGAAACCACGTGCATTGATACAAGACGGGGACTGCGTGGCCACCAAGCCATCAATGGTTCCAGGAATGAAATGTAACTCTGAGGAGGCCCAGAAGGTCAGAATGGGATCCCAGGCAGGCTGATGGGCCTGTGGGTCTGCACTCGTGTTTGAATTAAGAAACAGTCCCAATAAATAAGTTAACATATAGAACAAAATAGGAAGGTGGCAATAGAAACTGGAGATGTAAACTTTGGACCTCTTGTCTGCTTTCAGCTTCATCTGTGCTCCCATATCCCTCTTCTCAGGTTGTTAGCATACTTCTGGAATTATTATTATTATTATTATTATTATTATTATTATTATTATAACATTTCTACCTTTGTTTAACTCCTTAACTTAATTACCTTTGTTTAACTCCTTAACTGGAACTGCCATGCCGAAAACTAGTTCCTTTGCTTCTGACTTAAGGTGGAATGCAGACAGCTGCAAGAAGGGATCTGGGCCTTTTTTATTCCCTGCAGAAAACAGGGTTTTCTTCCCCCATCCAACCCTTTCCCCTTACCGTTCCCCTCTGCACCCTACACCGTGTTTAAAGAGCAGGAAAAGTCTGAGGTACCCGGCCATGAATTTGAACATGATCCGTCCTACAGAAAGAAAGTGAAGTAGAGAAATCCCTGCAGACTGTTCTAAGTAAAATGTTTGCTCTGGAGTAACTTGTTTGAGGCTTTGATCTTATGAATGCAATCAACAGGGAGCTGATGTGGGCCCAGGGGTTTTTTCCAATTTAGTCACCAATGATTTATTCCCAGATAATTAAAGGGAAGTCCTGGAAAGTTTGTCCACTGATGTAATCCAGTGATCCCATGCCCAGATTAATTTCTCAGATCTCCTCCCAGGTACCAACCGTGGGTGGTAAATGAATCTTGCATTAAAAAACAAAGAGCTGTGAAGGAACGAGCACCTTGTAGGTCACAGGGTGGTGACTTATACCTGCGTATCAGAGATTCCACTTTGACTATCTGATGTTTTATGACTCGATAATGTCAGCGGGCCAAGGATGGCTCGGTTGCATTATCTTGCACTGAACTGAACTTCCTTGGTTTGCTCTGCAGAAACGCCAGATTTTGGTCACCATCATAGAGATCTGCCTGCCACTGCTGTTTGCTGCAATCCTCATCGCAATTCGCCATCGAGTCCACTCAGTCAGCCACCCCAATGCCAGCATCTACAACACCGTACCGGTGGATCAGTTGCCGGATTTCTTCCATTACTGGCACCCAGGTGGTCCCTGGGAGCTGGCCTACGTCCCTGCCAACAACACAGCTGTGAAGAGCATTGTCGAGACCGTGCAGGAGATGCTGGATGTCGACATCAAAGGTGAGAAGCTGATTGTGGCTGGCAGATGCAGCTGTCGAGAGGCCCACAGGGCACGACATGTGCATGTGCTGATTTGCAGTCTGGGGCTCTGTGCATGTTCTTAAAGGCGCCTGTGTCCGGAGGACTTCCTTAATTGCAAAAAGGAATTTAAAGATGGGAGAAGGAAGGCATTTGATATCAGAAAGAAAAGTCGGCCAGAACGATTGCAGAGTGAGGGGGCAGCAGGAGGTGAAGCCCATGAGAGCAAAAGGCCAGGTAATCCCGTGGGATTGGAGGCAACAAAGCTCCTGCACCTTTACCTACAGAGCGAGTGCTTATGGGCACCAGAGTGATGGGACAGGCGGCCTCCCAGAGGCTCGGGCTCCAAAGGAAAGCTTTGGGGCTCCTCTTTAACACTGCCTCTGTACGGTCTGTCTCCCGAGCGGAGCCCCTTGTGCTTTAGCACAGGAGTGATCCTCCTTCACCAAAGGGCCAGAGTCCATTTTGGAGAAGGCTTCCAGAGCCGCGTTCCAGTGGAAGGTGGCAGGGTCAGAGGCAGAAGGGGACCAGCACGACCCAAACGTCAGTTGTGGCCTGAAGCTCTTGTGGACAGCGATTAAACTTCTGAGTTGGATGGTGTAACGTGGTGTCACGCGACCGGCCTTTTCCACAGCGGCACCCCATCCGTGAGGTTTTCCTGGCGCCAACACTATATTCTTTTCGGCGCCAGGTAAAAACCTTTTTATTTACCCAACATTTTAACATTTAAAATTTTAACAGCTTTTATTGTCATGCTTGGTCACATTCTACCTTATTTTATTGCATTGTGTTGGTTGTGCCTTTTCTGTTTATTTAGTATTTGTTCAATTATGTTGTAAGCTGTCCTGAGATGCTGTTAAGGACGGGGCAGAAATGCTATAAACAAACAAACAGCAGGGGGTTGGACCTGATGGCCTTCATGGCCCCTTCCAACTCTACTATTCTGTGATTCTATGATTCTAAACTTAAGGAGGGGCTTTACAATGGGGCAAAAACGGCACAAAATCTGGGAAGCCACCTAATACTTGGTGGCTTGAAGAGAAGACATGAGGTCAAAGGAGGAGCTGGGGCATCTGGGGAACCTCTGGAGGCCCAGATGAGGCTGCTAGGCTGTGACTCCACATTTCTGTTTTTATGGAGCGTGAACCAGGAAGCCTGGAAGGCCACAGGAAAGCAACATAAATGTTGTGCCTAGAATTCATTAAGAAAACTAGACATTATAAAAGGGGCACGGAAACCGGAGAGGGGGAAGCGAGGGCCTCTCCCCATTGCACCCCCAGGACACGACATTTTTCCTTATTTAATGTATATACATCTTTCTTCAGTAGGGTTACGATTCACATCTTCTGCCTATTAAATATTTCTGCATAAAAATGTCCCACACCATAAAATAAATATGGGGCGCAGCTGTAGCTACAATGCAGTTGGTGCTGCAGTTAGAATTCAAGTGAGAGAGTGCTGTGCATCGGCGACAAGCCACGGTTAAAGCCAATGGAACCTGAATCTCAAGGGAGAGCTTCGCGGGGGGGGGGCAGCTACTAAAAAGGCCCTGTCCCATGTGCTCACCAAACCTGGCTCTTTAGGTGGTAGAATGAAGAATGGAGCCTTTGGTTGTGGTCACGAATTATGGGGCAGGGTCGTATGGCAGGGGGAAAGCCTTCAAATATCCGGAAAACTGCACGGCATTTGGCTAGCCACTCCTGGAAGCCACATTTTTAATTAGATGGCTCCTAGGTCTGGGTCCAGCAGGGCGGGTATTTTTACATTCTGTGTCTGGATGAGAAAGGTGTCCCTCCTTTTCCTTGTGTGACTTTCGCTTTCCTTGCAGCTCACGGTTTTCTCTCTGAGAAAGACTTTGAGGACTACGTCCGGTTTGATAACCGCTCTGGCAACGTCCTGGCTGGCCTTGTGCTTGAGCACTGCTTCCCCCACAGCCGGGAACCCCTGCCGCTCCAGGTGAGGGTCTCTCTGGGCCATCCTGCCCGAGGCTTCCCCGCGTGGAGGGGTGGCAGTCTCTTAGCCAGGGCCGGGGAGCACCCTTGGGCAGATTCCTTTTCCAAATGGAAGCCTGCAGGCCTCTCAACGTGCAACAAACTGTTGAAGCCCATTGGCAGGAGAATACCAGGACCCCAGTGCGACACGACAGCTCTGCTGCTGAACTGGCACTTGGTAGCCTGGGTGACGCTGAGCTGGTCTTGATTCTCGGCCTAAGCTACTTCACAGCGTTGTTGTGAGGATGAAATGCGGAGTAAGGGGAGGATTATGTAATCTGCCTGGGCTCCTTGCAGGAAGAAGGGCAGGATATAGAAATACTGCATGAATGAAATCAGTGACATTCAGCTGTTGCATTAAGGAGCGTCTTTGTAGCACCTCTTACTGTTCCTACACCTTCTCTCAAGCAACAGTTTTGGACTGAGCTCGCAAGAACTCCTCCTCTTTTTTGGTTGCTGTCCTTAACTAGGTTGGGCCACGCTCCTAGGGAGTTACAAAGGGGCAGGTGAAAAGTCGGATGCAGCTTCATTTGGCACACAGACCTGCCTGCCCCCTTCTCTGAACTAGCTGATTTGGGATGGTTCTGTTGCAGAATGTAGGAAGAGGTGCTTCTAGAAGATCAGTGTTAAGACAGAGACTGCTCTGATGTCTTCAGTGCCCTGAAAGTCGTTCACTGGGTGCAGCTTTGCTGTCCTGACAACAAACATCCTGGAACACCATGAACACGTACACAAATCCTTCCTGCCACATGGAAAACGTTAGCTTGTTTGCAGTAAAGAGCCCCGTGGCAGGGAAAATGAGTATTCCTTTGCGGTGCATGTGTGTGTCAGTGTCTCTGTGTGCAGCATAATTTCTGCCCGGCATTTTCTGTAACTATTCCATGCATCTGATTCACAAAAGCTCCTGCCACAGCAAACCACTCTGCACTTGCCTGATTTTTTTCTCAGAATGTCTGGGTTCTTTACAATCATGTCACACACATTCTTCCTGGCCAGAGCCGGAATTGTAACTGGCTGGATAGAAAAGAGCCAGTCGGCTTCCTGATAACCATTCTAGAATAATAATTGGCTGCTTCACATAGTGTCCATTTGCTACTCTGCACTTTATCATGGGTGACGCACGGCCGACAGTGTAGACTGCTCCCATCGAGATACATTGACTGCTTCCAGATGTTCTTATCTTGGCTTCATAAGATGTGAAATATGTCAGAGTTCTGCCCACAGACCCTTTCCTTCTCCCTTAGAGAGAGCTGGCAAACAAACGGGGGCATCTTCCGTTTAATAGAATTCCCCGTTTCATCTGGACTGGGAAACTCAGAGGAAGCCGCAGTTGGAAGCTGGCGTAGACTGCTCTGACGCTGTTAGCTGCAGTTTCCCGTTTTAGAAGACACAGGAGCTCTTTTTTCCTATTAGGACTTTCTGATTTGTTTGCTGGGTTGTGGGGAGAGGAAACACGTGCAGGCATAAGGCTTGTTTGCATAGAAGTTTCTTAAGCCAAGACGTGATCGCCCGAGCTTTCCCATGGCCTTGACATGAAGAGAGGGGATGGGGAAATTGTGTGTGTGGTATTTGGTCTGTTCCACACTTCCCAACGAGATGCACTTGATCCCATGCGGGGGTTCTCCTGGTTGGACCAGTGCTCAAATTATGGGGGGTGTGGTATGAGATCCGCAGCAAACCCCACAAAGCCCTGATTCTCTCCTCTCACCCCTATTTTTAACCCAAGTGTGGCTCCCATATATTCTTCTGAAAATGGGGCTGGGGGAGAGAATCAGGGTACGGGAGGGTCACATCCCTCCCAAATACGTACGGTAAGGAGGCCAGGCCCTCTCTGCCCCAGCTCCCTGTCATTTAGGCATGGGGTCAGGCAAGTAGCCAGCGGGAAAGAACCAGGCAACCGGGGATCTCTGCATGTGGCTCTTGGATTTGGGCACTTGCTTGGTCCTGGGGGATGTTGGCACACGATTAGAAGTGGAGTGCATTGAGCTTAAAGACTAAAACTGAACCGGAAGACAAAACACGCTACCTCGCCACTGGCAATCAGCCTGCAGCAGCCCTTCAGTCAGTGCCCTGCCTTGGAGGGATGCCATTTCCAGCTCGTTCACCCGAAGGCCCTCCTCTCGCGCCGCGGCTCCTGGATGGGGTGTTTTGGCGATGCCACGTCTTTTGCAATCGCTCCTCTCTCTCTCCCCTCGCCCCATCTCTTGTAGGTCAGTTACAAGCTACGTTTCAAATACAGCCCTAGAAATGCCCCTCCGGCAGAGCAGACGGTACTGAACCCCAACCGGGACCGAGACTGGCACACCAGCTACCTCTTCCCACTGCTGCAGCTGCCGGGCCCCCGGGAACCCAGCTATCATGACGGCGGAACGCCAGGTGAGTACCACCTCGCCTGCATCTTCCTTCATGTGGAGAGGTGACCACTTTCTGGCTGGGATGTGGAAACATGGGCAGCTCCCTTGCTTACTGTAGTCGATTACCGTTGCTGCTGCTGCTGCTGTTCTTCTGTTCCTATTGCACATTTTCCCTTCTTGGAAAGAACCCAGTGTGGCTTCTGGGCCCTCCTGTTCTCACAACGCCTCTGTGTGGCAGGCTAGGCTGAAGCTGTGGCTGAACCAAAGTCTCCCAGTGAGTGCAAGGACGCGTAGGGGACTAAAACTGGCGCCTTTAGTCCCAGTCTAACTTTCTAACACCATCCTGCACTGGCTCTCACACTGTAGAAAGTTTCGGAATGTCACATCTGAGTCCAGATTGATGGGTGATGCATGTAAGATCAGAAAAAGGGTGGTGCTGCTATGTTTCAGGGTGTTCAGAGAGGCTTTCCCTGTGCAGACTCATTTCCAGAATTTTTAATGGAAGGTCCAGCTGTTGTCATCTTCCATTTGTAAACTTCCCACTTCTTTCATCTTTTTTCTTACCAGAAAAAAATCTGTTAAGGAAGAAAACGAAACCTCCCACGACAGCAGGGGTTGGACCCGATGGCCTTCATGGCCCCCTCCAACTCTACTGTTCTGTGAAAAGACAGAATAGCTCCCGAGCGCCTTTTGAGGGTTAGCGATAGGAGACTTCCCCTGGGAAACACCCTTAAACTGTGATGCAGGGAGGGCTCCGGTTGTTTGTCACATGGACAGTTTGCTCAGTTACTTGCATCACTTGTCATTGTTCTGATGGCAGAATCACGGAATCTATTTTGTGCTTGGCTCATGCTGTGCCGTGCCATAAGTTCTGGATGTGTGTTAGGAGCGAAGGGCCCCGGGGCTGGATGACATTGAATCCCATCCAATACCAGTTCAGTGCTCTAACCACTACACATCACTGGTCAGATGGTCTAGACCAGTGCTGTCTACTCCAGTGGAAAACAGTTCTGCAGGGCCACAGACGGGGGACCTGCCGCCTGGCTGGGGCCACTGACACAAGCCTGCTGGAGATGCTCCTCCTCGTCGTCGTGGCAGCTGAGCCGTTCCCCTGCCCCTGGCTTGGGCCCGGGCAGTGGTGGTGGTGGCAGGAGGAGGAGGAGCTGCCCTGTACGCAGGTGGGCAGCAGCAAGCGGTGGAAGTGGAAGAGAAGGTGAGAGGCACACTGGGAAGGTAGACCTTTTGAGGGAGGGGACCTGTGGACCGTAGTCCCGCTGACACCTGGGCTGGGCACCGGTGGGAGCCCTAGAGATGGCTTCACAGTGGTGCACAAGGAGTCCCCTCGCAACCTGGGTCAGCCCCCGCTGCTCTGCCTCACACCAGCCGTCGTGCCGCACCCTGAAGCGCCTTGCTCCAGGCCCTGGAGGTGCCGGGTTCCAGCCCGAGTTGCTAGGAGCGGGAGACCCTTCGTATTTCTGCCAGCTTGCTGGGTGACTGTGCAAAGGATGCCCGCCACAGCTACCTCTTCCGGATCCACTCTGGTTGTCTCCTTGGCTCAGCCGTGCTGGAGGAGCTTTCCGCAGGATTCGTTTCATTACCAGCTTAACAAATGGCTGCAGCTGTACTCTTGCTACGGTGCCAGGGACGCGGGCTTGGCATGCTTTCACATTAGTCATCTCCTAATTGGAATATGTGCACGGGCATTCTGCCAGGCTGGCTCAGTGCGGCTTGCCAGTGGGCACGCATGATGGTTCTGTGTAGCTGCACCGGTGCCCAGAGACGTCTTGCAGGCATTTCAAGGGAAATGGTGTGAAGGGGAGAAAGGGGAGATTTGGAAAAGGAAGGAGAAAGCGTGATGTGTTAGCGACTCGTAGGGATTTTGGTTCCTGGGAAATTTGATGATCCCGGTGAATGAACCCAGCTTAGGCATTGTATAAGACGGGCTTGCCTGTAACAGCACAAACAGCAAAGAACCTTGTGGTACCTTAATTAATTAGCGGCATCCACTGGCCAGGGGCCCAAGAGTCATGGAAGGCTGCGCTGCTGCCTCTCAGGGGAAACATCACGGCAAGAGAGAGAGAAAGGTGGCCTCATACGTGGCCAGAGAGGAAACAACTCAGGTATCTCACTGCCCCCCTCCTTCCAGAAGGAACGTCTTTTCAGACTGAGACCAGATGCTTGCATTCCTCTGCCCTCCACAGCCTGTTTTCCTTTTTTATCGCATCTGTTAGATTTTGAGCCTATTCGAATATCATTACAGTGTTTTAAAAAAGTTAGGACTAATAATATAAACAAGAACCGCAACAATGGCATGAGTTTTTATGGGGAGAGCTCACTTTATGAGTGGCATAGAAATGGTGAGAGATTGTATGGGGCAAAACACCTGGAGAACCAGAAGGTGCCCACTCCAAATTACTAATTTGGAGTAATTATCCCTGTCTCTGTTGTTTGTACATTGTTCCCCTTGGACCTCACGAGGCAGCCCATTTTTAGTTCCACCTCCATCCATATGCACACTTTTTGAAGCTCGGCATAGCTTGCATCCAATGAAGGTGGTCCCTGAAAGCTTATGCCATAAGAAAAGTGTTAGTCTTTAAGGTGCACTATGTCTCATTGTTATGTTTGTGACAATCTATTGCATTTTCTGTGATCAAATATTAGCCTATTAATTGCATATTTAATTTTAACAGCAACTAGAACAGTGTGCTGGAACAGATTGGCCCGAATTCTGGGAGTGACCAGGGAGTGGAGGCTGGTAATTTCGTGGGGAAATTTTGGCACCAAAATAAGTTGAGCAAAGTGAAAGCATGTTTCATGAAACAATGGAATATTGTTCCCTTGCTTCCATCGGCCTCTTAGTCCTCCCCTACGTGTATGTCACATTTGAAGCTATAGGCTCTTCGGGGCAGGAACTTGTCATGCTAAACCAGTTTTCTCTGACGTGATGCCTTCTGCCCCCAGGTGTTTTGGAGGACAACTTCCATCATCTGTGAGGTTCACCATGCCTGATGGGATTGGTGGGAGTTCTTGTGCAGAACAGCTGGAGGGCATTGGGTTGGGGAAGGCTGACCTCTGCTGCGAAAAGTGGAATGCACACGGATGGAGCCTTGTTTATATATCAGCAATAGTGCAATTAAGGGCCATTTAGGGGAAGCAGAAACTATGGGGCATTCCCACTTAACGGGAAATCAAAACCAGTTATGGAATGCGCTCCCCAGAGAGGTCCGCCTGGCGCCGTCGTTATTTGTTTTTCGGCGCCAGGCTAAGACCTTTTTATTTAAGCAACATTTTAAATGCTAAATACAATTGAATTTTATCTGGCCAGGGCGGCTTATTTTATAATGTGAGTTTTAATTAAGATTATTTTATATGGATTTTAACTTGTTTTATCTATGTTGTAAGCCGCCCCGAGGCTTCGGCGAATGGGGCGGCATAAAAATGTTTTAATAAATAAAAAATAAATAAATAAAACCAGTGCAGTGTCTGTGAGTTCTTAGCAACAGTTGAGAGGATATGTTGATCCCCTATACATGCAAGTAGTTAAAGAAAGGATTTACATAGCAAAGAAGGAAATGTTAATTATGGTGATACATCCTTGATATGGTGCCAGGGATTGTGGCAAGAGAGGTGTTCATTTATATGCATCATAGTAATATAGACAAATCCTTTTCTATCTGATAAGGCATTGTAATTAACTCTTCAGTAGCTAGAATTAAAGTTTTATTGCAGTGTAAAGCATGGAACTGCTGCCAATAACAAAATTTGACCTGCAGGTTTACAGTTTAAGCACGCAAGGAGAAGGAAGGGGGAAGAGAATAACCAAGCAACCAAGGCAGAAAGACTATCAATTAAAATCACTCAGTTCACTATAGAAAACTTGGGAAAATATACTTTTTTTCTTCAGACACAATTTCTAAGGAGTCAGAGAGCAAATCGCATAGATACCCATAGTAGCTGTCATTACATATTTATACCTTTAGAAGTACTAAAGAGCTCAAAGCATGGAACACACACAAATACTTAATTAGGGGTGCCTTTTGATTTCCTAATTAAGTGGTTCCTCCATTTAATTACTCTGATTAGGCAGGCGGCACCACTGTTTCTGCAGCCTCTCTCGCAGGTCGCAAGCATCCGCTTGTGGGAGGTAGCACACTGCACTGTCTCCGCCACGGCGGCTGTGCAGGCACACAGTGCGTGAAAGATGCTTCTGGTATCTCCAGATACAGCAGGTTTAGGAACAACCTTCAGAGGTTGTTGGACTGCAACTCCCATCAGCCCCAGCCAACCTAGCTAGTTGTGAGGGTTGATGGGAGTTGCTGTCGCACAACCTTGCGAGGACCACGAGCTCCCCATTCTGAGCCAAAGATTCACAGGGAAAGGTCTGAAGGGAAGTTGCTAAGTTTAGGCCCCCGGACCTTATTTCCCAGGACCACGATTCCGTTCTGCAGAGCCTGGAGCATCCCGTGGTGCCAAGAGATGTTTGTAAGCCAAACTGCCAAGCAGGAGGCAGTTTTCAAGGAGGATTCTAGATGGAAAGGGAAGGCTGGTTGCTTCCTTTCTCAGCAGTTCTGACACGTCTCAGCTCGCATCTCCAGGCGTCTCCTGCATGGTAATTAAACTTGGAAAAACGTATTTTTCCATTGGTTTGGGGTGATCTGCGTTAGGGGGCATATTCATGGCAGAATTTATTTCACTTGAGACTATTCAGATGAGAAATAAATTGACTGGCTTTGCCTCTTGTGAAACAAAGAAACAGATTGAATCAGAAGTGGCCTCCCCGGCCATCTAGTCTGACTCCCGGTTCCAGCTGGCTGCCCTCATGAAATGTATGTAAATCCTAGCAATTATTTCTAAATTGCAAATAAAGACATACATTAGCATATACAGATTTGCATTGAGGCTTCACGTCTTTTAAGTGTCTAGCTGTGTCACTGTCTACCTTGCCCAAGACACAAGAAACCTGTTAATTGTTGGCAGAGACGCCCCTGGGCATTCTCAGTGAAGGCTCCCACCGTACGTCCCATGATAGTCCTCACTAGCCCTTCTTTGGGAATCTTTGCCAAAGGAAGTGAGATTGGTGGCTACTAAGGACAGGGGCCTTTCTGCTGTGGCCCCCAGGTTGTGGAATGCGCTTCCCAGAGGGGCTCGCCTGTCACTTGCATCGTGCTCTTCCTGGCACCAGTTTCTAGGAAAACCGTATTTTCCTAGGAATTTAAGGATGTAGGCTCTGTTGTTTTAAATGCTTTTCTGCATCTTAAATCTTTTTGCTGCTGCTACTTTGGCTTTTGATTCTATTCTATATGATTTGCTTAAGCTTGTACAGTTATATAGGGTAATTTATGTTGCATTTTTGTGGCTTTAAGTGTTGTGAACCAGAGAGCTCCAGCTATTGGGCAGTATACAGGTGAAATGAAATCAATTAATGCATTTAAAGAGGCCTGTTCCAGCAGCCCTTTCCAGCTTCCCCGTCTCGCTTTCATAGGATACTTCCGGGAAGGCTTCCTGGCGCTCCAGCACACTGTGGACAAGGCAATCATGCAATACCACGCCAACGCTACTGCCGCGGGCCTCCTGGATCGGGTCACTGTGGTGGTGCAGCGCTTTCCTTACCCCCCCTACATCAATGACCTCTTCCTCGTGGCCATTCAGAACCAGCTTCCCCTGCTGCTCATGCTGAGCTTCACCTACACATCGGTCAACATTGTCCGTGCTGTGGTGCGTGAGAAGGAGAAGAAACTGAAGGTAACACAGTGAGAATTCCTCCCAACTGACTGGCCAGGGCTGTGGGTTTCCTGCCTCTTCACCAAACAAAGATTGCCTTTCGGATGTGGAATAGAAAAATACGTCATCCTGGACGTCTCAGCTTTTGTTGTACTTTTAAAGAGGCAAGGGGGGGGGGGAGTAGAACTGTCTCGTCTGATCCAGAAATAATGCTTGGGCCTGATGTGGTTAGTTGGATCCCACCAGGCGCAGGTGGATTAATGCATCCTTTATTTCTGTTCTGCCTCTTCTGCTGGACCTTTTCTGCTCAGAATGGCCGCTGCAGTTATGACTGTTTGAGATGAGATGACGCTTTTGAAGGCAAGAGTTACAGGGCTCAGGAGAGCAGGGCCGCCTCGGCGCAGGGGCCTGATGGGCACTTGCCCGTGGGCCCCATACTAATCTGTATGGTAACCCTTCGATGCACCTTGTATCATATATGATACATACCGATCAAGAGCATATAGTTACATCCCTAATTGCTCATTTAAGTTCTTTTCTCTTTGTATCACTCCTGATACACACCGGCACTGTGAGTCGTTGTCGTAGGCGCCCCAGTACACTGCTTTGCCCGGGGCCCATAATGCGGTTAAGACGGCCCTGCAAGGGAGGTGCGTGAGGAGCAGGAGTCCTTGTCAGGAGAATTACGGCTTGGCTCTGCTTTTGTGTGGTGATGTGTTGAATTTTCTGCCTGCAGGAATACATGCGCATGATGGGCCTCAGCAACTGGCTGCACTGGACCGCCTGGTTCCTCATGTTCTTCTTCATCTTCTTGGTATCCATCTTCTTTGTCACTCTTCTTTTCTGGATTAAGGTGAGCATCTTCTGGCGGGCTTTAAAACTAGGGGTGGACAAATCCTTCAAGTTCAGCTCTGCCAGGAGCAGCGCAAGGTACCAAAATGATCTGGGGCTCAGGGCCATAGGGAAAAAACAGTACACATCTGCACCTGCTAATTTACATGTGCTCTACAGCCTGTGTGTTTGTGGATTTTTAAGGCACACTGTCTCCCAGGACATCCCTATTTGTAGAAATGGATGTAAAGGCAGGGCAGAGGAAGGCCCTGTGCTCAGGCAGAGAGGTTCAGGTGGGGGAGCAGGAGGCGAAGCGCACATAGGCCAAGAGGTGTGTCCAATGCAGCAGAGATCCTCAGGGCTCCAGCAACTGCACCTGGGCACCATGGACGTGAGGCAGAGGGTCCCCAGAGTTTGGGACTCCAAATTAAAGATTCGGTGCTCAAACGCTACCGCACTGACCTTAATACTGCCTCTGAATTCAGCCCAGTTTCTCATTTTTCCCACTTTAAACTTGTTCCGTTCCTGTTGCTGCATTACTGGGCAAATGAGCTTCTTTTTAAAATCCACACAAAGATTCATTTATATTTTTTCTGCACTTTTTATACATGTCCAAATCATAAGCAGCTTTGAAGGTCACTTTCTCTAAAACAAAATGTTGTTACATGCACTTCTCGGTAATGTTTTTATGCACACATTTTCCTGTACATTTTTGAATGCAGGAACTTTGATTAAAAACTTCAGGAAAGTGTAGCTATCAATACTTAACTGTGTTCCAGTTTGCATACAAGTTTGGGCAGTGCAAAGTTAGCATAAAAATGTGGACTTGAACATATTAATCTCCTGTCCCAAGTTTAAAACTAGCTTCTACTTCAGCTGGCCACCTAGAACTTCAACAGAAGTGACTCATTCAGAGATTCTACACTTGGTGGAATCCTGTGCATGTTTAGACAGGAAAAAGTCCCATAATGCACCGGGCAGCATCTCTGGCTGTTGTCTATTGAGAATCTCAGGACCTTTTGTGATCTAAACTTTCATTTGCTATCTAAACTTTCATTTTCATTATCAAACTTTCATTTTCATTATCAAACTTTCATTGTCATTATCAAACTTTCATTTTCATGTTATCTAACTTTCATTGTTATCTAAACTTTTGTTATCTAAACTTTCAATAAACAAAAGTTACCACCATTGTTAGAAAGGCATCTCTTTAATATGTTGCTATTTATTTTCTTATTGTAGATACAGTCCAGTTTATGCATGGTAACACCAAATAATTTTATTTAATTTATTATTTAATTGCAATAAAAAGAAAGGGCGTCTTTTAAATATTTTCTCTTTCATTTTTTATTTTCAGAATCAACAGCCTGCAAAAAACCTTATATGCAGAGTGCTCATAATAGGCAGCCACAGTCATAAATAACTTGCCTTCCTCAATTAAAGTTACTTCCTTCCAGTTAGCCAGCTCAAAATTTTGGTTGATTAATCTACTGTTAAAGCACAGCCCTGCTCTCCACATATCTGTGCAGAGCATGGTCTAAGTCAGGTCACCCAAATTTGCTAACAAGGAGAAGGGACGTAATGTCTTGACGTTCTGCCTCCATCCTTAGGATTTCCCCATTCTGCCTGTTGTTCGTGATCACTGAGTAAGCAGCAGGACTTAACGCAAGTGCGTTGATTTTGCAGGTGAGTGAGCAGGGAGCAGTGCTCACAAACAGCGACCCCACCCTCATATTCACTTTCCTGGCAGCCTTCTCCATCGCGTCCATCTCCTTCAGTTTCATGGTCAGCACTTTCTTCTCCAGAGGTGAGTAGTTGTCTTTGCTTTTTCCTCCAACAGAGCAAAAGAGCTGCCACCCCACGAAGGCACTCAACTTCACGTTAGCTTGCCTGTGCCCCCTTCCCATCGTGATGGGCCGCATAAGTTCCGGCAGCTTGTAGCTGCTTATCCCCACATTTGAAATGTCTGCCATGCCTTTCTGGACCATACTCTTAGGGTGAAATGCTATGCATGCTTAGACAGGAAAATGTCCTACAGGTCCCAGCATTCTGCAGTCCAAAGCTTTTGTCACATAGCAGGTTCTTGGCAACATTCATATATGCCCAGCCGCCCCCTGAGATCAGCGGGAGAGGCCCTCCTCCGGGAGCCCTCAGTGAAGGAAATTAGGAGGGTGGGTACTCGGAGGAGGGCTTTCTCAGCGGTGGCACCTAAGTTATGGAATGCGCTCCCCAGAGAGGTCCGCCTGGCGCCGTCGTTATTTGTTTTTCGGCGCCAGGCGAAGACCTTTTTATTTAAGCAGCATTTAAAATGTTAATACTATTGAATTTTATTTGGCCAGGGCGGCTTATTTTATTCTAATGTATATATTTTAATTGTTATTGTCTTAATTTATTGTGTATTTTATTCTATGCTGTGAGCCCCGAGGCTTCGGCAAGGGGCGGCATAGAAATGTTTTAATAAATAAATAAAACATACGGGTATGTGAGGGAGTGTTACACGGAGGTGGGTAGAGACCTGTTCTGTCCCCTGCAGAGGAAGGCAGAACGTGCTCCAATGGAGCAAAGCTCAGGGAGCCCAGGTTCCATTTGGATGCCAGGAAGCACTTCCTGACAGTCGGGACCCCGAGGGTGTGGAATGGGCTTCCATGAAAGGTCGTTGAGGCCCCATCGGTGTGGGTGTTCAAGGATAGGCTGGACGTCCACATGGTGGGCATGTTGTGAGCGGAGCTGGCTGGTGCCGGAGGTCAGACTAGATGGCCCGGGAGGCCCCTTCTGACTCACTCTGTTTCTGTGTTTCTTCCGCAGCATCTCATGGCTGAAATCAAAACACAGAGATCATTGTTCCCTTCTGTTCCAGACGTAATGGTATGGGAAAGAAGGGCACTATGTGTTCCTTGTCATTAGCCTTCATTCTCAGGGATGGAATGCTTTCCTTCCATCCACAGACACTCGGTTGCAGAGGTAACAACAACGGGTGAATCAGTATTGCTCGTAGGAATACCTAGCCAAATCTGTTTACCTGACCAAGGGCATAAAGACAGAAAAAAGTCTCAGCTCCCCTAGTGACCCAGCTAAATTTGCAAAGGATTGCACTCTGAGACATTCAGAATGCCACGAGACTCTTGCTATCTGCGTTTTTTCGTGAATATTTTTCTCCCTTCCCCGCAACACCTTTGTTTTCACAGCAAATGTGGCAGCTGCTACAGGGGGATTCCTCTACTTTTTCTCCTACATTCCCTATTTCTTCATCTCCCCGCGCTATGACCTCATGACACACGACCAGAAGCTTTCATCCTGCCTCCTGTCTAATGTTGCCTTGGCCATGGGAGCTCAGTTAATCGGCATGTTTGAAGGCAAAGGTGAGCTGGCTTGTTTTTATCGTTTTGGCTGGTTCCCAGTATTCGTGTGGAATTCCCAGTGACGCATGTGCCCCTTCAAGCATATTTTAACATTTAATGCTGTTTCTTAATAGTCATACATAGGAACTCAAGTTGCTTTACACAGAAAGTGTCTCTATTACAATATAAATGCCAAAGTAAAACCAATAACCTCATGGACTTGCTAGCTAAGGCAGCTCACTTTAGAGCTGAAGATACTTAGAAGAAATACGACACAGTATGAGATGATACACAGTTTATTGAAGACAGTAATTAAATATGGGTATAGAATATAAACAAGAGGAAGAGAGCGTACACCCCCCTTTCTATGTGGCCGCAGTGGTTCTGTGGGCCTTTGGAGTTACCTGGATAAATGACGATGTGTCAGTTCCTCTCCCCAGGTGAAAAACAGAAGATGATACTTCTTGTTTTGGATTTTATAAGGTTCCACTAGCCCATTATTGTGTGGTTTGTGAGTGCTGACACAGGCTGTTCCCCACTTTTTCTGGGAGGAGAGATACCTCAATAAAGCAAACAGTCTTGTTCCACAGCAAAGGCAGGTTTCCTCCATGGGATGATTAAGGCTGCAGTCCAGCCTTCCGCAGCCTTGTTCTTCCCAGATGTTTTGTGCTGCAACGTCTAGGACCCCGGACCCTTGGCCATACTAGCTGGAGCCTGTGGGAGTGGACCTGGAGCATCTGGAAGGCACCAGGTTGGAGAGGCTTCTTCCTAATCCTGTGCATATTTAGACAGAGGAATATCCTGCAATTCTCAGCATGCCCAGATGACATCGCTGCCTGGAGCATGCTGGGAGTTGTAGGCCTTTTTTCTTTCTAACCATGCGTAGGACGGAGCCCTCCGTGAGTTATTCCAGTATCCTATTTTCTTTGCACACTACATAGCTACCTGCTACATAGCTGGATTAAACATTTCCAGTACACTTGTCACTGGCTAGTCAATATCTTCCACTTTCGTATAGCTTTCAAGATTAAAAACAAACAAGCAGGCCACATTTCTGGATTGCTAATGGAGCGCAAGCTGGGATGAGATGCGAGTGCCTCTTCTTCCGCATCCAGCTTCATCCTGGCCAATTTTCTGGCGCCTTCTCTTCAGCTTCCCAGGGTGCGTGTTTTGCTGCCCATTCTCAGACACTTGTGTTTTCCAGGCACTGGGGTGCAATGGAGGGACTTGATAAAGCCGGTCAGCGTGGACGACAACTTCACCCTGGCGCATGTGCTGGGGATGCTGCTGCTGGACTCCGTGCTGTACGGTCTGGTGGCTTGGTATGTGGAGGCCGTGTTCCCAGGAGAGTATGGCATCCCACAGCCTTGGTACTTCTTCCTCTTGGTGAGTCTTCCCGTCTCCAGAAGGCCACTGGGTTGCACCCTAGACGTCTTTCCCCACTGAATGTGCGTGAACCGATTAAAATGGCTGCAAACAGCAGTGGTAATAACCAAATTCCTCCTACCTTTCTGTTTCCCTCTGTAGCCGTCCTATTGGTGTGGGAGTCCCCAGACAATTTTGGGAAAAGAGAAGGAAGAGGAGGAGGACCCAGAGAAGGCCCTGAAAAGCCAGTACCTAGAAGAGGAACCATCGGACCTGGTGTCAGGGATCAAAATCAAGCATCTGTCCAAGGTGGGACCCTCTAAACTGCTGCCCCGCTAAGGGAGTGCCTCCTTACCTGTGAGAGCACCTGCCTGGTTGCTGGAGTACTCCTGGGGCTCACCCAGACCAGTGTGGGAGCTCCCTTCCTGTGAAACCCACAGCCCCTAGAATTCAGGCAGCAACCAGGGGCTTCAATGGCTGCTGAAGACTTCTTTAGTTCAAGAAGCCTTCTTCCACTGGCCAGCAACAATTTTGATGGGCGTTGCTTTCAAAAACCTTTAATAAGGTGCTTTGTTTTTTGTGGTTCTCTGCTCTGGAATCTGTTTAGATGTGGAGTGCTATATATATGTTGTGAAAGGAAAGAAGGAAGGAGGAAAAAAAGCATGTAAGCATAAGGTGCATCTTGAGTCCCTTTCGTATGCATACCAAATTTCATAGAAACACAGAAATGGAGTGAGTCAGAAGGGGTCTCCCGGGCCATCTAGTCTGACCCCTGGCTCTAGCTGGCTCCACTCACAAGAAGCCCACCATGTGCATTTCTAGCCTATCTTTGAATACCCACACCGATGGGGCCTCAGCCCCTTCTCTTGGGAGCCCATTTCATACCCTCGGTGTCCTAACTGTCAGGAAGTACTTCAGGTGACTGAGTTTCATAGTCTTCAAGCTGCAGCGTTGACTGATAGACAAAACCTAAGTTTCAGAATTTCCTTTCTATAGAATTGGGTCATATTTGCAGGCCTGTGGCTACTTTGTTTTATCTCAGCAAAAGTCCATCTCAAGGTTATTGCTGCATTTGATCTAAAGTTTTTCCCTGGTTCTGTGATATCTGAAAGGCAGGAGAGAATCCTAACAGGTTTAATCCAATCACTATTTGGAATACAAATCATTGCTAGCTGGAAAATTTTGAGCTGCTTCTGTAGGATTGCTTGATCCAGCATTCTGTTTTTCTAAGGTTGAACAAAGATATCATTGTTGATGCATTAGTTTCAGCTTGTAGCAAGAAAGAAGGCATACTTTATGGAACCTGGAATATTATTCTAAGGAATAATTTTCTTTTAAATAAAAACAACAGTTTAATTCTAAAGAATAAATTCTAAATTCTTTAATTCTAAAGGGATTCTAAAGGAATAATGTTTTTGATAGTCTCAATCCTTTATAAAAGCATAAAGGCCCCTGACTGGGCCCCATAAAATAGTGTTTCAGACATAAGATGTGAGGGAAAATGTCTTACTAGCTCGCTAAAAATTGGAACAAACTGGATAGTTTGTCTGAAGACAGATGTCTTGCTTTACAATAAGGATATTAAAATACAAAATATAAAGAGTCTCCACTTTACTAATGACATTAGCTAAAATCCACACCAGATTTAGTATGGCAAGTGAAATAGATTATACTGAAGAAAACTTACTGTGTTTTTCAATAGCCTTGGGTATTTTGTTTTTAAGTTGTTAATATTTTTATAAAAGTTGAGAATTGGTATCACAGTTTTTTATCATTAACTGTAGATTGATAGCTCCAAATTATTAGTAATTTTTCCTTGATCTGTGTTTACTTTGTCCCTTTTTACTGTTCTCATATTCCAGACTATAGCAATTGCTTGGGTGGTTTGGAGCAGACATCAGATAATTCATCCTTGCCATTTTAAAGGGAGAAGGTCAGAGGACTTCTAGACAGAACGGTCCTTGAATTACTTATTAGAAAGCAATGAATAGCTAGTTCGCCTTTCTTGCAAATGGATTCGCCACAGTTGGAAAATATGAGAGAATTACATTCAGAAGGCTGTATTGTCTAGCTTTCCCTGTAAAATTCCACGAATGAGGCAGAGCAATGGAATATTGGAGGCCTTATCTGGAGAACACCTTTGATCTCTGGAATTGACATTGTTTCCTAGGCAACTAGGGATTTCTTGGAAGTTGCTTGCTTAAAAGATGCTTGATACTGGCATATAGTTTGATTTTATTTATTTATTTGACAGGGCATTTTTAGCCCTGTCCTTCAGCCAAATAGTCTCCCCAACTGGGGAGATAAGAATTAAGATAAGATCAGAATTAAAACAGTCCTTACAGTGTAAAAGACACAACACAAAAGGAAACGGGTTTGGAAGGGTAGAGGAAAAAAGCAAATTCAGGCACAAGTTGGCTTGTATTGGTAAAACACAGGCATTCAGGCATAACACTAAAACTCATTTGCATGTTCCCTCTGTTCTTCTCTCTAGTGCAGCTTTGAGAATGAGTTTGGAAAGATTTGCTCCTCTTTTCTTGTTAACCGCAGCTTGCTGTGTCATCCAAATCTTTTTCTTGAACTTTTAAAAGTAACAATAAGCACTGACAAATTTAAACACACCAGATGTGAGTCAGTTCCTTTAAAGTCTTTCTAATCCTTCAGGATCTCTATTTGGTACAAGCAAAATTATTTGATAAATTGATCACTCATTGTTCTATGAGATCACAGCACAGAGTTACATGTGTCTTCGGAGTTTATCACACATTCTTCTCAGTAAGAGTGAATGCAATATATAGACACCATGTTCTGTAAAAAGTGCCAATTTCTTGTGGCAAAGCCCCAGATTCTCCATTTGCATGTGAAAGAAAAAGTTTATTTACTGATTTCAAGTGAGCAGCCATAAACAACCTGACTGCTGTGCATTAAAAAACCAGGAGCTTGTTAGGTCTTATTTCTATATCAAGGTCCATTTTAAAGAAACATCAGTCCCAGTTTTGCAGATATGTCAAATGTTATTTTGTGATCTCTTTGGCAAAGGCAAAGACTTGAAGGCAAAACTTTTGCACCAGTGGGTAATCCCAGCACATGTATCTTTGGCTCCGCAGTTCCAACAACTAGACTAGACAAGCTTATTTTAATCTCAACTATAGTTGTTGCAACTGTCAACTTTGTTGACCAAACGGTCCGTGTCCTGGTGTGCGTGTGCCCAAAATGCACGACAGGGGAACGTTTTCTTTTAAAAGATTGATTCTCAAGAATGACCGGCTACCATCGAGTTGTTCCAGGCCTGCCCCTGAGCAGCCCTCAGTTGGCCCTTTTATGCATTGATCATTAGAGAATTACTTGTAGCACGGTTAATAATTTCCAGTAGGTTACAGAAAGGAAAAGTTGCAATGGCGCCATCTTTCCCGCTTGCATGCCAAAGAAGATGCGGCAAAGGAGGGTGGAGTGCTATTACATAGAAGGGGCTGGGGGGTGATTCGCCCTTAGTTTGAGCTGCTGTCATCTGTCAAGTGCCAAGGAGCTTTCTCTGGACTGGCGCCTGGTCAGCATCAGCTGCATTTCAAGAATGCAACACGCTGATTTCTAGAAATGGGGGTTTTTCTCTGGCCTCGCTATGTACCAATGACTGCATGATTTAACCAATGAAAGTTGCACCTGTTGATCTGTGCATCAACTGCAACACATAGTTTATGAAGCTGGTTTGTTTTCACTAACCAAGTTAAGATCAGCCTCTGTTTCTGGTTCAGATTACGTAAGTGCAGGCCAGGGTCTTTTTCTGTTTTAACTTGGCCTCTCCTTTGATATGAAGCCTCTGAGTAGCTCCTACTAAATGTACCTATAGAAAGAGTGTCTAAGTAGCTGTTTTCTGACTCCTGTCTGCAGTCATTCAAAGCTGGGAACAAGACCAAGCAAGCGGTACGGGACCTGACTCTTAACATGTACGAGGGACAGATCACAGTACTTCTGGGACACAACGGTGCTGGGAAAACTACCACTCTGTCCATCCTCACAGGTGAGGTTGAGCCGCTGAAGCGATGCAAGCAGGTGGCCCTCCAGGTGTTCCTGGCCTGCCTCAGGCACCAAAACATCCTGGGCCACTCGGGCGTCCTTGCATTTTTTCCTTTTACTACTTTGGCTGATGTTTCCTAGGTTTGTATCCACCGACAAGTGGCCAGGCTTATATCAATGGCTACGAGATCACCCAGGACATGACTCTGATCCGGAAAAGTCTTGGCCTGTGCCCTCAGCATGATGTCCTCTTTGACCATATGACCGTGGAAGAGCACCTGCGCTTCTACTCCGGGGTGAGTCATCCTTCATCCTCACTGCAGCATTTCTGTATCACCATCTGCCTGGTCCATTCATTATGCTATTTGCACGTACAAGGAGGCCCTTACAAGTCGTGTGGCCGCAAGGTTCCTGTGGCATCAAGCAAGCACGCTTCCTGCAGAGCAGGAATGCTGAGCGCACCTTCCCTGAGCAAGGGTTATTACGGGCGCATTCCTGCGCACATTCAGACAGAAAAATGTCCTGCGCTTCCCAGCTTGCCCCAGCTAGCACGGCTGGGAGAATATGAGAAGAGCCACGTGGGTGAGATTGAAGGTCCCTCTGGCCGAGCACGTGGTGGCAAACCAGCCGCCTGCACGATCCCTCCAGCAGGAAGGGCGCAGGACCGGCTCCTGTCCATGCTGCTTGGCAGCCGGTGCATGTGGGCAGGCCACCCACCTCTGGTGAAGGCGGGAGCACATAGCCAGCGAGGCCGGGCCCCATGGATCGCCTCCTCCCTCGTGAATCCGCCCAGTTCCCTTTTAAAGCTCTCCAGACGGACGGACATCCCCACTTCCTGTGGCAGTGAATTCCATACTTTGATTATACACTGTGTGAAAAGGTATTTCCTTTGATCTGTCCTTTCCTTTGATCTGTCCTAAACCTCCCACCAGTCAGCTTCAGGGCATGACTCTGGGTTCAGGTGTTATAGGGGAGGGAGAAAAATGTCTCCCTCTCCACGTTCTCCTCACCTTGCATTACTTTGAACACCTCTGTCAGGTCTCCCCTTCCTCACCTTTTCTCTAAGCTGAACAGACGCGGTGGCTGAGGCCGCTCCTCACAGAGGGGCTGCTCCAGCCCCCTGATCATTTTTGTTGCCCTCATCTGTACCTTTTTCCGACTCAATAATGTCCTTTTTCAGGTCAGGTGACCAGAACTGAACACAATATTCCAAGTGCCATTGCACCAAATAGTTGTATAAGGGGAATAAGATGGTGGCCGTTCTCTTTTCTACTCCCTTCCGCATTATGACTGACATGGAGGAGGCCTTCTGCAGAGCAACTGAGCGGTGGGCCAGCCTTTTCGTCGGGGTGTCCACCACTAGCCCAAGATCCCTTTCTTGCTCGGTCATGGCTACTGAGATGCCGTCAGCGTTTGCTTGTTGGGGTGTTTTGCCCCTACACAAAAAACACAGAGTGTTACTTCACACTTGAACTGCATTTGGAGTTGCAGGACATCCTCCTGTCTAAACGTAGCCAGGATTGCACCCGAAACGGCTTCAAATGTGAATGCCATGCAGATTCATTCTTAGAAATAACCTCTCGCCTTGGAGGACTGCAGGCACCTCTTGGGATGTGAGGAATGCGGACCTTCCTGCTCTGTGGTGTTGGAGGTTGTAGGTACCATGCCTCTCCACTTGGCCTTGCTCTGTGTCTTCTCAGCAACTGTCCAGCTTTTTTCCTATTCCAGAAGGTTGAAATGGCTCTTATAGTTTAGCTGCTGGCATCAGGCACATTAAGCCAAAAACACGGGTCTTTTGGGCTCCTCCTCTTTTTCCTTTGGCTTTTTCCACCACTGGAATACTGCCCCCAAGAATTTCTCTAAAAATGCGATTTCAGGCTGAAAGAGCTTCAGTATGCCTGTGTGTGTGTGTGTTAATTCCAGCAATGAGGGTCAGCAAATTTGCCTTAATTTAAAGCTGTCCAAAAAGTGAATTGTTTTGCTAACTCTTTCTTCCCCTTTCTGTTCTGTCTCAGCTGAAAGGTTACCCTGTGGAGAAATGCCCGGAGGAGATCAGCCGCATCCTGTACATCCTCAATCTACAGGAGAAACGCGCCTGCCTTTCAAAGGCCCTCTCTGGCGGGATGAAGCGGAAGCTCTCCATCGGCATCGCATTCATTGGAGACTCCAAGGCAAGTTCGAATGAGGCCTCTTTGTTCCTTCGTTGTATTTCTTCGGAGGCTTCTGTATGAGGCTGTTGGGCAAGAGCGGCAGAGGAAACCGTGCTGTGTGGAAGGAGACCTTCAGGCATGCCGGAGACCCCGTGTTCATTCCCTGGAATCGCCGTCAAAGCAGGAGTGCAGAAGCCCAGGCCCGGAGGCCGCACCTGGCCATCCGGACATCTCCGGGTGGCCATGCCCCCTTCCCCACCTTTTCCAGTCCCCAGTCACGGAGTGTTTTCCCACCCTTGGTGCATTTGCCGTTTCACCATCCTCTGTGCAGCTGCTTCACCCATTCCAAAAGATTCCAAAAGCTTGGGTTGCCTCCCCAGTGGTGTCATGATTGACCAGAACTGTGATCTTAAAGATGCTGGTATTTCGGCACTACTGCCCGTTGCCTTCACGCTCACCCACCACTAGAAAATGGCCTTTGAGAGCGTCTCTGAAATAGAATTTGGCCGTTGGGGTCAGGGAGGTTCAGCCTCCTTGAGCTGAAAGAAAAGGCGAGTAGGGTGATGGGAAAGATTTTGGAGGGAAACGCTGGAAAGCTGTTACTAGAACAGGCAGTGCTAGGGGTGATGGATGGGTAACTTGAATCAGAGAAGGATAACTCCTGTTAAGAAGAGTGCGAATTGCTTGAGAAGATGAAAGGTTATGAGTGGCAAACGACCCCGAAAGGCTGCTGGCCTGTAACTCCCAGTTTTCTCCTGGCATTGGAGGCAGCAGGAAACTGCTGGCTGAGCTCTATGGAGAGCTTTCCCTTGGATGATGCTAATGTCCCACATAGTTTGCCTTGTGAGGAACCCAAAGAAGTGACATTGTGAAGTCGTCTGTGTAGACTAGGCCTCAGAACCAGGCTTTCTCAGGCAGCTCCAAGGCATTAGCCCTGGTCTGCCCTTTGCCAACCAACTGGGACTTTAAGCAGCCATTTTAATTTCCCATAATTCCCAGGAGTGATCCTATGGCAGGCATTCATGGAAATTACAACGATGGTTCCTAAGCACACTTGTTGGGTTGCTGTTGCCATGTAAGCCCAAGGAAACCCACTGACTAGGAGGACACCCACCTAAGCCCCCCCCCGCCCCCTCCGCAGCATGGAGCTGAGAATTATAACAGAAAACCGCCTCCCCTGTTGTTGAAGTGAAAGAATCCATCTTGCAAGATGCTTTTTCCTCAGGCCAGAATAGCTTTTCTAAATTCAAGTGCCTCGAATCACTTCTAAATAACAGGCATGTGAACACGGAAGGCTCAGCTCCCAACTGCACAAACCCTTGTAATCGGACTGACCCTTTTCAATTTACATATATCCTGCCATTCCTCCAACAATCTCCAAGTGGTGTGTGTTTCCATCTTCACTGAAGGCTTGTGGGGCTGAGAAAGGGAGGCGTGTGGGCCTAGAGCAAAGGCACCCCGTGAGCGTCCTGGCTGAGTGCAGACTTAAATCCGGCCCTCCTGAGTCCTAGCTGAATACGCTGAACATCTTACCGCACTGGCTTCTCCAGGCTCTCAGGCTGAGCTGTTCCATGCCAGCTCTGGGCGCCTGAGGGCCCCTGGGGGAGCCGTCTTCCATCGGCCTCCTCCCTCCGCGAGTCTGCCTTCTCTCGGCCCTTCTCCCCAGGTGCCACGCTCAGCCCCCTCTGCTTTCCTCTTGGCCACTGCTCACTGGCTCGATGGCAGACAGGCCTGCTCCTCCCACAGCCCCGCTGTTGCCTGGGCTGGTGCATTGCGGCACTGAAGAGGAAGGGCAACTCAGGGCGGCTGCTGCCTGTGGAACCTGCCCGGGACGAGGGCCCCGGCGGCTGCCTGCCCTCGGGGCAGCCCTGGCCTCAGTCACAGGCGCTGCCAAGCACGTGTTCCTTCCGTGCCGCGCAGGTGGTGATGCTGGACGAGCCGACGTCGGGCATGGATCCCGTCTCTCGCCGGGGCACCTGGGAGCTGCTGCAGCAGCAGCGCAGCAGCCGCACCATCCTGCTCACAACGCACTTCATGGATGAGGCGGATCTGCTGGGCGACCGCATCGCCATCATGGCCAAGGGGGAGCTCCAGTGCTGCGGATCGCCCCTCTTCCTCAAGCACAAGTACGGTAAGGCGGATTCTCCCGCAGCCGAGGGTGGCTGTTGGCCAGCAGCGGCCCCTCCAGAAGATGGGCACGCGGGATGGGGACCCTGGGGACAAACTCCCAGGAAGGGTGACTGGCGAGGAAAGAGGGTGGGGCTTGCGCAGCTTTCGTGGGGACACAGAAGGGGAAGTTCAGCCGGTGGATGGAAGCAGCTTCTTCAGTGCAGCATGGCCGTCGTCGCTCTCCGCTGTGCTGTTGCGCTGCCCTTGACGGTGATGCGGAAGAGTCTGTTCCTGCCCACGAAAGGAGGGAGGAGGCGGTGGGAGGGAGGCCAGGGATGGGGCCAAGCTGCAGTGGGTAAGTGGTCTGGATCAGTGTAAGCTTTCTGTGCTCCTGAGGTTTGGGGCAGGGCCATAGGTCTGTGGTGGAGAGTCTGCCCCTGCAGCAGAAGATTGTAGGTGCGGCCCTTCGTATCTGCGGTTGGGCTTGGAAAGGTCCCTCTCTGGCACTCTGGAGAGCTGCCAACTATTTACCGACATGAGGCTGGAAGGCATTATTAAATGGCGGACTGCGTGCACGTGGGACTAGCCCAGCACAGCGGCTAGTCGCCTGCTTTGCACCCCCAGAGGTCTCGGGTTCGATCCCTAGCATGGCCAGGCGGGGTTGGGAAGCAGCCCACCTCACACCCCGCAGGCAGCGCAGGCAAGAGCGAGCGGGACGGGATGTTGCTCTGGCTCCCTGCACTGAAAAGAGAACCCCCTGCTCCAGGTGCAGGATACCACATGGTGATGGTGAAGGAGCCCTGTTGCAACCTTGGGGAAATCGCCCGCCTCATTCACCATTACGTGCCCAAAGCCTCCCTGGAAAGCAATGCTGGAGCGGAGCTGTCCTTCATCCTGCCCAAAGAGAGCACCCACAGGTAAGGCCACCCCGTGTAAACACTGGAGATGTGCCAGGCTGCTTTGCACTCTCCAGCATTTTTGCATGGTTTTGACATGGTTTTAGTTTCAAGAATGTGCATTCCTACATTCCCCTGCTCCACAAAAGGAACTGATTTGGGAATGGGGAAGTGTTGGGGGTAGCATAGATGCTTAATGGAGCCAGCTTTTCCCTGGTCTCATCAACCTAAAACTGCTGAAAACAGGCAGAATTATTTATTTCCCAGATGGTCCCTTAGGATTGAAACACATTTTCTGAAAGCAGTGAAGGCAATTTGTGTCATTTCCACCATTTGAAAATGTAATAACTGTTTCATCCTAAGTGCAGAAGTTAAGTGCTTCAGAGCATCTTGAAGGTCAAAGAAGAAGCTCGCGGAGGCCACATTCCAGTGGGGGGTTTTAAGGCAGAAACCAAAACCCCATCCTTTTGCCTCTTAAAGCTGTTCGCTTTAGTAACGAAGCCTTAGAAGAGGAATTTCAGCCTTTTAGACTGGAGGAAAAACAGAGAAACCACCCAGTGCTCACTTGTCCAGGAAAAGATGGGGAGGCAGAGAAGGCCGTGTTCTGGTCGTAGAACTCTGGGCAGTCACTGTTACTACGGAGAAAACCAGGACTGTGCTTCAGACGCACTGTGCTTCCTTGTCCCTAAGTCCTCTTAACATCCTGCTCTTCCAGGTTTGAGGCTTTGTTCACAGAGTTGGAATTAAGGAGGGAAGAACTGGGCATTGCCAGTTACGGAGCCTCAGTCACCACGATGGAAGAAGTATTCCTCAGGTGAGCAACTAGGAAAACCAGGAAGCTTGGCCAGGAGCCAGCCACTCATGCGTCAAGGTTCTTCTCAGGTTCTTGGGTGATAAACTTTGTACAGGGACAAAGGTGAGCATTGGAGGAGGGCTGGGCTAGAAAATCTAAGTCAGTGAACAAGGAAAAACCAAGCTCAAGGGATGTTCGCAAGCTACTGATGTGTAGAAGGGAGCTATGGCTCTAGTGCAGGAGCTTTGAATACTGAAAGTAATTAAACCCATTCTTAAGAATTAGGGGCTTTAAAAACATGTTATTGGGGTTTCAGAGCTTTGCACACTTTTGGCTTTTTGGCTGATGTTGTTTTAAACTTTTAGCGCTTAATGCTTTCGAGTGCAAAGCTGTGCATGTTTAGACAAAAGCAACACTGTACAACTCGCAACATGCTCAGCCAGCATCTCTTAGTCGAACCATGCATCTGACTCCACATTTAGGCTGGGTATTTTAATGACAATTTTAGCTTTTCTTAAAAAGGCATCTTACAACAAAATCATTGCAAAGATACACATTTAAACAGTTTTTTATTTTGTGTGATTTTAATTATGTTGTTGTGAGATGCCAGGGGTTACTTTTAAGAGAAGAATGAATAAGATTAATACTAATAATTTGGCATTGGTTCCATTCCTCTAGCCATCTTGAAATTGTTTTAGCTGCTTCAATTGATTTAAATTCCTTTTTCAGTTTTGTATATTGGAATTGTAGGTTGCTTTTATTACATTTTAGTGTTGTTGTTGTTATTACATTTCAATATTGCCCATAGCTGAAGCTGTCGGGGCAGTTTATAACAGTAATCATAGAATGATGCTCTCACATCACCCATCCGGATTCTAACCAGGCCTCACCCTGCTTCGTAAAGATTAGGTATTTGGGAAGTATTTATGCTTTTAAAAATGACTCAGTATGAACTAGCTATTGGGTGGTATAGAAATGAAATACATTAGTAACTAACAATATCCTATTATGTTGTATTTCATGGTTTTAATTGGTGCAACTCACTCAAAGAGCTTTACCTATTGGACAAATGGCTAGGAATGCAACATATCGATAAAGCGGCACAAAGAGAGGTGTTTTAAGTGATAACTTTTGATAATTAAAATGTCACGTCTTGAACCTCTGGGGAAGCTGTCTTAGTATTTGGGAAAAGCAGTGTGGATATCATTCATCTCGATGCCTTTGGTCTCTTTCTGTAAGAGTTGGCAAGCTGGTGGATTCCAGCATGGACATCCAAGCCATCCAGCTGCCAGCTTTGCAGTACCAGCACGAACGGCGATCCAATGACTGGACCGTGGACGACTCCAGCAGCCTCAGTGGAACGACGGACCTGACCGATGACAGCGGAGCTCTGATCACAGAAGATTGCTCCAGCATCAAGCTGAACACGGGGGTGAGTTCAGAGAGGTACAGGGTCTTCGAGGACTTTAAACTGAATCCTGAAGAGGAGGGAGAAGTATGCCTGAGTGTAGCAACAGACAAAGGCTTGTGCATCACACTAGAGAGAGCAGCTCTGACAGTGCCCAAGAATAGTTTTCAGGAAAATGTAGGCAGAATGTTCGCGTATAAAGCATGTGGTCTTCAGTGTCTATGTGTTAATGCCCCGAGTATGGGAAACAAAAAGCATGAACTCAAACGCTTATGCAGGAAGGTGAATACGACCTGATAGGTATAACTGAAACTTGGTGGGACGACTCCCATGAGTGGAATTCAGCAACTGAAGGATACAACCTGTTCAAGAAGAATGGAAGGAAAAGAGAGGGAGGCATGGTCATGCCCTATGGTAAAGATGCTCATCTCTGCACGGAAATAAAGGAGGATGAGCTTAATAGCCCCACGAGGAGCATCTGTATTAATATAAATGGAGCACGGAATAAAAGGAACGTGGTGGCTGGAGTTTATTACTGACCATCCGGTCAAGGAGAAGACGAGGACAAGGGTTTGGAAAAGCGAAAGGCCAGTGTTTCAAGGAGGCATGATGTTGTTGTTATGGGGGACTTCAATTTCCCTGATAGCTGCTGGGAGACAAATTCTGAAATGATCCTGTTTCTTCTAATCACAGCAAGTTGATTTTTTTTAATGAAATAAGTTTGGTTCATACTATTCATAATTTTTTAACGCTTTGCCGTGTCATCCTTATAGATTTTTAAAAATCTTAACCTCAAAGAACTTTCAACTGTTGCAGCAAGAATAAGATAATTTTAGTTACTCTTTCCCTGCCCGTCCTTCTGTTGATCCTTTAAGTCAGGGGTCTCAGACTCAACTTACCTGGGGGCCGCTGGAAGTAGAGTCTGGGTGAGGCTGGGCTGCATCAAGTATTCCACAAAAAACGGATTTCAAGTATTCCAAAAAAAAAGTACAACTGATCCAGTCTTCTCAGTCTTTTTTAATAATAAGTCAGAACATGAACGGTTCTTCAGAACATAGGCTTCTCTTACTTCCTCCTACTCCTTGCTGCCAGAGACCTGACAGCGCTTCCTCTTACGCAGCTGAGCCACATTTGGCTTGAGGGAGGAAGCAACTGAGACCCTCAGTATGGCCTGAAGATGCTCATCAGTAAGTTTGGACCTGAACTTTGACTTATTAAAGTTCATGGTGGAGAAGAGCTTTTCATACAGATAGGTGCTCCCAAAAAGGCACATGGTCCACTTGAACATCCTGGAAAGCTCAGGGAAGGTAAGGGGCAATTCTCTCAAAAATTGTCCAAGCTTGTCTGCTTTTCCACTCACCTCCCTGAACTTGGCTTTGAGTTCAGAATTGCACTGCAGGTCAATTAGCTCCATTTGAAGCACGGACGGGGCATCTTCCACATCTAAGGAGAAGGGGTCAGCAAAAACTTGAAAAGTGGCTCTGTGTGTCTTGAAATCTGTAAACCTGTGATCAAATTCCAGTGCGCAGCTTAGAGGGAACATTGCACCCAGGGTAATGACTCACGCAGCTGCATGGGAGAAAAACACGCACTATCACTAAACTTTGATATCAAGTGGGAGCCACAAAATATCGTCCCATGGGCCGCAACTGACCCGCGGGCCGCAAGTTTGAGACCCCTGCTTTAAGTCTACAATATCCTTTTTGGAGGTGGGACAGCCAAAACAGCACATAATTTCATATATGTCTATATGTATATATCACATGATGAAAACTAGCTGGAAATATTTTAGCATTCTAATATATTTTTATTAAAAACATGATTTAAGTTAGTTTTAATCTGAATTGATCGATGTCTTTCTGCTGACTGAAGAGTTATTGTTTATTTTTTTAAAATGTGCAGTTGCATAGTTTTATGAAGGTTTTGCTTGTGTTTGTTCCCATGTTGAATATACTAACCTGGAATCCTTTTAATTACATGTTAATGAATGAAATAATGAAATGAATGATCCATTAAAGATTACTCAGTGAAGAGCTCGCCGATCTTTCAAAGCCTACGCATCCTCTTAACAGCGTCTCTTTTCCTCTGCAGTTCTATCTCTGCTGCCAACAGTTCTTTGCCATGTTTATGAAGAGGGCCACATACAGCGGGCGCAACTGGAAGATAGTAGTCGCACAGTTCTTGGTGCCCCTGATTTTCACCACCTTCGCCCTGGTTGTGGCCAAGACCTTTCCAGGTCCCCGGGACTCCTCCCTGCTGAAGCTGACCCTCAACCTGTACGGCAGGACAACGGTGCCTTTCTCTGTCTCCCAAGGACCCAGCGTAGCCCAGAGACTGGCAGAGCAGTATAAGGAAGTAGTTGGTGCTCAGCACCAAGCGCCAGTAGAGGTGGTTGGTGAGTAGCAGCACCAGGTGTGGATGTTGTCCAGCTCTTTTGCATGTTTGCAGCAGGCCAGCTCTCCCTGGCCTGTTGTCCTGTCTAGTGCCCACAAGCAGCCGGTCTCCCAGTTACCTCCCTGAGTTTAGTTCGAGAACTGTCTGTCTAGTGCAAGAGTCAAGGCCATGAGGCGTGTGTGTGTGTGTGTCTGAAGTGCCAGGACAGGTGAGAGTGTGCAAAATTTGCCCATTTATCTAATCAATAAATCTAGATACTTATTAGTCTTCATTATACAAGCTGATTAGGTTTGTGTTTTGCCACAAGCACAGGCGTTGTCTGATCTAACCAGTGCTTTTTTGTAAGAAAAAGGGTGCCGGAACTCATGAAATTATTTACCTTTCGCACGTAGTCAGTCACTGTATGACCACACGACCAATCACAAGCCGAGCAGCGCCACAAGCCGAGCAGCACCATCACAACCAGTGTGAAGTATGCATGCATCAGATTCGACACCCATGCAGCCTGCATGCACTGTTTTAATGATTTTGCCACCGACCTGCTACACTCGACAGGGCAATCAAATCCACATGGACATCAAATTTTCAAAAGTTACTTTTAAAACTTGGAAAATCTGTCAAAAAATGGTGCCGGAACTCTGTTCCGGTGCATTCTATGACAAAAAAAGCACTGGATCTTACTTTGTAGCAGATGGGAAGCAGTACAACTAACTAAGTCAGCATGCTTTTGTTGTGGAACACACCCTCTGGCAAGGCTGTGCACTCCTTCTCTCGAAAGGACGAATTCCTTTTGCCTCTGGCTCCTTAGTAGCCCTAGGGACTGCCCCCAAGGGACCTGGCTGCTCTTGGTTGGATTTGTCTGGGTGCAGTGCAGGAGATTATAAGGATGTTGCTGAGAATCCAACAGACAGAAGCAATGAGGTGCTGCTGTTAGGAGAAAATGCCACACAGCGCCCTGGGGAAGGAGCAGTTGATTCCAAGCTGAATCCCCCTCTTCCCTTTACTACCAAACAGGGTTAGCTGCACCCTCAGGGAGGTTTATGCTCTTGTGGGTCAGACAACAGGAACCCTGGATGTTACTTAACAGGCTAGACCTTGAGTTACATCTCTCCCCCTCTGATCCCCCCAAAATCAGACACGATCTAGTTCTTCCCAACTGCTTGGTTTATCTCAAAGCTCACTGGCTGTAGCCTTTCAGCTAGGAATTCCATCCCCATCTCTTCTTCCACTGAGTCTGAGATATTGACCTTGAAATGCTGTGTTTTGGGAGAAGTGGGCCCAATCCCTACACAACCATCAAGTGTCAATCAACAATGGGCCAGGCTTACATGTTATTTGCAGGTGTTAGCAGGTGGCTCAGACCATGGCATAGTTTGGCATGGCTTCCAGCTCCCTGAAACCTTTGGTTTGCCAGAAATCACAGTTTTTGGGCAGTTTCTTATCCTCATGGTAATAAATCTGACTCTGTTAATTATCTATAGTAATATCTACTTAAATCTTTGAGAATAAAGGAAGTTTTATTGACTTAGATTGATTAATTGATTGGTTATAGTTCTGTGCCGTGCACTAGCCAAAGCATCTTGCAGGATTCCTAATGATTAAAAGCATAAGATAAAACATGATAAGGTTCTATATAAACATTTAAAAATGATTAACTGTGATACAAAATTAAAATAAAATCCAAAATAAAACCTAGAAGCAGTGCAAACATTGACAAGTCAGTGGCAGATCTAAAACAGCAGAAACTGAAAGTGTGTTCTGTAACTGGGAGGCCACAACAGAAAAGTCTCCATCTTCTTGGTAGCCGTCCATCTCCTTGCCCTTGGTGGAGATGAAACTGGTGTCATTCCAGGCAACCTGCAGGAATATCTGATTTCTCGAGCATCTGAAGAGGGTGGAGCCTTTAACGAGCGCTACATCGCAGCGGCTTCCTTCAAGGAAACCAAGGACCGGACACGGGTCGTGGCCCTCTTCAACAACCAGCCGTACCACTCGTCCGCGGCAGCACTGTCGCTGGCAGACAACGCCTTGCTGAAGCTGCTGGCTGGCCCCAATGCATCCATCACAGTTGCGAACTACCCACAGCCCCGCAATGTGACCGAGACTGCAAAGGACCAGCTCATGGAGTGAGTCCAAGCTTCCTCCTCCTCCTCTTGCCAAAATACAAATACATATATTCCTTAAAAAATAATGCAGGTAGTACACGTGGAAGCATATTAAATATGTGATGGAAATTTGCAATGACACAAGCTTTACTTTTTCCAATAAATAAAGAAGGGAATGCCCATTTACTAAAAGGGCATGGCAGGGTTTCTTTTTTCATTTATTCCAACACAAATTTAGCAGATATTGCAAAATCATGGAATTGCTCAAATTTCACATTTCCCACCTATTTTTATACATTTTTTGGGGCAAAAATTGCTTCAGAACCCTTGGAACCTTTGCATCAGAAGCTCCCTTGCACGGGGACTGGCAAGGTCCCCGGGAGATGGTGCAAGTGGCATTCCTTAGTGGGCTGGGTTTGGCCCAGGACTGCCCGTTGTTCACCTCCCGGCTGGATTCAGGCTCACCCTGCTTGGATCTTTCCTTGCCATTATTGTCTCCCACCTGGAGCCCTTTGCTTAGATGGGCTCCTGGACAAAATCAGCAGGAAGTGTCCGTCTGATTGTTCTGACTTTTAATTCCCGCTAGAGGCCAGACGGGCTTTGCCATCGCAGTCAACCTGCTGTACGGAATGTCCTCCCTGTCCAGCACCTTTGCACTCCTCCTCGTCAGTGAAAGGGCCACCAAGGCCAAGCACGTGCAGTTCGTCAGTGGCGTCTACGTCGCCAGCTTCTGGCTCTCGGCCCTCCTGTGGGACCTGCTCAGCTTTCCCATCCCCTGTGTTTTCATGCTGGTGAGTCAACCCCGTTGTATTTATTTATCGCATTTGCATACCGCCCAGTAGCCCGAGGGCTGTCAGGGTGGTTAACAAAGCTAAAAGGTAAAGCATATAAACAAAGCAGAAAACACGTAAGAGACCATAAAGCGGTAAGGGAATAAAAGCACAGCAGTCACAATCAGATCAGTATGGAGGTGCGGCAGCAGCGCAGAACAAAATGCAAAACTAAGACTGATACGTTCAGAGAGAAACTGGACGGCCCTCTGAGTGGGATGGTGTAACTTGGTATCCTGCAACCGCTGGGGCTTGGACCCGATGGCCTTCCTGGCCCCTTTCAACTCTACTATTCTGTGATTCTAGGTTAATTGTTAAAATGCTGGGAAAATAAAAGGTTTTCACCTGGGCCAAAAAGAATAAAGAGTAGGGGCCAGGCATTCCAGTGGAGTATGGCTGCTGGTTCCGTGATTGGGGGGTAGTCACTCCAGAAGACCCTGCTGTGGTGTGACGGCTGCTTATTACGCCAGCAACACCACTGGCCATATGGGCTGGTGAGAAGATCTAGTGGAAATGGGGTGGCATTCGGCCCTGTGGTCAAAATGATTAAACGTTTTGTTGGTGAGTGTATTTTGGGAGTTATATTGGTGTGGGAGGACATTGTAAGTCAGTTTGGAAAAGCATGATGCAGATGTAAGTACTCTAAGCTACTATTCATCCGATTAAACTATGAAAGGATTCATTTTATTAAATTATTAAGGATTCAGTCCTATGCACATGGGAATTCTAGGAATGGTGGTACTTTTTTCTATGCAACATGCTTAGGGTTCTGCCCTTATCTGAGTTCATGTTTAGCAAATTATTTTTAAACATGTTTTGAATGACTGTCTATTGTCCCAATACCTCATTGCCCAGACAGACAGATAGAAGTGACAGACTTTGTATATTGATCCTACTGAAATACTTCCTTTGGTCTCTCCATACATAGAAGAATTCTAGAAGTTGATTTTGTTTAAATAAGCACTGAAAATTCAAGAAAGGAAATTGGAGAATTCCTGAGGGTGACGTGCAGCTGTACTAATGCAGTCCCCACCCGGTCCGAGCAATCAGGCATGTGCTTTGTCAGCAGGAGTCCTGGACTCAGCTGGCAGCATCTCCATCTAAATGGCAGCTGGAGCAAAAAGGCAGCAAGGGACCAGAAAAAGATGCTTTCTCTGTCGCAGAGCAGAAGGCAGAGCCTGCTCAGGACGTTTTTCTGCCTGTAGGATAACATTCTTTCCCACATGCAGAAGTCACGGGAGTGATAATCCGATCTTACTTTGACAGCAGTAATGGCACAGCTTCCCCCACCGCATCGAAGAGTGATAAACTCACTGTGGGGGTGTGGGGCGGGCTGTGTGCCTCCCGCCCAGCGCGGCCCTTCAGCGCGTCACTGCTGCGGCTCTGCGCCTGCGTGCTGAGGCAGCTGCCACCCTGGGCCCAGTGGTCGGGCTGGCCCTGCAGGAGAGCCGCTCTCAGAACAGAACAGATGTTCCTGCATCAATGGAGCAAAGGGCTGGCCTCTTTCTCCCCTCAGAAAAGCCATTCTGACTGATCCAGCAGGAGCGGAAGGGGAAGGAAACTGTTCCTCACCATCCCTTCAAATAGGCTTTACCCCGAGGCCCGATTCTGTATGTTCTCCCTCCTTAACACTGAGTTCTTGCATGCTGTGTCTTAATTTAGGTCGCAAGCCTGAGAACAGGGGTGGTTGTGCTACTGCTGTAAACTGCCCAGAAGGCTTTGGAGGATGAGATGAGGATGATGCAGCCTTTGTAAGCTGCTCTGGAAGTCTGCTTGGCTGAAGGGCTGGGTATGAATGTGATAGGAGACTGGACAGTCCAAGCACCTGTCTGTGGTCTTCATTGTAATCCCACCTTCCTCATGTACCCATCCAGGTGATATTCCAAGCCTTCGATGTGAAAGCTTTCACCCAGGACAACCATCTGGTGGATGTAATGCAGATCTTTCTCCTCTATGGCTGGGCCATCATCCCCCTCATGTACCTGCTCAGCTTCTTGTTCTCTGTGGCATCCACAGCCTATACCTGCCTCACCATTTTCAGCATCTTCTCAGGCACAGCCACCTTTCTGGCAGTCACAATCATGAGTTTTCCAGGTAAGGCGCCCGGATTGCCACTGTGTTCATGGGGAAAGTTTGCTGGCCGCTGCCATCCTTGTTCCTTCAGTAAGTGTGTAATATTCATATTAGCTGCTCCCCACAGTTTGAGGAAGTGGCCACCAGGTAGCTAACAAAACCAACCCAAGCAAAATAAAAGAGACAGTGTGGTGCAGTGGTTAAGTGTGTAGGGCTGGGACTCAGGCAATCTGGGTTCTAGTGCCTGCTCAGCTCAGCATGGAGCCAACTGTGTGACTTTGGGGCAGTCAGACTCTCAATCCAGCCTACCTCACAGGGTTGTCGTGGGGGTAAGGCTGAGAGCAGGGGAGGAGTATGATGTAAACTGCTTTGAGTTCACCGAAAGGAAGAGGCGGAAGATACATCTAATAAATAAGCAAATAATTTTAAGAATACTACAATATAGCACAAACACAGCTACCGTGCAAAGCAGTACAGGATCACGGACATAAAAGAGCATGGTTAATTTTAGGAAAAGTCTGAGTGAATGGGTGCATTTTCTGGAGACTTTGGCAAGATATGGAGTTTTTCTGCCTTCTGAACAGAACTTAATCTCCGGTGGTTTGACCCACGCAAAGGCCACTCCCTTGACTGTCCCCACTCTTGTCTTTCAGAGCTGGGGATGCTGGACCTCTCCAAGGTGCTGGACAAGGTGTTTCTCATCCTACCCAACTACTGCCTGGGCCAAAGCATCAGCGAATTCTACCAGAATTATGAGTTCATGAAGTTCTGCACTTCCTCTCTTGAGGCTTCCATTGTCTGCCGGGCATTTAGTGAGTATCCATGATCAGAAACTTCCTCTCCAATTTACAAAAATAGGTAGCTAAAATTTCTGTTAATTGGCCAGTAATTAAGTTCTTAAGCCTTTGCTTTTCCCAGGTCACTTCTATCACCTCTGGTTAGGACTGAGGGAGCGTAGGAGAGCTTTCTTCTCTCTCTCCTTATTTTATTTATTTATTCGATTTTTATCCTTCCCCATTAACCATAAGGCTGCCTGGGCAGATTTGTCTGTCGTCCGTCCGTCCGCCTGCCCGCCCTTCCTATACCACCCAGCTGAAGCTGTCTGGATGGTTCACAACAATTTAAGAATAATTTAAAACATAAAATACAGTATAAAATACAGCATAAACAATTAAATAGTTAAGACCATGGTTTAAAATACAAGTAAGGTACTGGCAGCCATACTAAGATGTAAAACACAATACAGAATGTAAAATAGACTGCAACTAAAACTCCTAGGAGAATTTTTGGGAAAATAAAAAGGACGTGTAAGGATTTCGGGCTGGTCTACAGGAATCTTGGGTTGCCTGGCCTCAGCTCCCTAGGCTCCCATCTACCTTCTTTCTTGTGGGTGTGAGTTTAATTCCCAGGCCGGTGTGCCAAGTGTGCACACACGCACGCACCTGCCAGGAAGCCAGCCTGCACAAACGCTGCACGCGCGGCATCCTTCTTCCGCACACGTGGCTCGCGCCCTTTGAGCTGCACGTGCTGCCGAAGAGGGTTGCCACTGGCAGGGGCTCCCACACAAGGACCCCTGAGATATTATGGGCTGGGCAGGTCTATGTGGGAGGGACGATTCTTCTTTGCTTGCGTGCACCATTGCGCATTTCGAATTTTGCACGTCCATCTCGTGTCCAGCCCTGCGATTCTTTATGACTGGTGCTAATTTCTCAGCTCCCCACTCAACTCTGGGAAATAATTTTCAGAATTGCATCGCTGACATTAGTGCGTTACAGTCTGGGCACAATGAAGTAAGCGCAGCGAACCCTCGTCAGTCCTTCGCTTAAGGGAGTGACGGAAATGCGTAGCTCTTTCCCGCCGAAGGCATTGGGACTGAAAAGTGTGTGTCTGGGGCTGGTTGTGTCGTGAGAAGCGGATTCAGCGGCTGCGCTGGCATAAAGCAGCAGCGGCAGAACCTTGTTTGCACTTGCTAATAAAAGAGGAAAAGTGTCCCGTGGCTCCCAGACCTGCAGCAGTACCAGATTCTGGAGGCAAATCGCTGCCTTCCCCCTTCATACTAGGAAGCACGAATAAGGTTGTGCTAGCATTGGTTTGCATCAGTGCATCAACACTGGTGCGACACCACTATTGGCTGTCCTGGGTGGGGCATGCTGGGAATTGTGGCCCGTTTTCCCTCCCATTGGTCTGTACCTTTAGTCTGTAAGGACTCCAAAGTGGATGGTGTAACCAGTCTCTTTTCCCTCTCGCCTCCTCTCCCCACCTTTCCTCCCCACCTTTCAGATATAAGCTACCAAAAAAATTATTTTGCCTGGGAGAAGCCTGGGATTGGCAAATACTTGACCTCCATGGCAGTGCAAGGGCTCACCTTTCTCCTCCTCCTGTTTCTCATCGAGACCAACCTCCTTTGGCGACTGAGGACCATCGTCTGTGACATGCGCCGGAGGCGGAAATGGGTAAGGTCTGTACAGAGGAAGAGGCTTTCCTGGCTGATCAGGCTGTGCCACCGCTGCATGGAGTGACCCCAGCAGTTTGGCCATGTGGAAGCGGATGCGCCATTGAGAGTCTTCCAAAGCTGTGTTCGTTCTGCCAAGGCAAAGCACGCTTCTGGCTCTTATGGATGCAGAGATGCATTTGAAACTGGGTAGTCACTGCCTAGCGAACTCACAGGGACCAAGAGAATCGCTGACAAATATTTCTGGCGCTTGTTAGACAATGGATGTAGTGCAGGGATGAAGCACGTGAGGCTCTGGGGAGCGGCTGCGTGCTCCTCCTTTAAACCCCAACCATTTGGTGGCTTCCTGGTCTTTGTGCAGCATTTATTTCCTCCATTCGAGAAGGTGAAAGTGCCTCTCTGGAACTTGAGCTGCTGGCAGGAAGAGCATCTCTTTGTATGTCTTTCTGTTGGTTTAATTTAATCTTCCCCAATATAGGCACCTTCTTGATGTTCTGACTTACAATTCCCAGAACCCCTAGCCAGGGTGCCCAGTTGGCCTGCTAAGTGGGGATAATGGGAAATATAGTCCAACACATTGAGAGGGTGCCATGTAGGTGAAGTCTGCCTTCATGAATTGATTGGCCCTTAAGAACTCATAATCCAAATATAATGATCATTCTGTAAAAAATAGACCCCAAACCAAACACTATTCTCTCATCATTTCTGAACACGCAGGCACCATGGCAGCCTCCCTCTCCTTAGGAGATGCTGCGGCTTTATATTTTTAAAAAGAAATAATGCCTAATTAGTCAAGGGCTTCTCTTTTTATATCTGAAAAACTAAGATTGCACTACTGAAGCCTCTGAGCATCTTGTTCTAGCCCTACAGGTTGCTCAGCCCTGCCAGACGATTCTGTGGCTGCGCCCGTTGCTCACGTGCCGTTGGCTTTTCCCGAAACAGGTGATGCTGCTCAACAGAGCCCCCGTCCTGCCTGAAGACCGGGATGTTGCAGACGAGCGGAAGAAGGTTTTGGAGTCGCCGACGTCATCGCTTTCGTCACTGAACAGTCCCCTCGTCATCAAGGAGCTTACTAAGGTGACGCCTCTGGCCCTCCTACGGGGCTTCAAGAGATGCACTCCAGGGCGGCCTTGTTAAAAGCCACTTCCTCGTGGAAGGCCCCATCCCAGTGAAAAGAGAGGCTGTGTTGCATAGGTTCTGGCCCTGATAAGGGCGGGTGCTGCAAACGCCCCTGCTGGAGCCCCCGGAGAGCCCCTGCCAGTCGGATCAGTGGCAGCCTCATTTCTTCCTCTGCTCAGCTTATATTCACTGTACAAGGCTGCACTGGGGCAGCATTCACCTCTTGGTGTGGAGCTACGCTGCTAGAGAAACTGCCACTGCCTGCTTAGTGGGAAGTGAATTAATGCAAGTTTGCAAGTAGCTATTTACCTGTGGCAAACGGGATTGGCCTGCAGGCAATCCGCCGTTTTGTAGGAAACTAGTGGCTCTTCCCATTGGGGTTTTGGTGTTCTGGAAAGTTTGGAAGACTGGTTATCTGCCATTCTGGATTTAAGATGTGGCTGATTTGTTGTTGTTGTTAATTTCATTTCTATACTGCCCAACAACCAAAGCTTTTTGGACAGTATGTACAGTGGTAGAGGCGTGGTAATAATGAGGAGCTTTATTGTGCTTTTGTGGCGCACAGGAGGGTGAAGCAGAAGGAAAAGTAGCTGTTATCCAAAGGCTGCGTTTAGGCTCACTCCGAGGATTGGGCCGACCCAGTGGGATCTTGGCCTGGGGCAACAGACTCTGATCCCTGTGTTGAATTGCAAAGTGCTTCTGAAGGTTTTCCCTGCTTCGACAGTGGTTTGCCATGTGGCTTTGTCAGGTGCTGAGGAATGTTTGAGGAACGTGAGCCCAGAGTTCCCTTGCCCGGTTGTATCCCAGATATTGGCTTCTCTGGATTTTGTTTGTTTTATTTCTTACATGTTTATGTGGTCTGGTAGCTGAAGCACAGATAGGCTCAAAAAGAAGTCGAGGTATCTCCCCAATTCCACTCCAAATTAGATAATACTAGATCATTTCTGAAGCCACTAAGTTTTCCTGAGGGGGTGGGGTCCTCCAAAGCAGCCTCCTATATAAAGCACTGGGGCACTTGGGAGGGAGGGGAACAGCCACTGCTCTCTTGGAGCTCCAGCCTCAGCATCCTAGGAGCTCAAAGAACCTTCACAGGCCAGACAGGGGACCTCTGCAATCAAATGTGGCTGAAGCTTCCTCATCCCTGTTCCAGAGGAACAAAACTCTGAAGTCAGGCTGTTTCTGGGGCCCTAAAACTGGCCAGGTTCCCACCCGTATGGCCCCTATTTTCAGTGATTTACACCAGTTGGAGGCAGTGTGCGAAAAGGCCCATGTCCCACCTCTTATGCAGGTGAGGGTACCTTACCTGGAGGCCGCCTGCTCCCAAGTCCATTCCTGCCGGGGGAGCAAGGCCAGCCTTCACGCCCTGGTGCCCTGCCCTTCCAGGTGTACAGCAGCAGGGACTCGTGCCTGGCCGTGGACAGAATCTCCCTGGCGGTCAACAAGGGCGAGTGCTTCGGCCTCCTCGGTTTTAACGGGGCGGGCAAAACGACCACCTTCAAGATGCTGACCGGGGACGAGACCATCACGTCCGGAGATGCCTTTGTGGACGGGCACAGCATTCTGGCCAATATCAAGAAGGTAACCAGTGGGTGGAGGAGCTGCGCGTGTGTAGCAACGCTTTATGTGCTGACTTGCAGCATTTTGAGACTGAAGGCAGTGTAAAGTGGGGGGGGGGAGTAAATGCTCTTGGTGGCTGCTGGGCCCTGTGGCCTTCCCGGACAGGGAGTCTTGCCCAGAAGCTTGTCCCGAGAAGGGTGGCCTCGGTAACCTTCCCAGCAGGGCTCTAGCAGCTCCTCTGGGGCCACGTAAGGCAGTAGCAAGTAGGTTGGCTTGCTGACTCGGTCTCCTCGGCGTGTCGTTCGTGTTCAGGTCCAGCAGCGAATTGGCTACTGCCCTCAGTTCGATGCCCTTTTGGACCACATGACGGGGAGAGAGACCCTGAGCATGTACGCCCGGCTGCGGGGCGTCCCGGAGCGCTACGTCGGCAGCTGTGTGGAGAACATGCTGCGAGGGCTGCTCTTGGAGCCACACGCGAACAAGCTGGTCAGGACATACAGGTGAGGCCGAAGCACGGCCGGTCCCTTGGTCCACTGGGGGGACTGTCAGATGAGCCCCACCGTGGGCCCCGATCCACAAGGCCATCACTGCAAGACGACAGGAACATAGAAGCAGCGCAAGGCAGAAGGGGTCTCCCGGGCCATCTTGTCTGACCCCTGGCTCCGCTCATGACGTGCCTACCATGTGCATGTCCAGCCTATCCTGTCCTTGAACACCCGCACCGATGGGGCTTCAGTAGAAACATAGATACATGGTGTTGCAAGCTGGGTTCCCCCTTATCCATTTTTTAAAAAAAGGCAGTCTCTTTGCAAAATAGTCCTTTATTTCTAGTTCACAGCTAACAAACTGCAGCCACAAGAAGGCTCTTTGCACGAACAAAGTGTTTCATTGACCCCAAACTAGAAACTGCAGCCCAAACTAGAGCGCTCCTTTTCGGTAGCCCTGCACTCCACCCCGGACCGTGCCCTCTGGAGAAGGGCTGGCTTTCTGGGGCTACGCAGGCCCTCTGCTGTGGGGTCAAGGACTGCTCCTCTCCGAGCTTGTCTCCCTCCTCTCCCAGGCCTGTCTGTTCCAAGGTCTGCACGAACCCCTGGAGACAGAGGCCTCGGATTGCCTCCCACTCCTCTGCCACCTTGATGTCCACACTCCCCACTGCTCGGCCTTCACAGCCCTCATCCAAAGAGCTGGTGCCATCCTCACCCCGGAAAGGAGCTGCCTCTGTCATTCCCAACATAGGCAACATTTTAGAGATTCTGTTTTTCTCCAGGGGGCAACACATTCGACAGAGGTCAGTCCTGGGAAGCATGTCCGGACCTCTGGGATTCCCCCAAAGGCCCCCACCATGAATTCTTCAGCAGCTTCCCGGTTCTGCGGCATTTTCCCCACACTTCCATTCTAAGTCTGGCTTCTTTGCGATATCTCGGATAGGATGTCCGAGTCCCAGCTGTTTCACAGGAGCAGCAATGAAAGCAGCTCTTCCAGCCCCTTCCTGGGCCACTGAAACTAAAGATACTTGGGAAGAAACCAGGACTGTGCTTATATCGAACAGAACCATGAGGTTATTTCTGGCACTGAAAACAATTTCCTGGCTAAGCAGGTGCTTGGCAGGTGCCCCATTCATGAGTCTGAACTACGTCTCTGTCCTCCCAGCCACATTTTTTTCGTTGGTACATTTTTCAGTCCTCTGGTACAGGACCGGCAGCACCCACCTACTGTCTACCAGAATCATTGTTCTCAGGGCTACTCTTCTCCCTCCACAGTGGCGGCAACAAGCGGAAACTGAGTGCCGGAATAGCCCTGATCGGAGGGCCCTCCGTCATCTTCCTGGATGAGCCCTCCACCGGCATGGATCCTGTGGCGAGGCGCCTGCTCTGGGATGCGGTCGCCAGGACAAGGGAATGTGGGAAATCCATCATTATTACTTCTCACAGGTTAGGATGGCTCTCCTGCCCTCTGGAAAGAGGGAGGGTTTGTTCTGTAGCTTCTCGCAAACTCGGTTCCCCTGTATGCAGATCGGAAATGGTACTGATTTACCCTGTAGGGTTGCTGGGAGGCCAGACACAAACTGAAGACAGTGAAGGAACATGACTGAAGAGCACAGTATAAACCCAGAAGTGGTGCCCTCCTGCTTTAATTCCAGTTTTCTGGAACATCTTCTCAAGAGCTGATAATTTCCCCAAGAGCAGGAGACCTGGAGGCTCAGAGGTCACCTGGCTGGAGGTCAGGGCTCATGGCGTCACTCTGCCTTCCACAGCGCTTTCCAAAAGCCACATCTTTGCATTCCCACGCACTTCTGATGCCTCACAAATTCTCTATTCTTTCCAGTCTGCTACTTGAAACTTTTGCAAAATGGTTAAAAGCACACGCATGCCCCGTAAATTTACAAACACACTCAGTGCACATATTAAATAAATAGCATGCTTTTATGCATAATTAAGATAATGTATTTCAATGTTAATGTGAGCTAGAGTGCAGGTGGAGGAAGTCTCGTGATGAGTCTGATCGAACATGTTGCGCACTCACTATCAAGCCTATTCTGTGGCAATAAAGCAGGCGAAGCGTGACTTCTTTGCCTCCTCTGTTGCTTCCTCACAGTGCCATCCAGTTGAGTTGTTTTGGGTGGTCCGGGGCCTCCTACAAGCTGGTTCACCAGATGAGACCCTGGAGCTCTCGACGGCTCGCTATGACAAAGTTGCTCAGCACTTTGAAGGAAAAATAGCTCGGATCTGTCAGGAGCTTGACTCTACTGCTTGTATACATCAATCTTTGGAAGTGTCCAGTGTCTTACGCATCATTGGATGAGTTTCAGTTGTTGCCACCCGAGGATGTGGGCAGGGTGGTTGGCTCTGTCTGCTTAACCACATGCCTGCTTGACCCATACCTGACTTGGCTGGTTGGAAAGTCTGTGGATATGGTTTGGCCCTGGGTCCAGGAGGCTGTCAACGCCTCATTGAGAGAGGGAGTGGTCCCTGTCCCATTGAAGGAGGCAGTAATTAGACCCCTCCTAAAAAGGCCAGGCCTGGATCCAGGGATGCTGAATAACTACCGTCCCGTCGCCAGCCTTCCACTTTTGGGCAAGGTGTTGGAGTGGGCGGTGGCTCGGCAGCTTCAGGCACTCTTGGAGGATACGGATTATCTGGACCCATTTCCATCGGGTTTTAGGCCTGGGCACAGGACGGAGATGGCCTTGGTCGCCCTGTATGATGACCTGTGCAGGGAGAGGGACAGGGAGTGTGACCCTGTTGGTTCTCCTGGACCTCTCAGCGGCTTTTGACACCATCGACCATGGTGTCCTTCTGGACAAGCTGGCCGGGTTGGGAGTGGGAGGCACCGCTTTACGGTGGTTCCGCTCCTACCTGGCTGATCGGGTCCAGAAGGTGGTGCTGGGGGACAGTTGCTCTACCCCATGGCGGCTGCGTCATGGGGTTCCTCAGGGCTCTGGACTGTCCCCAAGGGTGTTCAATAGCTACATGAAACCGCTGGGAGAGGTCATCTGGAGGTCTGGGCTGAGGAGTCAGCAAGATGCTGATGACACTCAGCTCTACCTCTCTTTCTCATCTAATCCAGGTGAGGCTGTTGCCGTCCTGAGCCAGGGCCTGAGCTCGATACTGGACTGGATGAGGGTCAATAAACTGAGACTTAATCCTGGTAAGGAGGAGGTACTATTGGTAGGGGGACCTCTGATAGGTTAGCAGGGCCTTGCCCTGTCCTGGAGGGGGTCACACTCCCCCTAAAGGACAGGGTCCGCAGTCTGGGGTGCTCCTGGATCCTGGTCTGTCCCTGGAATATCAGGTGGATTTTCCAGCTCCGCCCCTACCTAGACAGTGGGAACCTGCGGAGAGTTGCCCATGCTCAGGTAGCTTCCCAAATAGATTATTGCAATGGGCTCTATGTGGGGCTGCCCTTGAAGATGGTCCGGCAATTGCAGCTGGTGCAGAATCGGGCTGCTCGGCTGGTCACTGCTACTGTCAGAGCGGCCCACCTAACACCAGTGCTGAAAGAATGTCCCTGGCTGCCGGATGTGACCCAGGCCCAATTCAAGGTGCTTGTATTGACATCTGAAGCCCCAGACAGCTTGGGGTCCGGCTATCCGAGGGACCGTCTGCACCCATATATGCCTGCCTGCCCCCTTAGATCAGCCCAGGAGGCCCTTCTGTGAGAAGCACCCCTCAGGGAGACGAGAAGGGTGGCCACCAGGCGAAGGGCCTTTTCTGCTGCTGCTCCCATCTCTGGAACTCCCTCCCTAGGGAAACTCGCCTGGCGCCATCCCTATTTTCCTTTCGGTGCCAGGCACAGACCTATCTTGTTAGGATTTTTTTAATGTTTAGCCTATATGCTGTGGCCCTTTTTAATTGTTTTTATAGATGTCTAATTTATTATGTTTTAGTTGGTTCTTTATATGTTTTTACTGTTGGTATGTTTTACATTGTAAGCCGCCTAGGGAGGCCTCAGCAATTTTAGGCGGCCTATAAATATATGTAAATAAATAGAAACAGAGTGAGTCAGAAGGGGTCTCCCGGGCCATCTAGTCTGACCCCTCTGGCTCCAGTCGGCTCCGCTCACGACATGCCCACCAAGTGCATGCCTTAAATCTCCTTTACAAAACCATGTGCATAAGAGTTAACTTTCAGTGTGGGAGGTTAACCAGGCATGGCTTCTGCCTCCCCACTTGTGTCGGAGATGATCCTGTGCAAGCGACGTCTTGCATCTGAGTTCAGTCCTGCCTGCTTTGAAGAATGCACTCGTCTCCAACAGCTTGGGTTCTGCAAGATCTGTGGCAATCAGTCTGACTAGAAACCAGTTTACCTCTGCAGTGTGTACGTGCCCGCATAGTCTGTCCTTAAGCTTGCAGGAGCCGGATACTTCACTACGACTGGTGATTAAGAAGTAGGGCGGCTTGCTCCTGTGTAGGAGGGTCACAGTTCTAGTCCTCACTGAGTCTTGCCACTGCATCATCCTCACAGGCTGTTCTCTGCAGGTTGCTTGTGTTCTTGCTGCCTCGGTTATTCCCGCAGGGCTTGTGGCCCCTCTTGTGCTGAGGCTGAGCAGGTGGCGCTCCCTTGACTCTCTTGTCCCTTTGCCACAGCATGGAGGAGTGTGAGGCCTTGTGCACCAGGCTGGCCATCATGGTGAATGGACAGTTCAAATGCCTGGGCAGCCCTCAGCACCTGAAGAGCAAATTTGGCAGTGGCTACACCCTGCTGGCAAAAACCCACAGCGACGGGGAGGACAACCTGCAGGCCTTCAAGTCGTTCGTGGAGAAAACGTTCCCAGGTACGTGGCGCTTGGGCAGGAGCTCACGGCACCCAAGCCCAGAAGCCTTTCTTCCTCTCTCACACAGGATGCTGCCCTTGATCAGGCATTCAGAATTTCAGGGTTGGGGCTACCTCTGGCCTGTGTTGGGCCCAAGGGCAGCCCGGATGCCCTGGCCCCAGCCCCTTTCCCCAACCACCAATCCCAGTTTTTGTAGTCCCGGGTTTTGCACAGTCCTTTTCTCCGTTCTAACAAAAATGGCACGCCTCTCTTAAAGCTGAGGTGCTGGCATCAAGGGTGTGAAGCCAAATTAAGTTTGTCTTTGGGGCTCTTTTGGCCCTTTCCTTCTGCCCTGTGCCCTTGGCTTTCAGTCCTGCCCACAAAAGGAAGGCAGCCCACGACCTGCCCGGGATCCTCTCCAAAGCAACATTCATTCATTCCCAGGCTGAAAGAGGCTCCGCATCCCTGCAGTAAACCAAACCCAGATACTTGTCTGTCTTACCCCGAATGGCCCACTCAGGCGGTCCAGAGTCTCCGGCATTTATCCTTCCCACTGACTGTATGCGATGGCTTTAAATCTGGCAATACTTGGGGGTTGAGCCCAGCGGCTTCTGCCTGCACGGCAGGGGCTGTATCAATGTTTCGAGGTGCCTGGGGCAAAGGTACCACTGGGGACCTCATGCCCTCCACCCTTCTACCTCTGAGCAAACCCACAAGGAAGAAGACCTCTCTGGGTGTGGGTGGAGAGATTCTTTCAATTCACATCTGTTCTCGGAGCCTTCTTGGTCACTTGTGAGTGGCTGAGCCACATAATAGTAATTGGTCTGCCACGAACTAAAGGCCTCTTAATTTGATTTAATCAGATTAGTTTTAATTAAATAATCGGTTAATTAATGGATTATATATTTGCATAGTTCAACCTATGGTTCTGAAAGGAGAAGCAGATGTCATAGGAGGCTTCATCTTAAAAGAGGTGTGAGCTAGAAAGGGGGATACCTCTTTTAAAGGTTCTTTTACAGTCTACAGAAGCAAGGCAGAGAGTGTGCTGGAAGTTCTCAGACTTTATCTGTCTAAATTTGCATGGGATTGCACCCTAAATTTGCCACTCAGCTAAAAACAGACCAACCATTTCTTCTGTACTTCTCTTTTTTGTACTTGAGATGGGGGAGAAATTTGTTTGATTCACGTGTTAACTGTCTTAATTTGCACGCCCTGGCCATGGAAATTTGGTTTGGTTCTCATGCTTGTTTGAAGTTTGCAATGCAGTTCTCAGATTTTAAAAAATACATTGCAGAAAAGTGCATGCAAAATACATGTAGCCTAGTTAAGTTGCATACAGAAATGCATACGGAGGAATGTAAGCACAGCCCTGCTGCCTCAGACCCGAAGGTCTATCTAGTCCAGCATTCTCTTTCCACAGTGGCTAAGCAGCTGCCTTTGGGAAGCCCAGAAATAGAACATGAACGCAAGAGTGTTCCAGAAAGTGGTATCCAGAGGCACAAGAATTTCCATCTGTGCAAAAATTAATATGAATTTTCACTTCAGCTTCTTAAAAAATGGCAAACTGAAGCAGAAATAGAATGGAGTGAACTTCTGCTTGAAAAAATGTGACCGTGTATAGAAAATCAAAAAGACAGTTGGGTTGGGCCATCTATGTCAGTATCTGAGCCACCTGCTGTGGGTCTTCTCTTCACTGTGAACCAATATGGCACAATCTTACTTCTCTTCCAGGGAGTGTCCTAAAGCATGAACATCAGAATATGGTGCATTATCACCTCATTGATAAGACACTCAGCTGGGCACAGGTAAGAGCTGGGATCAGGGTAAATGTGAGGTTGTGAAAAGATCTGAGGTTCAGACTCACAGGACCGAAAATACAGCACATGTACATATTTGCATATGTTGTTGTAACGTACCATCCGGTTGTCTTCAACCTGTAGCAACAGTATGATTGAAAACCCTCCAGAATGTCTTCTTGACAGCTCCATCCAGCTCTCCCAAATTAAAGGCTGTGGGTTCCTTTATGCATCAATGCATCTCTGCCCTTTTGTCTTCCCCAACATGATTGTCTTTGTGTGTCTTCCAAGGAGGGTGTCTTCCAGGGACACCCCTCTTTGTGGAAATGGATGTAAAGGCAAGGGAGAGGAAGGTTTGCTGTGAGAAAAAGGTATCTGGAAGAAAGATTCAGGACTCAGCAAGCAGTGAAGCACATGTGGGCCAAAAGCCAGCTAATCCAGGGGGCTTAGATGTCACCAGGGTCCCCAGAGCTTTATCGCAGCAAGTGTCCCTAGACAGCAGCTGTGGGGAGGGAGGGACTTTCCAGCATTGTGGAGCTCCAGCCCTAGTGGACCAACCCACTTGGCCGGGGAAGACCCATCAGGAAGAGCAGGCCAAAGGACTGGTTGATGGCTCTCCTTTTGCCAGTGATGCCCAGGGAAGCGAGTCAAAAGGGGCACCCTGGGGCATCTAGTCTGACCCCCGGCTACAGCCAGTTCCTCTCATGTAATCCCCGACATGTGGTTGTCCAGTCTTTCCTTGAGCTCCCTCACTGACAGAGTCTCAACCACCTCCTTTGGGAACCCATTCCATATCCTAGGGGTCCGAACCATCAGGAAGTACTTCCTGACATCCAGCCTGAAGCCTGTTGCTTGAGCTTTGCCCCATTGGAACCTCCTGTCCTCCACTGCAGGGAAGAACAGGTCATGGCCCTCCTCCACATGACATCCCCTCACATACCTGTACGTCGCTAAACGATCCCCTTGGGTTCTCCTCTTCTCCAGGCTGAAAAGACCCAGTTCCCTCAACCTCTCTTCATATGCCATCCCTCCCAACCAGGCAGCCATCCCTGTGACCCTGTGCTGAATCGATTCTAACTTAGCTATGTCTCTCCTATAATGTGGAGCCCAGAATTGGACATTGTACTCTAGTTGTGGGCACACCAGAGTCATGTTGAGTGGTATCAACACCTCCCTAGATCTGGAAGACACGCTTCTGGCTATAGTCGCATTTGTTTCAGCACTCCAGTTTGCCTATTGAAGAGTGAGTGCCTTGTGGCCAGCCGTGGCAGCCATTTCACGAGTGGAAACACCTGGCAGCCATTTTGTGAGAGGAACCACTGCCTTGTCTGGAAGTGTCCCCGCTGAGCCAGACAGGCTGGGACAGCTGCCTAAGGCTGGGCTGAGCCTGCCTGCTGGCAGAAGGGCAGCAGAGAGGAGTTGCCACGCTCGCCCCACAAAATAAGGCGCTCCACCGCCTGCGGGCGGCCACAGAGAAAGCCCCGAGGACCTTTAGGAAGGGGTAAGAAAGCTCTTTGAAGGAAGGAGCTGCTGAATGAGAGCACACTCTCTTTCCCCCGCATTTTTCTGCCCTGCAGGTGTTCGGGGCACTAGAGAAAGCCAAAGAGAAGTACTGTGTGGAGGATTATTCCATCAGCCAGATCTCGCTGGAGCAAGTTTTTATGAGCTTTACCCATTTCCAGCACTACACGGAGGATCAAGGGAAGTGAGGCGAGAGCTGCCCCTTCGCCTGCACTGTGGACTGACCTGCTGCCTATACATCGTATACATTGAGACTGTAATTTATATCATCATCCACCATGTCTTTCAACGGTGCATCAAGGATGGACGTTTCCAGTTGGCTGGTGGGAAGGGGGAGGCTCCCACTTGTGTTGCGCCCCCGGGTTCAAGAGGGAGCGTGTGCATGGGTTGTCTTTGTCGGTCTGTATGTTCATGTGGGTGAGGCCTGGGAAGGGAAAGACAGGGCGGCCTTTCCGGGGTCTCGCCACCCCTCCAAGCCGACGAGAAGGGGCCGCCCGTTGGCACTCACTGGTCTCGTGCTGACTGACGTGACTCGGTGTCTGTCTGCCGGAACACTGTTCCTTCCCTCCTCTCCCCCAGAGCTTCCACCAGGTGGGGGCCGCCCCACGGCCCCCTGCATGCTGCTGCCTGGGTGCTTTAGCAACGCACACGTAGGTAGGGCTGCGACCCACATCTGTCCGTGCAAGCAACTGCCCCTTGTCACATCTCTGTCTTGCTGAGCCTGCCTTTCCCCATCCACATCCTCCAGTGGCCAAGAGCAAGAGGAGGGCAAAGAAACACGCGACGGATCAGGACCCCCACTCTGGGGCTGGCTTGGGGGCAAGTCCTTGATTTTACAGATGGGGGTATGATGCCGTTTGCTTTCCAGCGAAGTGTGAGAATGAATATAGTGTTGTTATAGCCCTTCTAGTAGGAATTCCATGGGCACCATTCTTTTTTTTTTTTTTTTTGAGGGGTGGGGGGTTGAAATCCTCTGAAATGCTGCACTCACAGTGCTGCACCCTTGTCTCTCCTCCTCTTCATGATGAATGTCTTTCGCAGCGGATGGCTTCCTTCAGGCTCCTGGTGCAGGGCAGTTCCACAGGCGGCTTTGATGTCAGTTAGAGAGGCATTGCTCGGTAATGTACTGCTCCCAATTTCCTCCTTCTGGGAGCCACTGGGGAACCCTCCCTGCGAGCTGCTCTAATTCACTGCAAAGAGTTGGGACTGTCAGTTAGACAGACCTGCCTTTCCGTCTGCTGCTATGACACAGTTCGCAGTGGCTGCACAGCCCCTCTCTGAAACCTGCATGCCCAGGCACGTGGCACCCGGCTGAGTGGGTCCGAGCGTCTGGCACCGAAGGCATGTCGTTACGTGGATTCAGCACTCTGCCCGCTTTTCGGGCTGGTCACCCTTGCACAAGAGAGCCATGGGCTGAGAAATGCTGCTTTTTCTCCCCTGAGGCCTGTAGGGACCCAAAGCAGCTGTTAACCACCCTGTGAGTTAAGCTGGGCTTAAATCCCACCAGGGAAGCCTACGCTTTGTGTGTAGAAATATCCAGCCCTGGCTGCAAGGTGCTTCCCAGCATCTGCCAATCAGCACCGGGCTGTCAGGGGGTGATGGAAGTTGTAGTCCAGCACATGCAGCATCTAAACTGGAGAAGCCTGCTCTAAGATAAGCAGGAGACCTCCCCACCGAGGGCTAGCCCCGCGTTCTCAGCATGGATGAACATATATCTGCAAAAAGAAAAAAAGAGCCGGGAACACCTACAGTAAAATGAGATCTTTCTGTTCAAACCACATGGCTTTTGATTTCTTTACATGAGCCTCTGTCTGGTGGTGGGGCATCATTTCCATGCTTGTGCCCTTCTTTAGCACACTGGAGCTAAAAAAAAGAGTAGCCATGCAAGAATCCTGGGAAATGTAAAATAGCTTTCTCCGAACAACTGGAATGTCAAAACTCAACCTTCAATATAGGGATGGTGAACCTCCAGCTTAGGGGGGCGAATCTAGCTTTCCGTGTTTCACCAAATGGCTAAACCCCCTTTCCCTCCTCCGTTCATCATTTGGTGGCTTCTTGGCTTTTCTGCATGTTATTTTCTCCCTTCTGTTCTAAAAGTCTCACCTAAGACTAATTCACTAAGAGCTTCATAGTTCAGTAAGCTGGAATGTATTGTATGTTGGCCTCAGCCTGTTTTGCTTTCGGCCTCGCCCTTTTTGACTTTGCCCATCGCTGGAATGTGGCCCCTGGAGTGTTTTGGAAAGAGGTTCTGCACCCCTGCTTTAGTGTTACACTGTTTAAAAAAGTCTGTCTACAGAGAGGAGCTGTCTAGTAGATCTTAGTTCGAGGAGGAGAAACCTGGGGCGCACTTTCCCGGGACCGGGGTGCTGCAGGTCACGTGCCCGGCTCCCAGGTGCATGCGCCTGGCGCCGTGTGCCTCTGTCAGGCCTGAATCACAGCTGCGCACTCGGCATCGGCTCTGCACCGAGCCCTCCGGACGCTGCTTTGCTGCGTCACCAGAGAGAGAACAGAGTCCGCGGGAAGCGGCCAGGCTGGGAGGAGGAACCAGCCCGTGGGTGAGACAGAAGCAGGAGCGAGCGAGTAGGATCGGGGTGGGGGGAGCAGGCGCAGAGGTGTCAAGGGTGGGGAGACAGCGAGGGAGGGCCACCTCTGTCTTGCTAAGAGCCCCCCCAGGATCTGAAGCAAGCACTGGGTGTGACTCATGGGCGAAGAGCAGGCTGCATGCTTTCAGTGACTTCGGCAGGAATTGGGGTCATGCTCACACCCCCACAGGGGATAGCGGCAGCTTCTGTTACTTGTGAGCAGAAAAAGGCGGGCATGTCGTGAGCGGAGCCGGCTGGAGCCGGGGGTCAGACTAGATGGCCTGGGAGACCCCTTCCGTCTCACTCTGTTTCTGTGTTCTAACTCGAGGGCCACTGGCAGAACAAGCCTAATCGGAGCCCCCTTCTCTAGGAACTGTAAGAGTAAGGACCGCCCCGTACTGTGGGTCTGTTCCGTTTGCCAGCACTCCAGCAAGGAGTTAGTTAAACGCCGGCTCAACACACTTGGTCTCCTTAGCCTTCCCAGGATCACCTGATCATCCATCCATTTGATTAATTAATTCCTATACCACCCACTAGTCAAGGTTGACTCATCTAGGTTTTGGAATGTGTCATTTCTTGCATCTGCAGAAGTTTTGCTAATGAGTAGAATTTGATATCTGAAATGCAATTTAGTGTCTGGAGTATCATAGCTTTCATTTGGCTTTTGCTGCTGTTTTAAGTGTTTTAAGTCTAGTCCATAGGGCTGTACAAATAAGCTTCAAAATATCAGTGAAATCTCTGAAGACATATAATGAGCTTAGCAAGCAGTACTTGCATGGGAGGGGTATTTCCTGATGTAATTTATCCCTCCAGGTAGCTTGGCCAAATGGGAACAGTTTGTGCAAACGAGCCATCAGGGGCAAACTTGCATAATCTACTTAGATTGGCAGTTGGGGCTTTCCTTCGTGTAGAGTTTTGATGCTGTGGGCATGGGGTGTATTCTCTTTCTCCCCCTGCTTGTTGTGCAAAGGACTCAGGGCGAACAAATGGTGCTGTTTTCGGTGGCCAAAAGGGATGCCTTCCCAGCCCTGCTCTGCTTAAGTGCCAGAGTTCTAGGGACCAAAGAGGCTTCTGGTTGTTACCAACACATGGATTTCCAATCTGGAAACAGTTAAGTGAGCGGCTGGTGTTGGGATGGAAGCGATATGACCGGGATGCAGAACCACTGGCCCAGGCGAGGAAACAGGCCCTCCTAGAGGTCGGGTCCAGGGCTCGGAGGTCCCCAGATGACCAGGCCCCCTTTCCTCCAGTCAGTTTGTGGGTTTCACAGCTTCTGTATATTTTTCCCTATTGCAAGATTTTGAAATGTCTCTCCTAAGGCTGAGCTAATGACAGTAAGCACTTTAAGCTAAAAAATACTGGTGTTTTGGCCTTGGCCACACTGGAATGTGCCCCCTCCCAGCACTTTTCTAAAATGGGATTTGGCCTTCTGGCTGCAGGAGCTTCAACGCTCCTATTCTGTGAGTTCTGGAGGAGAAGAGATGGGGGAGAGCCAGCACTCGGCCTGTTTTGCTTTGTGCTTCCAACTTTGCTTTTGAAGTGCATCGCACAGGAATGTTGTGGCTTCTGCCTGCGTACAACACACACTCTGGGATACGTGTGTTCCTGCTGACACCACGATCAGGCTGCTAGATTCTGTCTGTGGAGTCAAGGAGTGCCAAGAATTCGCTTTTCTACGCAAGAGCTGTGTGGCATTTCATTCTGCCTCTTTTTAACCCTTCCCCTTTTTTCACATCTGGGGTGCGGCCAAGTGTGTAGAGTTCCAGTCAGCCCATCCCAAGAATTCCAACCTGGAACTGGGAGAGACCAAAAGTAGGCAAGAAACCATTGGTGGGTTAGAGCAATGCAGTTGATGAGCCAGCCATTCAAGACAGACCAGAGGAAGTAATTAATGTATTAAAATCCAAAATTATTTATGTGGGGCATTAGCATGGAGAGTGGTGCTGACTTTGCCAGTGGTTTAAACAATCTTGTGGTCATACCCATGATTCTTAGCCACAAGGGCTGCTAGTTTGTGTAGAAGCTCAATGTCCAGAAGCAGAAGTCATCTTTACACCTGCTGGGAGGTGGCCGTGATCTCCTTGGCACTCTTCTTTGGGCTTTTCAGTGGCACCTGACTGGCCACTGTGGAAAATATGACGGTGAACTAGTTGGGCCCTTGATCAGATTCATCAGGGCTGCTCTTTTGCCTTTAGAAAGAAGCCAACTATACATTTTCCAGGGAATGCCTCTGAGTCACCATGAGTGTAACTTGAACCGTCCAAATCCTGTGCATTTTGTCCGTGGCTGCAAGAGTCCAAATCATGTGTCATTCTAAGCTGCCCGTGAGCAGATGCGGTACAGCAGCTTACCCCAAGCTGACACCCGCTAAATGGGTTACATTACAACTCCTATCATTCCTCCAGCGCTCTGGTGGTGATGGGAGTTGTATTCCAAGACAACTGGAGGGTGCCAGACTAGGGTGGTGGGCAAGCAGAATCAGTCGGCCCCCTCTTGAATGCCATGCCTACCGTTGACTTTCAGAGTTGCCTGCTTAATGTGACAACAAATAGTTTGAGGTGTGTGTTCCTTCTCTGTTTTTAAAACATTACTATTTTAAGCTTATTACTGCTGTACTTTCTTTGGATCCGTTTGTTGCTTTCTCTTTGGATTTTCTGTGTTTGGTGACCACATTCCATCCCGTTTACCCTGTGGATCAACCCTAACGGCGAATACCAGAAAATTCTGCCCAAGCTTTGTTGACGTTCAGCTGCCCAGTCCATGGGGGTCAATCCTGCCTCTCTTCCCTATTTGAAGGTGTTCAAAATCTGCCTAAAACTGAGGCCTGGCCTTGCCCCATGGTAGGATCCACTCTGGATTTCATTGTTCGGTGAGCACAGGCATCAACTCTCGTGCTAAAGAACGGGCGCTAACCTTTGGCAAGAAGAAGGTCTGCAATTCTTTTCTTCAGTCGCCCTCCTCCTCCCTGTTGCAGGAAGAGGCCTTGGCCTTTTTTTAGCTGTTGCCTCGTATTGATTTCACCAATAGCACATTTCCCCAGGTGCTTCCCTGCAAACAAAATAGGAGTTGCAAAGCAAAGGGACACGTCGATGGTGCTCTGAGTAGTTTGGGTCAGGGCCGTCTCAACGCAAGGGCCTGATGGACACTTGCCCACGGGCCCCATGCTAATCTGTGTATGTTAATCCTTGGGAAATGGGAAAGCTTCCAAAATTAACAGTAGTTGTAGTTGTCGTAGGGGCCCCAGTACACTGCTTGCCCGGGGCCCATCATGCTGTCAAGGCGGCCCTGGTTTGGGTGGGCATTTTCTTTTGGAACAGATTCATTTGGAAAGTCCCCTCCGTCTTTCTGCAGCAGGTCACCCTGGTCCTGCACCCCGCACAGGCAGACATGTGGCTGTGCGCCAGGGCACTGTGGCTGCTCACATCTCCCGGCTGCATGATTTGAGTGATGCTCTTAATGGACAATTTTGGGCATAGTGTGAGGAAAAGATGGCAAAGCACTTTCGTTTGCTCCAGCTTTTGTTTTCGCATGTCTTGAACCCTGCAGAGACGCTGTGTCGTGTGGCACCTCCCTGCGGAATCCCCCGTTCCTTCTGAACTTAACCACAGCCCTCACAGGAAGTGCGGGGAACTGGATTTTCCCAGTGACAGATGCATTGCTCCTTGTAGCAATGCAAAGTATTTTGAGGTGGCCTAGCCTTGAACCACTCGGTAAGCCCAGCTCTTCGCACCACACTTGCTCCTGGTGGAAGTGGACAGAGGTGAGCCCAGCTGGCTGCTGTTCTGGACCCTCCTTGGGGATGTGGCTTTGGAGACTGTCATAAGGAACATCTGCACTCCAAAACATTGCGTTGTCACGCTGCCTGCAGGGCCCACTTTCCACTCCTACAAGCTCTAGATCAGTGGTTCTAAACTTCGTGAGGGATCTTGGAAACGTCGAGACTTTTTTAATGGGAATGTTAGCACTGGTTTACAGGCTTGCCTGGCATTACCAGTATCCCCGTGATCTTACCAGAGTCCCCCCTTTTATGGAACTGTGTCTACACAGCCACCTTGTACATCAGTCCCAAATGCAGCAGGTATTTCTATTCCTGGAGCAGAGGCGGAGCGCTCAACAGCTCCTCCTCAGCTCCCCTTCTGCACATTGGGTTGCTCCAAGACAGGCTGAAGAACCAGGGCGGGAAAAAGAACAAACTGGAGGGGTTCCTTCTTTGGAAGCATTCTGGGGTGCATGCGCCATTATTACATACGGCAGTTGTTGGCTTAATTGAACTTTTGCTCTGTACTAGCTCAGAAGTGCCTCTTAGCATGCGTCACACGGTCGTCTGCACTGCGCCAGAACTGCAGAATAGCGAGTCTCACGATTCCCCAAGGGCAGGAAGTGCTGAAACCACTGCACCAGATGTCCCAAGGCTGTCCCTGGCATTGCTGATTTTTGTTCTTCGGCTTACCCTACAACTTCCTCTTGCACAAGTCGCTGCATTTTTGCACAGTGTGTGAGTGTGTGTGTGTGTGTGTGCTGAAATTTCTCAGGTCTGTCATTGCACCTGCCTGCAAGCATGAGTATGCCGTCGTGTTTTCACGGAAAAGGCAAACAGAACTGGAGGACTGCATTTTGGTGCCCTTGACCAAAAAATAGCAGTAAAAGGACTACTAATTAAGCCACGGAAACTCTGTTAGCTATGTCCTGTAATGTATGTGCCCACCTTTGTATTTTCCATATCTCACCTTGATTTTTGTTGGTCCCCCCCCCCACTGTATATAGGGAGGGGTCTGCATATGAAAACTGGTATTTTTGAAAATTGGGATAAAGGTGCTACTCAAATGAAGCAATGCAAAACTAGCCCAGCCCAATGCAAAACTAGCCCAGCCCAATGCAAAACTAGCCCAATGCAAAACTAGCCCAATGCAAAACTAGCCCAATGCAAAACTAGCCCAGGTCTCAGACAAACGTGCGTCTCTCCACGGTTCAGTGGCTCTTTGGTACTGCAGTCCAGCTGTAGCAGTGGCATTCTTCCCCATCTCAAAAAATAAACTTGAGTTTTCAGAAAGATGGCTCCAAGGAAGTTCTTGTAGTAAGCAGGTTGGAATGTGCCGTGTGTATGCGCATTGTGGGTGGCACTGGTCAGTACTGCATCTTGTTTCAGCCACAAGTCTCTTGAAAAACAGGAGAACAGGAGGAGCCCAAATCCAGTCCTCCTGCTGTCCTTTCCCCCCCAATATCCAATAATTTTGCAGTCCCCTCTCCCCATATTGTCTTGAAATGCTTGTCTTAATGCTTCATTGTGGCAGTAAGTGCTTTAAGCTACAGTATGGTAGAGGGTTTTGTACGTTTGTGTTTATTTGCTAAGTCGTGTCCGACCCATTACAGTCCCATGGACAACATACCTCCAGGCTCTTCTATCCTTTGCCATTCCTTGGGATCCACCCAAGCCCACACCCACTGCCCGTGACCCCATCCAGCCACCTCATCCTCTGCCACCCCCTTCTTCTTTTGCCCTCAATTGTTCCCAGCATTAGGCTGTTCTCCAGGGAGTCCTTCCTTCTCATTAGGTGGCCAAAGTATTTGAGCTCCATCTTCAGGATCTGGCCTTCTAAAGAGCAGTCAGGGTTGATCTCCTCTAGGACTGACCGGTTTGATCACCTTGCGGTCAAGGGACTCTCAGGCACCTCCTCCAGCACCACAGTTCAAAGGTAAGTTTTACCTCCCTTTATCTTGGGACTTATCCACTAGAGGAATGTGGTCTCTCTGAATTCCTCCAAAGTAGAATTCAACCTCACAATTGAAAGAGGTTCATAGATGCGAGACAGGCCTGTGTTGGCATTGTGCTTTTTTAGCACGCAGAAGGATTTTTAGAGTGACCAAAAGCTGCAAAGTGTAAGGGAATATTTAAACAAATTTGTGTTCGTTTTTGGGGTGGGGAGAATTTGCCTAACCCTAACCCTGCCTCAGATTTTCATGGCCAGAACACATCCCATACAAGACGGACAAGTAGCCTCAAACCAAGAACAACTTTACCAAATCCTGCTGCTAACTTTAAAATGCAGTCATTAAACACAGAAGTCCAGGTCCTGCTTTCCACTTGAGGTATTAACATGCTGACGGAACAGTCAAACAGCTGGTCTGCTTTATTCAAAGGTTCAGCAGCTGGCACTTTCGCATAGGTGGAACGATTGGACTCTGTTTCAGGCAGGATATGTGCCTCAGTAACTCTTCTTTGCGCAACAAGCCTTTGCCAAGTGAACCCAAACCTTTGCAAACTTTGAGAAGTTTCTAGGGCGGCTGTCATTCAGTATTGCACAGAAGGGTTAAGGCCATCACTGGTGTTTCCCAGGTGGTAGTGTGGGGTGTGGGGAGAAGGGCATGCATGCCAAACCAGAGGTTTTCTACAGCCCTGGCCACTGAAAGCTGCCAAAGTAAAGGAAGTTCAGCAACACAGAGGCAACAGAATTGGTTCAGTCCAGGAGGCCCCTGCAGTAGTCTAAGCTACAGTGGGTTGGGCAGGGAAGGGGAGACGTTGTGGGGAGCAATGTACGAGCTGCACTTACTGCATCCCCATGGCTGTAAGACAGTGAGCGAGATCTTTGTGCAGCCTCCCCCAGTTTGGTGCTATTTCCCCCTGAACTCCCAGAATTCCTGACCACTGGCTTTCTGGCTGAGATTCAGGGGGCTGGAAGGCCAACAGACCTGGGGCAAGACGGGTGGGGAAAGCTGCCCCGAGAACAGCCATCACAGCATCGCCGGCGGGGCCAGTGGTTGATCTGTGCGTGCAGAGCGGGGGAAGGTCTTGCATGTGAATGTGCCCCCCGTGAGAAAGAACCGTGCCACCCCAAAAAAGGGGGGTAGTTTTTTCCTCTGGCGTGCTTCTCCCTCCCCCCCCCTGCCTCCCAGCCACGGGAACCCAATTCTATCATGAGGGACACTCCCACAAGCGCCATCTATGATCCAGATACCTAAAAAACCACCATGCGATGCAACTACAGCACACAAACCACAATGGAGGGGGAAATGTGGGGAGGTCACAGCAGTGCATCTGCCGCCTCCTGCTGCACTCGAGGTGACTGGGCTGAATCCCACCAGGGCCCTTGCAGCAAGATTACGGGGTGGTGGCCCAACACCTCCGGGGGCCCCTCACTGGGCACGGCTGCGGGAGGCAACCGATCCGGCATCCCCCCGCAGGCACCCCCCTCCCTGCCCAGCTTGCCCCCGCCCCGCTAGACCTCAGGAGGGCAAGCGCTTTTGCAGGAAGGGCGTCCCGGTCGGTGCGCAGCAATAAGGCCTCTCCAGGCGGCAAGTGTGCCTTGTCCTGCTGGCATTCTCAGCCTTTTATTGAAAACACCATCCTGGCCTCACAGGTCAGCGCCAACTTCATGTTGGTGCCAGCTCCAGGCGGGAGGAGGACAGGCTGGCCAGCCCTTCCCCACAGCCACCCTTCCCGCTCGGCTAAAGCACGCCCAGAGCGTTCAGTCCATAGGCATTGTCCATGCGCGAATCCCAGCGCAGCGAGGGGTCCTGGTGGCAGGCGGCATGCCGCTTTCCTTCCTGGCCCCAGAACGGGGGCAAGGGTGGGTCTGCCGTGGGCCGTCTTCTCTCTCTCCTTCTCTCCTCTTCTTCTCTCGCTGCTTGGAGGAGTGTGCATTTTCTTACAATAAAATTTAATTTTCTATTTTAATCTTTTCTACAAAACCCCCTCATTAAGAACCATTCTCAATGGTTGCCAGGAATTGCTGGGCCCACCATTCTTCTAGGTCTATGGGCACAAAATCTGAAAGGGAGAAGAGATGCCAAATAAACTGCGTGCAGAAACAGCACTTGTCTGAAAATGTAAGCACAGGCGAAAAGGACGGAGTTCACAAAACACAATAACCCACTGTGGTTTAAACACCATGGTGAGTTACCCTGTTGTCTGAAGCAGGAACTCTTCCTGAGGGATGGAACTCAACCTATAAGCCAGTTGCCAGCATGGCTGAACACTTGCTCCAATCCCAGGCAACACAGCAACTCACAGTTGAGCCAAAAATCCAGACAGCCTCTTGGCCACAGCGGCAGCCCACAAAGAGCTCAAACAGCAGTTTGTGTGGCTGCCACCTGCTTCCTCTGTGCTCCAGCCCATGCCAGAGGCAGAGCCGGATTGCTCCCAAGTTGGCTGAATTGGCTGGGCAGCCTCACTTCCTCACCACCTCAGCGGTGGCAAGCAAGACCAAAATGCTTTGCTCGCCTTGCTCCGGATCAAAACAAGCAGAGCGGCTCAGCACCCCCTGTATCCTTTCCCCCTTTCCCTGGCGGGAGTGGAGGAATGGGGCAGATGGTGTGTCCTGATTCTCAGTGGCCCGGCACAGTCACAAACTGCTCACGCCAGGCTTCCAAGGCGGGCACCCACCTCCTTCACCCACCCCCTCCTTTCCCAGGAGTGCCCTGCTCCAGGCCACTTTCTGAAGCTGCTCAGGACTTGGGGAGGCCTGCATGGCCCCCGCAGCCCTCCCCCACTGCATGTCCGAGCCAGAGACTGATCAACCCCACCCCAATTTAGCTCAGTAAGATGCTGCATCACACGCTCCAAGGCCATCCCTCAGCCTTGCTGAAAGTCAAGGGTGCTCCTGCAAGGATCTGGTGCGGGTGGCTTGCAACTGGGAGCGAGTCACTGCTTACATTGTGCGTTCTTTACTTTCTTTTTTAAAATGATGTGTTTTCTAATGCTTACATTGCAAACAACCAAGGTAGAAAACCACAAGGTTAGGGAGAGTTCATCAGTGGCCTTAATCCTTTTTTCTAATACCAAATTCATTCTCAAAGTAGCAAGCTTTAGGTAGCCGATACGGCATTAGCACTGCATAGGAGCAACAGGGCTCAAGATTCAGGAAAGCCCAAGCTTTGCAGAAATACAGAAGCAAATACATATACATTTCCAGGGAATACATATCCTGTGGGGGGAATAAGCTTAAAACCTCTGCATAATGGCAGACGATGGGCGGGGAAGGGGATCGCAACTCTGGCCAGGCTCCGCTGTGCCCATCCGTGGCGGCTTCCTGGCCAATGTGTGGTCCCAGGATCCCCCATGCAGCCCCGTCTGGTGCCGGAGGGAAACGCTGCCCTGTGGCCAAGGCCAAAAGAGCTTCCTCAACCAGTGCAGGCAGCCTCTGCAGAGGGAGTGAGGGGACATGCCCTGCCATTTGCATCAGGCGGCCAAAACTCCTGGGCCGGCCCTTCATTTGAGAGGAGGCCTTGGCGGGTGCCTTGCAATCCAAGCGTTCTCTGGAAGGCAGCGTTTGCTTTCATCCCTTAGCATTTGTAAGCCACTCCGAGAACCTCTGGGTTATGGGGCAGCATGGAAGCAGAATGAAATAAGTAAGGGAGTACCTTTCAGTTCAGGACTGGGCGTTTTATCCATGTACTGCACAGGGCCAGCTCCACTCTGTCCTTGTTGGCTGTCGCTCAGCTGCTGCTCTACCTGCTGCCAGGCTGGAGGCAAGAAAGGGGGCGCACGTGGGCTTTACAGGAAAAACAGTCAAGTCCGCAAAAAGCCCAGGGCGGCACCTTATTTTGAGGAACAAGATGCAAGGCACTGAACAAAGCTTTGGCACCTTGCTGCTTCTGGTTCTTCTCCCACCAGGTTAGGCATTATCACGGCTAGTCTGTTTGTAGATGTGGCCATGCTAAGCAGTGATATGGCACTAGCCTTGATCCACACCCATGCTTTTCACCAGGAAACAGGTCTGGCACTTCGATGGGTCAAAATAAAGAATGTGCAGCTTTTGGGCAGTGGGTTGGTAAGAAGCAGAAGTAGTTCCATGTTCGTGTGTGGGTGTTAGAAAAGTAGGTTCCCTGTTTATTTCTTTACATTTTTACACCCCACACGTTCGTCCACCAATACCCATCCATTGATTTAGCAAGAACTTTTTAAAAACATCATTAAAAACACAACAGAAAGGGCCATATTATTTGCTCAAAACGTTTTGGCAGCAGCAGGCAGCATCACAGAATCCAGAGCCAGGCATTTTCTGCTCTCCCAAATGCTTTCTGAAACAAGTTCTTAACTTGCCCCAGACAGCATGGCCAGTGGTCAGGAACTATGGGAGCTGTAGTCCAAACTACCTGGTAGTCACCAAGTTGCCCACCCCAGTATACAGGATTGCTAGACATGCTCCTCAAGGAGGGAATCTGGTCCATGCCCTTGGTGGCATTTTCAAGGTGTTCATCCTAGTAAGGTATGGAAACATGAAGCTGGGCTCCCAAGGACAGAGTCCCTGGCTCATCCACATCTCTTCTTGATTCAGGACGTCTCTTCTGCATGTTACCTGGTGGCCCAAGGACCTCACAGGAGAAGAAAACAAAGCGGTCCAAGGAAAAATCCTGCACGCAGCTCTCCAACCTGGGGCCCTCCACTGAGTTGTGTTCCAACTCCCATCATCCCCAGAAAGGAGATCAGCAATGCCTCCTCTATCCTAGAAGCTTCAACAGCTGAATTTTGTGAGTTGGAAGCCCAGGAATGCCTGTCTGTAATAGGGCTGCAGTTTTCCCACTTTGTTTTGAGATGGAATGTCGCAGGAAGGAGCGAGAGAACAGAGTTTCTCTTCCTCATTCAAGAAACAGAAGGATAAGAGCCAGGGCAGGCAAGTGGCAGCAGCCCTTTTGGTTTGCAACATCGGCTACAAACATTTTTATTTACGCAAACTTTTCCTGAATGAACAATCACAGTTTCCAATTCTACATATTTTGAATCTTCTTATTCCTGCTCACTGGTTGAGAATCTTTTTGGAGTACAGAGATGCTTAGACATTTTGTTAAACAGAGGCTCTTTGAACCTTGTTCATTCCTGGGATCCCCCGACTGCCCTCTTACCTTCATACACAAACCGCACATTTTCTTCGTGGGCCACGGTGTAGCTTTCTTCCGTGGCTGACGTGGACTGGGAAACGAGCAGGCGTCTTTTGCCATTTAGCCTGTTGAACACAAGCTTGGGAGCTGAGCTGCCAAGAAAAAGAGAGGGAGAGAACCGATCATGGGCTTGATCTGTTCACGATGACTATGATAGTTTTTGGTATTCTTCTTTCCAGCCTTGAATCAAAGCAAGGCCTCCCCTCCTCCCCAAAAAGCCCAAGCAGATCCTCGGACAAGCTGCAGCCTCCCAGATTCCAGCTGTTTCAGCAACACCAAAGCAAGGCCTGACTGCCTCTATGGAGAAGCCCTTGCGGGATGCAGTGGCCCTCGGACTGCTGAGGCAAAGCTGTCCAACACTCGATGGCACTCTAGGGCAGGAGCACCCCAGCGCCCATATCCCCACTATTGCAGCATTCCCCAAGCTGGCACCCTCCAGTTATGGACTCCAGCTCCCATCATCCCCAGGGAGTGCTGGGAACTGCAGTCCAACACATCAGGAGGGGACCCTTGCATTTTCAAGGTGCAGCTGGGCATCCGTCTGAGATGGATGGTTTACCCTGGGGTCCTGCACTGAGTGGAGGCTGGCCCCTCTGGCCCCTTCCAGCTCTGCCATTCTGCGATTCTACAATTCTGCGATTCTGCCATTCTGCGATTCTACAATCCAAGTGGAGAGAGGCTGCACAGCTTGCTCAACCTTTTGAAGGCCTGGGTGGCTTAAAAATGAATTCTGAACCACGCTGCCAGCCCATCACTCTGACAAACAGGTTGTGCACAGAATTCCTCCCTGCCAGTTGTAGAGGACACATTTCCGCACTAGGATCTGCACACCTTTGCTTATTCGCGCCACAGAGCGGTTTGCACAGCTTGTTTTGGCTGCCAACTGGGGAGTGAAGGGCATGGAGCCCTGTGACCACCAGTCTCTGGGCCAGGGCAAGTGGGAGATGGACACAAGCTGCTGTGGTACGCACACAACACTCTGGCCTTGCCTCTCTCTAAACCCAGCCAGTCTGTTCTTATTCTTTCATTCTTATTCCTTACATTGCTGTGCCACCTGCAGCCAAAGCTCTCTAGGCAGTCCACAGCATTAAGTCGCCCATCCAGATTTCAACCAGGCCTGACCCTGCTTCGTTGTCGAGCGAGGCAGGGCCAGGAAAGTGCCCTCAGTACGCATTTCCAACTTCACATGCTGACTTGCCCCTCAGCCCCGGCCACAGGCACAGGGCGGCCACTGCCCTCCAGCGAGAGGGCATGGCACTCCCTTCCTTTCCAGGCCCCAGAGCTCTTTTCTATTTAATGCCAGGATCAGATGCAGCACCCCAGTCCTTACAGGAGTGGCGGCAGCAGGTGGCAACGGGTTCAAGCCCCCACGCCTCCCAGAAGACGGAGTCCCAGGGAGGGAGACCTTCTTGCTAGAAGCCAATTCCCATTTCACCTCATCAGCACCCCCCCCCCGCATCAAAATGCTGGATCCCTTTGTGTCAGGGACCCTGAGGGTTTTTTGATGGCCTGTGTGCTCAGGACTTCCTGAGCCACAGCGTCCAGCAAGTGGGCTGCCTTCCGGGGTATCAGTTCTCCAGATCGGGTGCTCAGAGACACCCCCGTCCAGCCGCACTTCCCCATCACTGCCCACTTCATGTGCTTGCTACACTTTCCGCTACACTGCAGTCCATGCCATCTCTCATCCTCTAGAAGCAAGGGCGAGCACTGATTTGGATCAGTGCCTCCCCGAGGTCAGTGGGGCAAATGTGCGTCAAAGCAGCTGTCAATGCCAAAGGCGAGAAGGACACAGGCCTGGGGAGGACAAGGACACAAGGGCTGGCGAGAGGGAAGGGAGGGGGAAAGGCTTCATCCAGCCTCCTCAAGGCCAGCTAGGACCGCACGAGACATTCGTGTCGAGATCAACAAAGAAACCTCCCGCACCTGAATGCCAGCAAACCACTCCTGCCCTAGACTTTCATGGACTATCGCCCTCGACATCAGGAACATGGCGTGCTATGGGGAATTCTGAGTGTGTCAGAAATTGCTTTGTGACGGGGAAGTGGGAGAGACTTGTACAGCGTGATCTCAAAAGGAAACGAAATGCAGAAAATGGCAATTGTGTATTAACAGGGGTAAATCGCAACGCAGCTGCAGCTGGCAACATGGTTGTATTGCCTCACTGTGAGGGGCCCCTGGCGACGTCCTGAGGGTGCAACCTCACAGACTTGGACAAGAAGCAGAGGCTTCGACTTCCAGCACAGCAGGCTGGGGTGAGCTGGGAGTTCTGAGCTGGGGCCCAATGAACTCCATCCCAGAGTCATAAAAGGGCCATAAAAGGAACTCTCAGAACCACTGGCTATCATCTTTGATAAATCTTGGAAAACAGGAGAAGTGCCAGATGACTGGAGAAGGGCTAATGTTGTCCCTATCTTCAAAATGGGGGAAAAAGATGAACCTGGGAACAATAGACTAGTTAGTCTGACATCAATCCCAGGAAAAATTCTGGAGCAAATTATTAAAAAATCTTGAAGAAAATGCAGTGATTAATAGAAGCCAACATGGATTTATCAAAAATAAATCCTGTTAGACTAATTTAATCTCATTTTTGACTGGGTAACTTCCGAAACGGATAAAGGGAACACTGTGGACATAATCTACCTAGATTTTAGCAAAGCTTTTGATATAGTGCCACATGACATTCTAAAATGCAAATTAGCAAAACCTGGACTTGTTGGAAAAACTATTAGGTGGATCCAAAATTGGCTGCTACTTCGGTCACAAAGAGTGCTCATCAATGGCACGTTCTCAAATTGGATGAAGGTAACTAGTGGGGTGCCTCAGGGTTCGGTCCTGGGCCCAGTGCTCTTCAACATCTTTATTAATTATTAGTACTAGTAAAGTACAAGGAAAGATAATGAAGTCTGCAGATGATACAAAACTGGGCGGAATAGCAAACACCCTAGAAGACAGAATGAAGATCCAGGGCAATCTTGATAAACTTGCCCTGGCTATGGAATGCGCTCCCTACAGAGGTCCACTTGGCGCCATCATTATATGTTTTTCGGCACCAGGTCAAGACCTTTTTATTCACCCAATATTTTAATGTTAATAGATTTTAATTATTATAATTAATTATTTTAATCTGTTTAAATTATTTTAATAATTAATGTCATTTATTTCAGTCGAGGGTTATCTAGTTCATTATTGTTTGGGGTATGTATGTTATTTATAGTTATATCACTGTATTTATAGATTTTGCCAAGTCCTCCACCTAGAAAAAAGAAACCAAAGGCATTGATACAAGATGGGGTATAAATGGCTCAACAAAATTGAGAAAGAAAAAGATTTTGAAGTAATTGTGGACAATACGCTAAACATGAGCCAACAATGCGATGCAGCCGCCAAAAGGACAAATGCTATTTTGGGATGCATTAGCAGAAGTTTTCCTTCCAAATCACGAGAAGTGGTAGTTCCTCTATACTCCTCACCAGTCAGACCTCACCTGGAGTCCTGTGTCCAGTTCTGGGCACCAAGATTTAAGAAAGATGCCAAAAAGCTAGAAGGGGTCCAGAGGAGGGCGACAAAAATGATCCAGGGTTTGGAAACATTGGCCTGTGAGGAGAGAGGGAACTGTGCATGTTCAGCCTTGAGAGGAGAAAACTGAGGGGGGGACATGATATCCCTCCGTAAGTCCCTCAAAGGCTGTCACAAAGAGGAGGGTCAAGGTCTCTTCTTGCTGATGCCACAGTGCAGGACACGGGATAATCAATTCAAGTTGTGGCAACCCAGATGCAGGTTAGACATCAGGGCGTTTCCTCACGGTCAGAGCAATACGACGGTGGAACCAGCTGCCTGGAGAGGCCATGGGCTCTCCCACACTGGAGACATTCAGAGAGAGCCTGGGCAGCCACCTGAGTGGGGTGGTGTGACTTGGTGTCCTGCAACAGCAGGGGGTTGGACTCAATGGCCTTAATGGCCCCTTCCAGCTCTTCTGTTCTTTGATTCTATGATTCTAGGGTGTCTGTCTGTCCAAAGGTGCATAACATGGCACCTTTATGATGCAATCCTAGGTGAAATCCTATTCAAGACACATCCACAGGGGAGCATGTATGGATCAAAGTGAGGATAGCTTAGTTCCCCTGCCAGTCTTTAAAGGCTTCCACTTAGAGTGGCAATGCTTTTTGAAAGGGTGACAATTCCACACAAACACACACTGTCTTGAGAGCAATTAACCTTATATTCAAGGTGTGCTCTTGCATAATCCATCAAAAGTGGGCAAGGGAGGGGGCTAGGCTATCACAGCTTCCCTCCCCACTCCAAGAAGGCCATCTGGACCAACTCCCTGCTGTTGCAGGACACCAGTTTACACCATCCCACTCAGATGACTGTTTAGTTTTGCTCTGAATGTCTCTAGTGTGGGAAAGCCCACCACCTCTCCAGGCAGCTGGCTCCACTGCTGTATTGACAGTGTAAAAGCTTTTCCTGCTCTCTGGTCTGAATCTCAGTTGTCACAACTTGGCTTGATTATTTTGTGTCCTACACTGGCATCAGCGAGAAGAGATCTTGACCTTCCTCTTTGTGACAGCCTTTGAAGTACTTAAAGAGTGCTATCATGTCCCCCCTCAGTCTTCTCTTCTCAAGGCTGGACATGCCCAGTTCTCTCAGTCCCTCCTCATAGGCCAGTGTTTCCAAATCTGGGATCATTTTGGTTGGCCTCCTCTGGACCCTTTCTAATTTACCTGCATCTTTCTTAAATCTTGGTGCCCAGAACTGGACACAGTATTCCAGGTGAGGTCTGACCACTGAGGAGTATAGGGGAACTGCTACTACTCGTAATTTGGAAGTAATATTGGAAGTGTTAACTGAGGACTTACGAGACAGGAGTGGCAACACATGAGTGCATTAAGTACATCCGTTACAATTTTAGACCCGCCTAATAGTTTTTTCAGGTAGTCCAGTTTTACAACACACGACATATTGAATTATGAAACACGTCCATTCATTATCAAGTGCGCACATTATTCATGTGTTGTGTCTGTACTCCGATTGGTCATTTGACAGTAAGTCTCAATTCATCTGTTTACATAGGCATTTACCTCTCGTCCAAAGGTGCCCACTTGGGTATTTACAAATACTCAATGTCAATAATATTATTTATATTTAATTGTTTACTATTATTATTTTATAATTCAGTATGTCCATTATGTGTTTCAACAGATGTACTAAATGCCTCCATCTGGCTGACAATCTTAACTGGGGCTTATTTTTGGGGTAGGGCTTATAGTATGAACATTCTGAAATATGCTAGGGCTTATTTTCCAGTTAGATCCTATTTTTGGGGAAATACAGTATGCATTATGTAGACCAGAGAAACTGCAGCATTTTAGCATTTCAGTTTAAAAAGCAGGAGGAAAGAAGGGAGGTTTTATGAAGTGACACAGTATGGAAAAATTCTGGAACTTGGAGTTAGCTAACAAAACTGATTGGCAGCGCCCTCCCCACAAAAGCACTTCGTCCCATAATTCACTTGCAGAACTCACTACTGCAGTGAGTTATTCTGCGGTGGGGAAACTTTCTGTCTCGTTAGATATGAACTGTGACTGCTAAATGGATCCCTGAGGCCCACCTGAGACCTAAGGATGTGATGAACTGCAACTCCCATTATCCCCATTGGTTGGGGATGCTGGGAGCTCTATTCCATCACATCTTGGGGGAACTGAGTTGGGAAAGGCATACCTCGTCCCAGAGGCAATTGATGGGGGCAACCCCATAGAGTACTATCTATCGCCTTCGCATCCTGTGTGAGGGCTTCCTGGCTGGCCACTGGGCAGTGGGGCGCTGGGTAAGCCGACCCTTGAGCTGACCTGAACGGCATTTGTCTGAGGCCGCACATGCAATAAATAAATAGACGCTTATTGATCTATCGCTCTAGTGCACTTTGTAACCCACTAGGAACAGATTTCTTTGCAAGAGAAAGAAGAGGTGCCAATGCCCCAGTTGGCTCACAATCTGCATTTCAGCACCAGGAGGGAAGGAAATGGTGGGCTCAGCTAAGCGGGCACCCGATCTTTCGAATCGGGACAGGCCGAAGTCCCTGGCTGGGGACGATGGGAGTTGCCGCTAACACATCCGGAGGTCGCCGTGCAACGAGCAGAGCGCAGTTCCTCCTCGGAGCGGAAAAGCTTCCTGCGCTTTCCAGGGAGGACATTTCAGCGGGCGTGGCCAACGCGCCGAGCCGCCGCCGCCGCCGCTGCGAAAGGGGCCGGAGCCGACGCGGCCCTTCCCGTCTGACGAGCGGCCTCTCCGACCGGCGCCGGCGGCCCGGGCGGGGCGGGGCCTGCAGGCTCGACCCCGCCCCTTACGGGGGTGTGTCCGGCGCTCGCCTCTCCAGGGCAAAGGTGACGCTCGGGCCGGCCGCGACTCGCCTGGCAGCAGCTGCGGAGCCGCCTCCGCCACCCTCCCCGGGAGCAGAAGCGCCCCGGCCTCCCAAGCGCACGTGCCGCGGCGCGCCTTGGCCCCTTTCCCGGGCGCCCGCGGGCCCCTCGCCATCCCTGCCTCGCCCCGATTCCTTACCCAGAAAGGCCGCCCGGCCGCCCCTCCCTCCCTCCTCCTCCTCCTCCTCCTCCTCGGAGCCATGTGGCAACAAGGACGACCCTGGTAACCTTTCCACAAGGTCATCGCGCGCGTCCTCTCCGCCCCCTCTCCGCGCTCCCCGCACTATGAAGCGCGACGGAGGGGAGCCTGCAGCGATCCCCTGCCGGGCCGAGCGGGATCCCCGCAAGCAGCCGGCCCCGCCCGCCCACACTGCCTCCTCTCCCGCGGAGCTGTCACTGGAAGGGCCCAGAAGGACGCGCCGCGGCAGCCCTCGGAGCGCCTGGTGCGCTGGCTGGCGGCGCGCAAGGTCAGAGGCTCGCCCTCGCTGCTGCCTGGCCTGGCCTGGCCTGGCCGGGCATGTGCCCCTGCCCTTCCCCGGATGGTGTGGGGCTGGGGGCATCCTTCGCTCACCTTGAGAGAGGCCACGAGCTGAGCTGCTGCTGCTGCTGCTGCCGCCGCCGGCATTTCAAGTCCGCCAATTTGCTTTCCACCTGCTGCGTGGGACCTGCGCGGGGTGGGGGGAGAATCGAGGTAATTACCTCAGATCGGCAAGGCAACAGCATCAGCATCATAACCTCCCTCCTAGTGCTCCTACCCTGCCATCGGGGGGCGCGGGGGTACGCATTCCTCCAAGGGGTCCCACTCTCTTGCTGCTAATGCTGCTGCTACACCCTCCGGGATCGGGGAGAGACGGCGCAGAAGCGCTCTGCACATGCTCTGTTCCGCCCCCTGGCGCACCCCGCGTGGCCCGTCCTTTACCTGTCCTCCTCTGGGTAGCTAATTTGCTTGGTCCCCTGGTAATGGTGTACATCATGAGCTCGCCTCGCCGCGAAGCCCCAAGAGCCAGCAGGCACGAACAGAGCCAAACGTGCGCGCACGCCAAGAACGACGGGGAGGGATCGGGCGCACAACTTTGCTTAGGCTGAAACGGCTCCCCTCTCGGGACGGCTCTCCTCCTCCTCGTTGGCACCAGGCTCCTCTCACTCTCTCCAGGCGCAAGAGAGGAGGAGGAGGCGCCGCCGCCGCCGCCTGTTGCAATGCAAAGTCTCCAGGCCCCTCGGCCTGCCTTTGACTTTAACTTGGCGGCCGCGCGCAATCGGCCACGCCGCGCGAGTCGCCTTTAAGGAGGAGCAGCCCGGGCGCCGCGACGGGCCAGGCCTCCAACACGCCCCCCGAGCCTCTTAAAGGCGCAGCGGCGCGCCGGGCTCCGCCGCGGGAACTGGGCCAGAAGTTCTCCGCGGGGGCGGGAGGAGCCGGCGGTGCAACAGCAGGACGTGCCGGGGCTGGGCCCCGTCCTTCGCGCATTGCGCAGCAAACGGCCTCGGGGAGTCCATCCCCGCACGGGCTCGCGTGGCGCGGCCCGACGCGCGCTCGAACACGTGTGCGCGGCGCGGCAGAGCGCTTGGTGCGCCTTGCTGCGCAGCGGCAGGTCAGGCGACGGGCTGAGTGCCTCTCCCGGGAAGAGAGGAAGCGGCTCTGTTCGGCGTGGGCACTTGGCCCGTCTGGATGCGAGTCCGGTGCCGCAGGCGCTCTGGACGGGATTTTTTTCTGGCCGCGACTGGAGATCAAACCTGAATCCTTCCGCCTATGGAGTATGCACTTTGCCTGCGCTACAGCTCCTCTTAAAAGCCAGGTTGGATATACAAAGCACCATCAGGGACATTGCCCCTAGGCCAGTCTTCAGCCTGCATGCTAGATTTCTACTTGCAGGGAGGATTCCTCCTGCTTTTAGGACGCAACAAAGCTTTAAAATGCTTTTAACAAGCAGGGGCGGCACAGAGCCAGCCGGTGCATCGAACCGCTACAGTAATTCTGCATGATCATTCAGGGAAGAATGGGGGAACGAACTGCATGAACGGGGAAGCCACAAGGCAGCTCCTCACTGTGGTGCCTTCCCACTGTTTTGGACTACACCTCCCAGAATTCCTGTTTTGCCTATACTGGCTGCTAAATTCAACCATTTTTGATGGACAAAAAAAGTGAATTCATGGACAATTTTTTTAACAACCAAATCATCTTTATTTCAAGTTAATATAAAAACTGCAGGTGGCTTTGGAGGCTACCTTCCTTGCATGAAAAGAGGATGAGACTGAAGTGTCCAACATGCTACAGATGTTCAGTTATCCTCTAAGGAGCAAACGAGCTGCGATGTTCAGTTTCTGACTGCATTTACCATGCCTGTGTGTTCCTTCTTCCAGGAAAACAGGCACTGGAAGGAAGCCGGTTTAAACATTCCCACCCCTTTGGTCCCAGTGGAAATTCTCCTTCAAAGCTAATGAAAATGTTTCATTTCATACAACCACCCATCACATATCCTCTATGCGGCTTATAAATTACCAAGCAAATCAAAACCCCACATTAAAAATACAACACACACACTAGTTAACAATAGAAAACCAAGATACAGCATAAAGCTTTCCTTCCTGTGGACTTTGTTGTCACATGTTGTACCAACTTCTCCAAATCCAATCCAAAATGTCCTGTCCTGCTCAGCTCCTGTAAAGATTCTTGGACTAGGCAAAATAAAATAATTAGCTTATCAGATTAATACTCTAAGGATTCCATGCTAGGCATGTTTAGGCTGGGAAAACCCTACAACTCCAGCGTTTCCTCTCTAAACACGCACACATACATGTTCTGACTGCTGTGGTTTAGAAGGACATTTTTCTTTATTTGCACTATTTAAACATTGTCTTATACAAAAGACCACACCACGAAACAACCGGTTAAAAAGAAACCACTACAAGGCAAGGTCAACAGTACATATATTGTAGCAGGAAAAACAGCTTCAAGTTAAAATTGAAATCAGAACAAAAAGCAAAGAGCATACAATGGAGCTTAAAACAAGAAACAAAAGTAACAGCAATTACATTTTCAGTGTGAAAAGCAATTGTGCCTTCAACAACATACCGAGTTTAGCCTTTGAAAGATGTTTTCCCCTCTCCAGAAGCATGCTTGTGGCTATGAAAATAATGCTTGTCTTCAGATAGCACTAGTTTCCTTATATATGGTATTATGTAGATTTAATTAATTAATCAACCAGTGCAATTAATGAAGTAATATTTCTTTAATCAGTAGTCAGACAAAAGATATAAAGATGTATGAGATAGAAAAGGGACTGCTTAGCACAGGGATGAGCAAATGTGAAGCCCCGGCAGATGTTGCAGATTGCAGTTCCCTTCTGTCCTCACCACTAGTCATGCTTGCTAGGGGTGACGGGAACTGCAGTCCAGCAACATTTCTAGGGCCACATGTTGCCCACCCTAATTTAATGGTACACAAATCAACAGAACCTCTGACTTTTGGTGGCATTTGAATGACAGTGCTTGCAAGTTTCTCAGTGTTATTTATTATTTTAAAAATCCCCTTGCTAAATCCCTAAAGGTAGATTTCTGCTCCATGAGAGCTTATCGTGCAGGCTTTTGTTGTTCCAGTTCTGCTTCCCCACCCTGAACTCTGAGCTCCTTCAAGATAGGCCTGCAAAGGTGCCTCTCTTCAAACAAACACCCCCTTGCCTTTGCCTTTGCCTTTCTTGCTCCTGCTTGGCTGCGTTCATTCCAGGGCGAGTTCAGAGGTGACCTTGGGAGTTCCTGCTCTGGCTGGCGACCAAAGGTGACAGTGCCTTCTGTAGGGGAAAGGTGGGCCTCGGGGCTGCCGCACATGCCCCTCGGTGACCCCCCCTCGGCAAGTCTATCACACTTTGCGAGCACGCAAGGCCGAAGTGCCCCCGATGTTTGAATGCGCCTTTGCTTTTAACTGGCTGCGGTCATTTCATGTAATCGGCTGAGGAAGGGGACTGATAACAAACCTATTTGAGGGAGCCATAACGGGAGGCTTTGACCTTTCCTCCACTGCTGCCATTTGAGGAACTCTGAAGCAAGGCTGACGGTTATGATCACCTTTAGTCCTGCATTGAGCAGGCGGTTGGACCCAGTGGCCTACCAGGCCCCTTCCAGCTGTATGATTCTATGATTCCTGCTTCCATGGAATGATTTGCATCGTTCGAAAACAAACAAACAAAATAGCCTGTTCGAGGCAAAGGCATGTTTATGTCACATCATATAAATGTGGCTTGGAAGGCCCAAGACTTTTTGCTACCTGAGGCAAAAGAGGAGAGAATGTTTCCCAGTAGCACTGGGCTTCAGCGCTTGCCATGGCACACAGCCCGTGACCACCTCCAAGGAAGATCCGCCCTCACTTTTCTGAAAGATAGGATGGGCCCCTGTTTGTAGGCATCCATTGCTTGGAGGCATCCCAGGCCAGTGCCCATTTAAAGAAAAAAGACCTCTGTGTTGCTACCTATCCACAGTCCAAACAGGCTGACACACAGAGGCCCTGCTTGCAGCCTCCCAGACTGCAATGCACGGTGGTCCAGCTTAAACCATACCGATATGTCTGTGTTGCTTCTACACAGAGAAATCAGCACGTGCGGATTTAATGCAAACCAAGGTTTGGTGCCTTGCATTTTGTAATTCAGACGTGTCCCCCTTAGGGCAGGTACTATAACCCACACAGCTGGGCCCAGCCAGTGAAAGGACTCAGTTGGGAGGCAGGAGGAATTTCTTGGGGCTACTCTGCTTCCACTCCACGTTTGTCCGAGGAAGCGGACACAGAGCGCCTCTACTATTTGGCAGGGGAAAACTGGCAAGGCTCTCTTACGAGGAGCATAACCTTGGGAATGCTCCCCCTCTTGCTATTCTGCGTTGCTGAAGGGGCCCTTCTGCTTTGTGTGGTGTGGTTCTTTCTTGGAAATGCCCCTTCCCTCTGGGGCTCCAATAGGTCAAGGGCCAGAGCAGCGGTCACATGAGGAGGCCCAGCTCCATGCACAGTTTGGGGCATCCCTTTTTAAGCAGTTTGTCGAAAACTGAGGGACAAGGGTCCATTCTTTGCTTGTTTGATTCATACCACTCAATAGCCAAGCTCTGGGCAGTTCACAACACTTAAATCAAAATACAAAATGGTACAATAAAAGTACAAATACAATAAAATGTATAAATTCCAGGTCCCGAATTTAAAACAGCTTAAACTTCCAACAGACAAAAATATAAAACAGTTTAACATCTAGAATGTAATGGCACTGAAAGTCAGCTCCTGTGGCTCATTAAACTTCCTTCCAACTTTCCTCCCCATAATACAAGCATCAAGCTAAAAATTTGTTAGGATCAAGAGGGGAATCATTGCTGGAGAACTAGTGCAGGGTAGTGCTTAAGAGAGTGCTGCACATCTCTAAGTGTATATTTTATTTCCACTATTTCCACTGGTGTTCAGAAATGTTCCAAGGTCCATGTTCTCCTACAAGTGACTTGTGCTTACATTAACAAATGACCTCAGCATCGGATTGTCCAATGTCTGGGCCATAGGTGAAACCCGTTAACACACGGATTATCCCAAGGATTAAGGCGGGTGCTGGAGGGCAGCCTCCCCAAGCTTGGCACCCTCTAGACGCGCTAAGTGCAATTCCCATCATCTCTAGCCTGCCCTGCAGGCCCACACTAACTGGGGATTATGGGAACTGGGCCTGCTTTGGCTCAGTTGGAAAGTATCAGGCATAAAGGGCAAAGGTAGAATGTTAGAAGAAAATGCCTCTGTAAGCATGGATACTTCCAGACAGATTGGAGATGGGTCAGAAATGGTTCAAAACAGTGCAATGTAGGGATGATAATTTAAGTGGAGGCATTTTTAAAAATTATCCTTAATTTTTGATATGAGCAATTTTTACTAGTTCATGCATACAGTGTTTAGTGATGTGCTTTTTCCCACTTCTTTCATATTCTTTCCATTGTAGCCCTATGTTTATGTATTAATTGTTGGGGAAATATATTTTAAGGTGTGATCAGTGATGTAAATAAATAGGAATCAAAATCGCTTGCTTGCTAGTTGTGAAGTCGTGTCCGACCCACTGCGACCCCATGGACAACACTCCTTCACGTCTTCCTGCCCTCCACCATCCCCCAGAGTCCACTCAAGCTCACACTGCTTCAGTGACTCCATCTAGCCACCTCATTCTCTGCCGTCCCCTTCCTCTTTTGCCATCTATTGTTCCCAGCATTAGGCTCTTCTCCAGTGAGTCCTTTCTTCTCATTAGGTGGCCAAAGTCTTTGAGTTTCATCTTCAGTATCTGGCCTTCTAAAGAGCAGTCAGGGTTGATCTCCTCTAGGACTGACCGGTTTGATCGCCTTGCTGTCCAAGGGACTTGCAGGAGTCTCCTCCAGCACCACAATTCAAAGGCCTCAATCCTTCGGCGCTCAGCCTTCCTTATGGTCCAGCTTTCACAGCCATGCATTGCAACTGGGGAAACCATAGCCTTAACTATATGAACTTTTGTCAGCAGAGTGATGTCTCTGCTTTTTCGTATGGTGTCTAGATTTGCCATAGCTTTCCTCCCAAGGAGCAAGCAACTTTTCATTTCTTGGCTGCAGTCCCCATCTGCGGTGATCTTGGAGCCCAGGAAAATAACACATTTCTTCTTGCAAGGAACCCAGGATGTTGTGTAATCCACTCCATTTCATCCTCACAACAGCAACCATGTGAGGTGCATTAGGCTGAGAATGCCTGGCCCAAAGACACCCAGCAAGTGAGGACTAAGAATCCGTATCTTCTGAGTCCCCAGTCCAACACTTAAGCCACCACACCATCTTGTAGGCTGTTCATTGCCTTGGGGAATTTTTCAAAAGAGAACACAGGGCCATAAGGACCTCCACAATCGGCGGGAAGGTTTACCCACAGTTTAACTATCATCCATGGAACAACGATGACCCGTGTTGCCTCATGGAACAATGAGTGTGTTCTCTAAACCCAGCCCATCCGCCCATCCAGAAGCTAAAGTTAGGCCCACATCTGGCAAAGCAGAATGGTTTCATATAGGCAAGGGTGTCAGGCAAGGGTGTATTTTGTCCTTCTATGTATTCAATATATACACAGAACATATTGTAAGGACAGCTGGATTAGGATTAAAGGAAGAAGGCATGTAAATCTGTGGAAGATGCATCGGTAATTTATGATATGCAAATGATACTGATAGAAATGTAATATTGTGCATTATTCCATATTACTACCAATGTTTCAGAAAACAACCATGAACTGAAATGACTCCTGATGAAAGTGAAAATAAAAAGTGCAAAAGCAGGACTGCAGCTGAACATTAAGAAGGCAAAAATCATGACTACAGAATAATTATGCAATTTAAAGGTCAAGAATGAAGAAATGGAAATTGTGAAAGAGTTTGCATACTTTGGCTCAGTCACCTGTTTAAATGGAGACTGTGGCCAAGAAATTTGAGGAAGACAGGTTTGGAAGGGCAGCAATGAAGGAACTAGAAAATCCTCAAGCGTTAGGACAATTCTCTGGAAACAAAAGCCCAGATCATCCACACTATTGTATTCCCAGTCACTGTGCATGGGTGTGGAAACTGAACAGCGAAGACAGAAGTCAGGAAGAAAATTGATGTGTTTGAAACATGGTGCTTGAGGAGAGTTTTGCAAATACAGTATCCTGGACCCACAGAAAGATAGTCCAAAATCGGTCTAAAGAAGTGCAGAAAATACAGCACTGAACATTGTAATTAATTAAGACAGATCTCTGCATAGAACTAATAGGTATATAAAAATGACAGAGTGACAAGTCGTTCCAAAAGGATCTGAACATGTTGTTTGCATGTTTCAGAGTAGAAATGTGAAGGCTCAGAAAATGAAAACTTGAATAGTTCAGGGGAAAAAAAAATCTGAACTATTAGTTTTTCCTTCATAAAATCCCTTTCCCCCCAAATTTTATGGAAAAAATACTCTTTTTCAGTTTTTTTCTTGCCTTTTTTTCTAGGCTACTTCTGAGTAGATCCATGCAGGATCAGAGTGGTGCAGTTAGATAACTTTCAAGTGGTTTCAGATGCTTTTACGGCCAACGCCTTGCCTTGTTGCAGGAAGTTATGGAGGGTCCGGATGTTCTACTTGAAACCATTGGTGATGGAGCAAAAGGGAAATTCTGTGGACATTTTAACATATAGTAACCAGTCGCACATTGTGAAAAAGGAGGAAAAAACGAGGGTGCAGGTTTGTGCAAAAAATGCACGTTTATAGTTACTGATGCAAATTTAGAAGTAACCTCTGAAATTCAAAGAGATAACAATACTTCTCAGTTTAGTGGGGAAAACTGGGACCATGTGCTTAGCCCAAGTACTGACCAGCCGCAAGCTATGGATGGGCGACTAGGATGCCCTATCTTGAGACTGTATTTCGACTGGACCACTTTTCAGAGAATGCCTTCAAATGGAGGACTGCCCTTGGTCAAGCTGGACAATAGCCACCGTTCAGTTGCCTTCTTTCTATCCTCCTTCCTGCCAGCACGTAAGAGCATTGCATTTTCTTAAGAATCGATATAATGAACGCCCATTCATCCCCATTTTTTAAAAAAATCAGTAGCTAAGGGTTGGTTAAACGTCTTTTTACTTTTACCACGAACACCACTTTCTGTTAGGAAATAATGTTATAAAGAAGCTTGACGTCGCTGTATTGCAGGAATCGGATCTTTTCTTAAATAATCTCAAAATTTCCCCAAGCGCCTACGGGTTTAGGAGATAAGCACGAATATGTCACTTATCATGACTTGGCTATAGATGGCGCACTGTTATAACTGCATAATAATCCTTGCAGGAAAGAATTCGCAACCGCGCCGCTGGTGTAGTGGTATCATGCAAGATTCCCATTCTTGCGACCCGGGTTCGATTCCCGGGCGGCGCAGAACGATTTTTTTTCTCTCTCTAATTTTTACAAATTTGCACGGGCAAATTAATTGTCGCACTTTCCTATTCTCTTCATTGAGTCATGCTCCTGCCTTTCTCCTGTACTTCCTTTCGCCAGCCTTTGCTCCAGAAGCTAGACGGCAATGCCAACCCCCTCCCCGCCTTTTAAGGCACTTGATCTCTCTTTTCAAGGATAGTTTTGCATGGAAGAAGGGCCCTTTCCTTAAAAGCAAAGGAACTTCATCTACTGCTCCAAAGAACAACGAAGAATCTTGAGGACTAGCGCCGAAGTCACCTTATTTCCTTTGGCTTGCTGGCAGCATGAATTTGAAGGCGGCGGTGGTGGGAATCTCCTTCTGTGATTCAGGTCTCTCTCATTTGCAATCCTAATCCCTTTTCCTAGGGAGTAAATTCCATTGAAGATTTATTTCTCAGTGTAGGAAGACTGTTCTGTTAAGCAATTTAAACGCTAGATTTCCTTCTGGAATCAAGGAAGTTCCCACAAAACAGTCCAATTTTCACAAGCACCAGCGAATAAACTGTACCAGATGGAGCTGTTCCCCGGCTTTTGTGGCGCGCTGTTCATTCTGGGAAATGTAGTCTTTCTGTCTCCTTCGGAACTCTTACTGTAAAGTCCTAGGGCCCTTTCCCCGTATCTTGGAGTACACAACTCCCAGCATGCCTTTGCTCGTGTATTTTTTTTTTAATTAACTGTTTTTTTTTTTTGCCTCCGGAAGAAAGGGAAGCATGTGAGGGGAAAAAGGCAAGCTCGCATTTGGTGCAACTTTTGTAGGGGTTGCTGAAGGTGCGTTGCCTTCCTGCCTTGCTTTGCAGCCGCGCGACCCTGGCGGGCTGACCCGGTCGCGGTGCGCAGCGCGAGGGGAGGCAGCGGCGGGTGGAGCGAGCGGAGCGGAGCGGGAGCGACTCGAGGCGTCTTCCTTCCCGGGCGAGCTCGAGGCGAAGGCCGCCCGGTTGCCATCATGATCGTGGCCGCGGCGGCGGACCGGAACAAGGAGCCCATCCTGAGGGTGCTGAGGAACTACGTGAACTGCAGCCAGCCGCAGGTCCAGGTGCTGGAAGTGGCTTCCGGCTCCGGGCAGCACGCGGCCCATTTCGCCCAGGCGCTGCCCAACGTGGTCTGGCAGCCGTCGGACGTGGACCCGAAATCCATGGAGAGGTACAGCTGTGGTCGCAGGGCTGGGGATGATAGGCGTGGCAGTCCAACCCGCTGGGTCAGACCCAGGCTGCAGACGAGAGGCGGTGTCAGCAGGCGGCCGACTAGGGCCGGCACCACAAACCTCTCCGTTGGAGTCCCGACTCTCGAGGAGGCCACCTGCTCCGCTGTCCATGGGCCGGAGTGAAGGGCCAGGGCGCTGGATCTTGCCCTGGATCTTGCTGGATCCACCTCCCCGCCCCCTTAAATCTCTGCCGGAGGGTTTCCCCCCGATATCAGACGCCCTTTCCTCTCTCCATGCATCTATTATTTCAAATAGGGGTGTTCCTAGGAGAACCATTCATAAGCATATGCAAATTACCAATGCAAATATGTGCATTTCTTTATCCTGTGCAACAAACGATAAAACACTTTAAAATGGCCTTTCCAGCCTGTTGCCTTCCAGATGGAGGGGGCCCCGATGGATAAGGCAGCAAATCAATCAAAATTTTGTAAGCAGCAATAACAGACTGAAATAATTGTAGATGAAGAGAAAAAACATCCCAAAGGCTAAACTTGGGGAAAGACGTTTTTAAAGGCAGTGTTAAGGGTATCATTGAAAATTAAAGCAGGTTAATTTTTTACAAGCCGAGTGCCAACCCAATGCCGTTGGAATGGCCACAGGTAGAGCGTGGAGGCTGCCCAAGCAGTCAGTGCGGGAAATCGTCTTGCCTTGCGGACCTGGAGGATGCGAACACATGGCGCTGTTGGAGCTGGACGGGGAGGCTGAAGACGAGGGTGACTGGCCGCCTTTTGAAATAAAGCAACGCACATTCTCATCTAAACAGTCCCTCTTGTAAGACCATTAAATCCAGAGTCTAGAATCCCCCCACTGCAGCACTGGCCACAGACAGGCGCTTGTCAGGGCAGGGCTGACCAGGTACGCTGCGTCCAGGGCACTGGTGGAAACTTCCCCCTGGGGCATGATGGGAAGCTCTTAGCTCTTTGCCTGAGGCTGGAAAGCAGCAATAATGCTGTGTCCCCCCAGACCTGGGCTGCGGATCATTGGATAGCTCAGCCCGCCAGCGCTGAGGCTGAAGAAGCCATTCTGACCTTGGAGCTGGGAATCGAAGTTCCGCTCGCCGTTTCGCTGGCACCTCTCCAGTGATGTGAAAGGAACTGCACAAGCTGCTCTCGGAGGTTGGGGAAGGGGACTCAGAAAGGGGAAAAGACTGAAATTGTTGTGGCCTCCTTTTCTCCCACTCCAACACTTCCTAACTGGGCAGCCCAAAGTGGCCCTCTTCGGAGTGGGGAAGGGGAGGGAGGGGCACTGCTGCAGGTCTTCCAAGAGGAGGGGGTTGCAGGCATCCCCACAGGATGGCACTCTGAAGCCATTGCCTTCTGGGAGCTGCACCCAGACAGAACCACACTGCTTAGATGGCCTTTAAATGCCCTGCTTCCAATTCATTTAGGCCTGAATTTCACTTTGGAGATGTTCTTGAGGGCCAGTGGGCAAAAGGGGCGGGGCAGACATACCAAAAATGCAAGCACATTAAAGTTATTTCTGCCAGGAATGAAACCTTAGAAGAAGCATTTCGGTCTTTTAGAACGGGGAAAATGGCACAAAAGGCAAGAAACCAAGTTGGATGGCCTTTGGAAGTTCCGATTTGAACCCTAGATTTGGCACCCGGGCCTGAAGTTCTGCACCCCAGGATTAGGGCTCTAAAAGTCCAATGCAGCACCTTAAATTGGGCCCCAGAGCAGATCAGCAACCAGTTCCAGTGGCACACCTGTGACCATCTCTAGCCCCTACTACTGCATTCAGTCCCACTAGAATTCTGAGCCGTCTTTAAAGGCAGGGAGCTGAAAACGGCTGATGTCAACTCTCTTTCCAACATCTCTGCATTTGCCAGGGCACTCTCCCTTCCAAATGTCAAGGTGCCATTTTACTTGGATTCATCTCCGAGCTGGGAGACATGGGTGGCTTAGCTCCTGGATTCTGAATCAGAGAGCCGGCAGATGAGACCCTTCCCTTCCCTTGGGATTGAGGTATGCTGAGCTGAGGCGGCTGTCCTTCTAGCCCCTGGACAGCAAAATCTCATCAGTGTCTGGAGTCTAGAACCCTAATTGAATTGTATTTGGCAATGGGCCAATATGTTGTAAGCGTGGGCGAGTGACTGGGCGGCTGCCTGGAACAGCAGTCCCCAGCCTGGGGCCTTGCAGAAGTGTTGGAGTGCAAGTCCCAGCTAGCATGGGCAACGGCCGTGTGGGTGGGGAATGATGGAGGTTGCCATCTGACATATCCAGAGGGCATCAGGTGGCGGAAGGTTGACTCACTGCTGAGGTGAGCAATATGCAGCTCCTGGGAATAGGCTACATTTGATCTGCTTTGTACACCATACCAGCTTGCCACTGAAATCCAGTCACAAAACCACCAGTTTTTAGGGCGAAGGGTACCCAAGGGAGTGTAGCCCACGTGGTGTAGTGGCAAGTTTAGAAATGGGGGTCCCTTCATGATAGTCAGAGCCGCACCTCAAAGCCGTGCCCCCATCAAAGCTACACCCCCAAGCCAGACCTATTCCCAAGATTATGCAACCTATGATTATACAGTAAAAATGAGCTTTGTCACCTTGTTTGAATTTCTGCTGAGTAATGAATGCAAGAGGAGAGCTCTCCTTTTGAGGTGAAACAAAGGACAGCTTCTAGAAGTTATTCCTTATTATCTTATTATGAATAAATGATATTTTTTAAAAAATTACAATCATACCTTGATCTCCAGCCAGAAAGCTCTTAAAGTGGCTTATTTGGAATTAATAAGGCAGTTTCTGCCCACAGGCTTACTCTTAAAATATGCCATATGAGAGGAAAGGGATGGGATGGGAAGAGGAAAAAAGGACCCTCGGGCATTAATTGCCACACTTACAGAAACGCGTGCCGCTATATTCTCCCAAGAGCAGCAGTTGGGCTTGACAGTTAATGTTTGGTTTCTTTCTGTTTTCTGTGGCCTCTGCAGCCACTGGCTTGTCGTGTGCGTACATGTGTGTGGGAGCTCATGCAAGAGTCGAGAGCCCAGAGTTCAGGGGTTCCAGTTTCTCGAAATAGCCAGTGACCTTTTTTATGCAGTCTTTGGGGCCACACAGAATCATGCGTAAAGTAGCCTCACCGAAGGAAGAGGCGTTTGAGGCTGTCAGCAGCCATGGCCGGTTTTTCCCATTGATTCCAGTGAATATGCTCTAGTTCCGATACTGTTATTCCGCTTTAGCCATTATTTCTCCCAAATAATTCTGGGGCCAGGAGCTGCCAGAAAACGCCTCCTCGCCTGGCAGAGCTGCGGCTCCCAGACTGGCTTCCCAGTCCGTCCCTCTCCGTGTGAGGAGGAGCTGTCCGCCAGTGGCCCTTGGCACCCTTGCCAAACTGCGGCCCACAAGATGCTCTGGGGAAGCGATGGCCGCTTAAAGTGGGGTAAAAATGTTCAACATGTGGCGTGGGGGGGGAGGGGGTTTCCAGAGCAGCACAGGCAGGCTGGCCCCATGTTGCTGGGGAGCAGGGGCTGCCCACCAGGAGACATGCCCCAGGAGACCCCGAGCACACCTGGCAGGCCTCTCCAGGTAGGGAGCACCCAGGAACTGCCGAGAAAACACCCCTGCCCTCGGCCCATGAAATTTGGGACTCTAACACAGGGCGGCTGCTGGCCACGGACCAGCAAGAGTAACTCCCGTGAGCGGCGGTGGGGGAGGGACAGTGACCGTGGCTTCAGGATCCAGTGACCCTCTGAGGGCCCCCCAAAATAAGTGGGGGTGCTCTGACTCCACGAGGGGCCCCTCCACTGCACCCTTGGTTTGGCAACTTATTTTATATTGTTATTTTTTGTATTTTAACTTAATGTTTGTATTTTACAAACATTTTAACTTAATTTTATGTTAAGTTAATGTTTTAACTTAATGTTTTTACTTAATGTTGTGAGCCGCCCCAAGGCTTCGGCGAATGGGGCGGCATAGAAATGTTTTAATAAATAAACAGAGGAGAATGGGCTCCAGGACCCGTTCATGGGTCTTAGGGGCTGAAGGGCACTCTGATTCTTGCTGTGGCTTCTGAGCTGGACCTTGGACACGTCCGGCGAGCCATTTCCCATCAGCCCAAGCAAAAGGGCACCGGCAGGATCACCGGACAGGGATCAGTTATGCTTTAACTGTTCCGCAAGCTTCGGTATTTGCTCTGACTTCATAGACGTAAGACGCTTTTATTTCACACAAGAGCGACATCAGACTAGCCCCTGGTTTCGGAGAGGGTTGAACTTTGGACTTCTAAATTTGTTCCAGGTGGGCTGGGCACGGCTGGGAAGTGTGTGGCCTCCCAATGGTTTGACCTGCAACTCCCAGCAGTCCTAGCTGTTACAGCCAGTGGTAAGGGATTGTAGGGTTTGTAAGCTATAACACCTGGAGGACCATGAATCGCCCTCCTTAGAATTAGGGCTACATGAAACGACATGCTGGTTGCACAATTTGCAGTTGTGGGCATCTTTTAGAAAAAGCAACAGTGGTCTTGGCCCCGATCTGGATCAGGACTCTGGCAGTAGGCGGAGGAGGGCCGCTTGGCCTGCTGCCACCCCGGCTGCTGCCCTGACCCGGATCATCTCTCCCCTGAAGGCTTCCACTGATGCACGTGAGCGCTCCCCTGTGAAGAGCCAGGGCCGCTGGGTGCATGTGCTCCGGCTCTGCCGGTTCAGGTGGCAAGTCCCTCCCTCCCACACAACAGCCCAGTGCGACTGAGCGGCCTCTAGGGTGCCTCCTACTCAGACAGGCCCCGGACCTCTGCCTCAAAGGCCTGCCCCGTAGGAATGACCGCAGATGGCGATCCCCGTGGGTGCAAGTGAGCGCGTGTGTGGATCAGGGCCATGCGCAGGATCGGGGTTCTGTGCCTCCTCCCTGTCAGTTGTGTGAACGCCCATCCTCTGTGGCCTGCAGCAGTGCTGACTCCGTGTTTTGGAGGGCCCTTGGGCAAAGCAGCCTCGATCCCTCCCTCCCTCCCTCGTCCCCAACTGCTTTTGCTCCCCCTCCCTCCCCTTGCCTTCCTCCTCAGAGGTCCCACTTGCAGGCTTGACCGGCAGAGAGCGCCGGAGCAAGAGGGTGGAAGCAGCTTCCCCTGCCTGCCTGTGCTGTCGGGGCTCGAGCGAGATGCAGGTGGATGGCGAGGGGGAAGTGGGCCTCTGGGACTTGGCCAGTGGGCCCTGCCAGCCCCGGCCCTGAGCTCCTCTGCTGAACCTTTCCTGTGGGACTGTGGGCCTCATCCCCCAGCTAATAGTTGGGGTTTGCCAGAAGTCTGAGAATTCCTATTCTTGTGGTCCCAGGCAAGCTGTCCCTAGACCTGGAGGGTCTTAAGGGCAGAAGCTCATCCAGGAGGCATGCAAAATAAGAGCTACAGAAAAGTGAATACTGTAAAATCGGTAAGAACCGATTTTGTAAAATCCCATTAAAACATTGCCAGTAAAAATCAGTAAAACCTGGGATATTATTATTAACCTGCTCTTCTTATAGACTGGTTATTTATTGTCATGATAAAATGGTGCACTTTCCAATGCTGATGCCGGTGTTCCTGGAGGGTAGCATATGGGTCACGCATGGCACTTGTGTGATCCGAAGAACGAATGAACGAACGCAGCTTGGGCTGCAACTTCCAGGATTCACAGTCAGCATGGACTGTCTGACCATGGTTGGAATAAGATCTGTATACCATGCTGAGCATCTGGGTCCTGGTGCTTTGACTGTCCGTACCCCTGGACCCTGACAATATGCATCGGTCAAAAGGAAAACATGCACACATTTGCTAATTTATATATGCTGCAAAGTGCATGTAGAAACATAGAAACAGAGCGAGTCAGAAGGGGTCTCCCGGGCCATCTAGTCTGACCCCCAGCTCCCGCCGGCACCACTCACGACATGCCCACCATGTGCACGTCCAGCCTATCTTTGAACACCTTCACCAATGGGGCCTCAAGGACCTCCCGTGGAAGCCCATTCCATATCCTCGGGGTCCTAACTGTCAGGAAGTGCTTCCTGCCATCTAAATGGAACCTTGGTTCCCTGAGCTTTGCTCCGTTGGAGCACGTCCTACCTTCCTCTGCAGGGGAGAACAGGTCTCTACCCACCTCCGTGTGACACCCCCTCGCATGTCGCCAACAGATCCCCTCAGAGTCTCCTCCAGGCTGAAGAGACCCAGTTCCCTCAGTCTCTCCTCATATGGCATCCCCTGCAAACTGGCCACGTGTGTGTCTTGAAAGGATCCTGTCCCTGAAGGACAACCTTGTTTGAAAGAGGAGATGTATGGGCAGAGGAACAGTGGTGGCTGACCTCAGGGGGAAAAGCTCAGGCAGAAAGACTTACTCTGGGGGTCCACAGGACGTGAAGCACTTGGTAAAAGGCCAGCAAATCTGGGCCGATCAGGTCGCCTTTATTTGGCCCAGGGAGGTGGAGGAAATGGCCTCCAAGAGTGTGGGGCTGCTACTGAAAGATTCGGGGCCATCCATCGCCACCTCTCACCATGATCAAGTGCATTCGGTTAGCGGTGAGGTGCCCTTCCAAGAAGAAGGCCAACCGCGACTCCCTGCGGCCAACCTGTCTCAGTCAGCTCTGATATTTCTCACGTGCCAACTGCAGGTCTCTGTGCATGCTCAGCTGGTCCTCTGGTCTCTCTTGGCAGCATCTCTGCATTCATCAAGGCCCTCCGCCTCTCCAATGTCAAGCCCCCCATCTACTTGGATTCATCCCAGAGCTGGGAGATGTGGGGAGGCCTGCGCCCGGAGTCTCTGGACCTCATAGTCAACATCAACATGATCCATATCTCGGAAATGAGCTGCACCCAGGTGAGGCCGCCTTCCCATTGCAACAACCTTCCCGTGTGTCTGTTTGGTGGAGAGCCCTGTGGAATGCCATGCAATCCCAGTTTTTTTTTTGCTTGGGCTGATGGGGAGTGCCTCACTGGACGTGTCCTTCTTTTCTCTTACTTTAAATTTATTTTTAATTGTTATATCATTGTTCATTTGTTATATCATTTTTATAAATTCCCCTGGGGAACATAATAGAAAGGTGGTACAAAAATACTTAAAGGACATCTGGCTCCCTCCTCTTCTCTGGAACACCATAGGTTTATGTGGCATCCTGGAGCCCCCTCCCCCTTCTCTAGCCCTAACCCTTCCCAAGCGCAGGACATAGAGGGGGAAAGGGTGGGTGTTTGTAGGCTGGGACTGCGGGCTTACACCAGTTCATGTTGGTTTGGAGGCCTATGAGCAGCAGGGCACGGGGCTTCGAGTCCTAATTATGGTGCCATCCAGCGTACATGTAGGCAGAAAAAGGCCCTCAATCCCAGCATTCCCAGAGCTTTTTTTCTAACATGCAGGTTTTAAACATGCGTAGGGTAGTGCACTAAATAAGCCCACAGTGGAGAGGTTTCTCTGGATCACCCAGAATGAGGAGCCCCATTCAAGGGGGGTTCAGTGCTCCAGTTCCCCAGGGAACCAACTTCCATGAGTGACCAGGGATAGGCAGGGCCTTTCCTTTGCTGGCCCCCGAGTGTGGACTCCTCTCGCCGGAGGGGTTTGCTTGGTGCCAAGGCTTGTTTTCTCAGTGCCAGAAGAGACATTTCCCCCTTTTCCCTGCCTCGTGCATCTTGAGATCTGTTGGTAACTTAATGCTATACAGTTGAGTTTCTGCTCTTTATTTTAAATGTTTCAGGGTAGCAAAACAAACAAAAAATAAACCAGAAAGGCCTTGAATCTCCTGGGTTTTTTCTGTCTGAACAGACACAGGATGGCAAAATAAAGGACCTCAGCAGGTGTGGGGTAGTGGAAGCATTTTCAGTGCCAGGAGCACCGTCTGGGGCCTATCCAAGGGTGGCAAGAAGAACGCGATTTTTCGAGTTGGCCCATGATCTTCCTCCGGCTGGATGTTGAGTGGGAGGGCAAGCAAGGAATCCGGGGAAATGCAGAAGCCTTGCCTGCCTGCTGTAATTGTCTTAAAATGCAGTGGTGGGCGCTGTTGGGCAGGCCATGGCCATGCAGTGGAATCCGCCCTGCCTAATGCTCAGCCTGATTAAGATGAGGCCGAAGAGGCATTTGCCGTGTGGGTAGCCCTGGCACACAAGACTGAAAAGGAAAACAGGCCTTGCCCATCAGGGGAAGGCAACCCAGAGTGGGGCCGCAGCATGAGGGGTACGTCCACCCTTTGCTTCTGGAAGGATCCACACATGGCCACGCGCACACCTCCGTCGCATTCTCAGCGCCTCTTCCTGGGTCCTTGGGATTTTGGGCAGTCCCCTAAGCTCATGCAAGCAGGAGTGCCATCTAGCGGCAGCCAGCAAGGTTAGCTGGATTGCTTTCCATCCTGCATCTGTTTCAGCCTTTGGGATGTTAGTTTTTGGGGAAAGCTGGTTTTGGCAGTAGCAGAAATCTAGCCTTCTCTTTCAGGTTGCATATACAGCAAGCAGCAGTACATGATTTGAGCAGCTGATAGAATGGTGAAGGAAACATATGTCTGCAATGCTCAAGGGTGGTGCCTCTGAGCATGTGCTGAATGCATTCCTCCCACCTTTGCAGGATGCCTCTGATTCCAGAAACGACGCAGTTTCTGAAACATACTGTAATTTCCCCCCGCTTTGCATGGGTCGGGGGCAGAATCCACGAGGCAGGACTGCCAAAGAGGCAGCTCAGTTGTCCTGATGGAGAGCGGCCATCTCCTTGCGCAGGTGGCGGGCAGCACAGGGGGAAGTGGCTGGAGTTCATGCTAGGAGGGGCTTCCCTCCCCTCTCTGCTTTTTCCTTTGTTCTCTTCTCCAGGGCTTGTTCAAAGGAGCGGGAAAATTGCTAAAACCCAAAGCTGTGATGCTCACATACGGCGTAAGTTGCTGCTCTGTTTGTTGTCATGAGGGCAAAGGTGGGCTGAAGGTGGATCACCACGTGGCTTAGCGTTCCCGTGTGGCCAGGGGGAACCGGGCTCAGCTCTCTGCCGCAGCTGCGTTTGGAGGGTGCTCCAGAACTGACCCAGAGGCAGCACTCCTGCCCCCTTTGGGACCTGCTTTCAGCCTTCCAGATGTCCTGGACTACCGCGCCCATACCCCTTGGCCACGTCCTGGCTGTGGATGATGGAGCTGTACTGCCTGCTGTCTGGAGGGCCTCACGTTGGCAAAGACTGGCTTAATGATTCTGCGTTTCCCCAGTTTTGTTTGGGAAAGGCTGCATCAGTGTGGGTTTGGGCAGGAGGCCAGGGCTGGAGCCCAGAGGCAGTGTAGTGCAGTGGTTACACTGCCAGACTAGATCTGAGTTCAGGTCTTTGCTCAGCCGTGAAAAGTGACCACAGGCCACGAATGCTTTCTCAGCTTCGCCTGTCTTGCAGGATTATTGTGAGGATAAAGGTGCTTGTGGGGAGAACCACCATGAGCTCCTTAGAGCAAGAGATGCGGGTGGGGGGATCTCATTTAGGAACTGAGCTTTGCTCGCCCTGACCTTCAGGAGGGCCCTCCTCAGCCTGCAGCTCTCCAGCAGGGCTGTGGAGGCCCTGGGTAGGGTATCGCTTTGCCTGACTGCGTTTCCCCCCTGCTCGGTCCCGCACAGCCCTATGCCGTGAATGGGTGCATCACCCCTCAGAGCAACGTGGACTTCGACTGCAAGCTGCGGCAGAGGTAAGCATGGGGCAGGGTGGAGGGGGTGCTCCCAGCCTCAGAAGCGGGAATGGGGGGTAGTTTTAATCTCCTGCCGGCTCTTGTAGTGCAGCAATTGGGAGCTGGAGCTACCGCTCCCTCTACTGGCTCACCTGGGCATGACCTTGTCCGCATGGCCCAAAGGCAAGCCAGTGGCTTCTCCGGTTCCCTCTTTCCCCCAGTCCAAAAAGACGAGGGTAACACTGGCCCACAGTGCAGGGGCAGAATGGTGGTAAAGCAGGTGTGGGCATCTCCAGATGTTGCAGGCTTCACGTCCCAGCCAGTGTGGTCAATGGTCAGGAATGGGAACCGAAGTATCTGGAAATGATTTTCTGCTGTTCCCTTGCATTTATATGCTGCTTTTTTCCCCTTGTGAGGAGCCCAAGGCAGCTTACAAAGCTCTCTTTTATCCTCCAGCAGCAGCCCTGTGGGGTAGGTTGAGCTCAGGCTGTGACCGGCCCAAAGTCACCCAGTGAGTGTCAGGGCTGAGTGAGGACTAGAAGCCGGATCTCCTGGGACTCCGGTCCAGCACTGGCAGCTCTGGCTCTCAGTCTCAGGGAGATGGCTGGGGGCTCACCGGGTTAAAAGAGGCACTCGCCGACAGCGAGCAGGGAGGTGGCTTTGAGGACCTTGATCGGATGCCTGCAAGCGTGACCAAGCCCAACGAAGCATAACTGGAGCTGTTGTCTCTTTCTTCTGCTTGCCGCTGCGTCTGCTCCTCAATCTTTTTGCTGTCTTTTTGGATTTTAGTTGTGACATTATAAGAGGAGGAGCAAGGTCCACGTGTCCTCTGAAAATATTCACACATATTGAGGGTGTCTCATTAGCTGCCGCCTCGCCCTCTTCATTCATTTCTGCACCACCCCCTAACTGAAGCTTACAACAATCCATAAAAACAAGGCAATAATATGCAATAAAAGTATCAAAACATCTAAGAAACATTTTAAACAGCTAAAAATAAAGAAAAAAAGTGTTTTGAAAACTCGAAAACAGTCTACAAATGTGAAGGGCAACAAAAACCCTTCTTTCTCTCTTTGCATCTATGCAGCTTCCACATTCCGTGGCTGCAGTTTCTAGGGGACACCAAGTCTGAATCCTGCCCAGAAATCATGATCGCTTGTACCTGTTGGTTTTTAAAGAGATTCCCATCGCTTTGGTTGGGGGACACGCGCAGCAAAAATGCTTGTGTTGCCCTGCATTGCCCACAGTGCTCATGGCTGCCTCTTCGTGGGGACACGGGGTGGCATAAACTGCATACGCTACATGTAGGTCACAACCCAGCGCAGCCTTTCCCAACCTGATGGTTTGGACCACAGCTCCAGCCTTGGCTGCGTCAGCCAGAGCTGATGGGTATTGTAATCCAAACACTTGGCATCCACCAGGTTGGGGACCGCTGATCTTCTGGATGGAACATTGATGTGCCGGAAGGGTGATTGTTCTGCTTTCGGAAAGTAGTTGCAAGCCAGACGGCACCGCAGAGACCACCTGGGCCACCGCTCTGCTGGATGCAGTAATCTAGTGAGCGGAGCTGCTCTTCGTTTGCTGGGCTTGCAGGAGCCTTGGTTGCGCCCCATGCTAATGAGTCTCTCTCCTTCTCTGCTCCTCCAGAAACCCGGCCTGGGGCCTCCGGGACACCACTCTGCTGCAGCAGCTGGCGGAGGCCAACGGGATGCAGCTGGAGAGGATGGTACGTGAGAAGAGCACAGAGGGCGCCCAGTGGGGTGTCCATAGAGGACCAAGGAAGGGGAACTCTAGAAGGAAGGAAGCTGTTGGGAGAGGCACCTTATCCCTCTGTTCCACACGGTCTTTGGCACTCTCCCCAGGGCAGCAGGCTCTGGGCACGGCGAAGGCTCCCCGCAAGGCGTTTCCCTCACCTCAGAGCTGAAGTGCCCCTTGACGCAGTGGAGCAGGGCTTCCCAGCCAGTCTCTGCTGCCAGGTCCAGGGGAAAGCAGCCCCAGGCTGGAGCGCCCACCCGGCGCTCGCTGGGCCCGCAGCCTCCACCGTTCCTGACCAGGCAGACCCCTCACAGCGCACATCGTAGCCCCGTCTCTGCAGGAGGGGAGCCGAGCTTCTTGCCGCACGAGAGCTGAGCTCCATTTTGGAGTTGCTCTCCGGAGCCCATTTCAGTGGGACAGAGGGCAGAAGGGGGCGGGACCCAAAGCACCTGCATATAGTCACTTAAAGCTCTTCTTGCTGGGAACCCAGCTTTGCAAGAGGCATTTTCGCCTTTTAAAGTGCAAGGGGAAAACTGCCCCACAGCTGAGAAACTAGCAAATAACTGGGGAAAGGGGATGAGGCCAAAGGAAGCTAAGATGCTCTGGAGCAGCTGCGGAGCACCTGGTTTGCACTCGTGCTTCATAACGGAGCAGGGAGCTCAGTAACAATGGCGTTCCTACTTCCAGGTCGATATGCCTGCGAACAACAAGTGCCTTATTTTCCGCAAGCAGTAGCCAGCCAGTCCCCTGCCTTTGCGAGGGGGAGACCCCCAAGGAGAGCCTCTTCTGACCAAAGGATCACCTGCCCTGGCAGAATCCATTCAGCCTCCTTTGCTCGGCTTCGCATCGCTTCTTTCTTCCTTCCTTGGGAGGAGTAAACCTGGTGTCCTCCTCGAAGATGTCAGTCCAGAGGGGAAGACCTTCGCCGAAAGTTGTGGCAAGGAGGCATCAAGCCCTTCTGGGCTTTGGCTTGGAACGCAGTGTGCCTCTGTCTTTTTCTTGTGTTGTGCGTGAGTTGCAGCTGCCAGGGATACCTTGGACCACCTACCCCTACTGTTTGCCTGCTTGGAGAACCGGAACCTGTGCAGGGGGCCCAGGTATGGCCACACCCCAGCATCTCCCTCCTCACCCAGCACCCCGTGCCTGGCCCCCGTCCTGCCTCCGTATGCCTTCGCGTTTGGTGCCAGCATGGGCAGCTGCTCCCTGTTTGGGCCTCGTTCCCGGGCAGGGCCTTTGCCTCTCGGGCTGTTGCTTTTGTGGCTTGCTTCACCAGTGCACGTGGAAGGCCTTCCTCACTGGCCCTGGTGTTTGTCGACCCGGTACTGTGACTTGGGAGCGGGCTGGGGTGTGGGAGTGTTGCGGGGGAAACGTCGCTCGGCACTTAGGTGCCCCCAGGAAAGGACCCAATGGTTTGATGCTCGGGCGGGTGAGAAGGGCGAGTTGAGAGCTGGCACCCCTGGGTGGCCCTTGCCTGCCCCCCGCTGGAGAGCCAGGCCCCTCCTCACCTCCCTGCACCATTGGGCAGCTTCTGCAGCCTGTGTGGGGCCTGCCGCCAGGCCCCTGTAGGGCTGGGAGTGCCCAGCGTCTTGTGCCTTTTGCTGCAGTCACATCTTCAGCCTGCTTGCCACAGAAAGAGATGCAGCAGGATCTGGCCAGTGCTTTGGGGATGCAGAAGACAGGGTGGCTCCTTAGTGTGGCTCGTTTTCAACCCCGGCCCTTGTTGATGAGACCACTCCTAACACTTTCCAGTCAACAGCCTGCTGCTGAGTCCCCGGGACTGTATGCGGGGAAGGAACTGGGTGTTCGTATTTCCACCCCAAATCAGAATATTCCTGCTTGTGGAAAACTAGTGCATTGGAAGAAATGATTACCCCAGTTTTCAGTCCTCCATTTGTGTTGGACTGCAGTCCCATCATCCCCAGCCTCCCATGGAAGAGCATGTAACCATGGGGTGTCCCCATCTGCACACTCAGTTGCTAAAAACCGCTCTGTGCGGTTCATCTCTGGTCCTGGCTCTGAGGAAGCCTTGCAGGTTGCGGTGGCCACGCGAGCCGGGGAAGAAGGAAGCTGTAGTTGAAACACACGTGGAAGGCTGCAGAGCGGGGAGGCCGGGCTACTTTTCTGCCTGGGGGAAGGTTTGTTTTGTAAATACCACCAAGTATTCAACACTTTTAATGCTGCAGCTGTATTGTGAAAAGTTACAGTCCCGGAAATGCAGCAGTATGTGGTTTAATTCTTTTTCAGTGGCTTCCAAAAAAGCCTTCCTCAACCCTCTGCTCACCTGTTGTGTGGAGCAATGATTCCCCGTATCCACCACCACTACGAAATACTTTACTTTAGTGTCTCCCAACTTGGCCCAGAGCCACCCGTAAGGTAGGCAACCAGTTTCTTGAATGTGGCCTTATTTCTTCTGGGCCGGGATTCAAACAATGGGAAAAAAAAACAAAAGTGTCTCTTAATTCTGTTTATGAATGAATGGCTCCCTCCAGTGGTGGCTTGTAGAATAGCATGAATTTGCAGAATGGGGTTGGAGGAGGAGGTTGCCTTGCGTAACTGATGCTGCATCTGGGTGCAAAATAAATGTAATGTTCAGGAAGCACTGGCTGAGGAGTCTCATTTGCCTCGTGCTCCAGGGAAATGCCAGCCCACCGTCCCCAACTGGGTATTGGCTGCCGGGCATCGGCAGAGAAGGTTCTGAGAGTAGAACAGAGGCTGTGTGGGAGCACCGTTTTTGGTTCCTTGGAGTTACACCTAGTACTGGACCCAGCAAAGTAACCTCCATTTTAATTATCTGACTAAATCAGCTGATGCCAAGCGGGCCAAGCCAAGCCTGCGCTCTCATGGCACTTGGATCTGATTCTTCTGCAGCTTGCTCTGCTGGGAGCCCAGCAGCTGCTTTATGAAAAAGGCAAGAAAATGGATTTCTGAGATGCACAAAAGGGGAAGTAGATGCAGGGGCCATCCAAGAAATAGTAAATTAGAGGCAGTACTGACTTCCCACAGCCACTTCTGGAGGTTGGCAGTCACGGGCCTCTGCCGTGACCCCTTTTGTCCTCTATGAGGTCTGGTTGTGACTGAGGGGAGGCAGCTGGCGCATTTCTCCTGCAGGGCAGGGGTTCAGCCTTTGGCATCCCAGCTCTGAGTAATCCTATGCCCCAGCACCCCATTGGAAGGCCATGCAGTGTAGAATTTTCTCTTCATAGATGAAGGCATGTTAAGGGAAAGATCAGCCTCCACTGTGAGATGGATAATAAGCACAGGATAATTTTATTGATTCTGCATAGGCTGGAGCAGCAGGGGAGTGGAGCGGGGTGGAAATCACAGGGACAGATAAATTACAGCTCACACAAAAACAGACGATAGGTAGTTACAGGCATAATGGAGCTCACAGTCACAGGATTGTGATAATAGCTGTAAATATTTGCAGACAAGAGGGTGATCCATGGAGCTGGCCAAAGGGGCGGAGGGGAGCTGGACTTGCACGCCTCCACGTGTCCCTGCATTGGGGACACGCAGGGCTTCCAGGGGTGCTAGAGTTAGCCCTGCCTGTCTCCAGCCCAGTCCTGTGTAGCTGCAGCGGTATGGAAAGAGAACGGTGCATCTTCAGGGAGGGACCATTCTGGACTGTCTTCCCTTCTCCACGAAGGGGTGCTCGGCCTACACTAGTCCTGGAAGCGGTTGAGAAGCTCGCAGGTCTTCTTCTCTAGTAGCTCGGCGATCTTTTTCACGCGCTTGTCATTGGCGGTCCGGACGTAGCTGTTGGGGTCAAGAACCGCCATGCCGTCGTGCACCTCCCCCATGATGATGAGGGGCCCATCTTCAGTGGTCATGTTGGGGCAGGGGCAATTCCAGTCCATGTCGGTCAGAGTCACCTCCAGGTACTTGATGTTGAAGAACCTGAGGCCCATCTTCTCATCCTTGAGGACATCATCCAGCGCAAAGCGGGCGATCCCCGAGTCCTGGTCCTCGACGATCTCCATGAGCCGCCCCACAATGGCGAAGTCGCTGCGGCAGAGGCTGAGGACCATCTTGTTCTTCAGGCGACACGCTTTGCACTGCGGTGTCTTGGGGAAAGGACAGATGTCCTCGCAGCTCTCCTTGCTGTCGAAGTTGTTCTCGTTGCCCTCGCAGCCGCCGTAAATGAAGGAGTGGCACTGCTTCATCAGGTGGTTGTAGGCCCAGCGCGGCTCCCAGTTCTTGCAGGGCCCTTGGACCATGGGGAGGGTACAGAGGTTGCCCGCGTTGTGGACGCAGGCCAGCTGACACTCCTCGTAGGTGTCGAAGTGGTTCTGGTTGCCGCTGCACCCGCCGTGATGGAACGTGACACAAGAGCCCTTCTTGGGGTCAAAATGCCAGCGGACTTGGTAGGACTCGCAGTCCTGCCTGTCCGGCTCCTTCAGGCACTCACCCGGGGGAAGCTGTGGGGGGCTGGATGCCCTCGGCCCCCCTCTGGAGTGCTCCCTCTTGATGACCGAGAGAGGGAAGTCCGCCCGCAGGAGCCCTGCAGAGTTCCTGGCCGTGCAAGTATAGATGCCCGCGTCCTCCGGCTGCGCGTTGTAGATGACCAGCTGGCCGATGTTGGTCACAACCACATTTCCATACATCTGGTCGGGCCGCATGATGAAGTTCTCCTGGTGGTCGCTCTGCTTCTCCCACGTGATGTCTGGCCGGGGCCGCCCACTCACGTCGCAGTGGAAGCTGACGGTGCCGCCCATGTAGACCGACTGGTGGAAAGGGTTGTTGTAGAGGGCCGGCGGGACGGGCAGCTCGGCGGCTGCGCCAGGGGTCGGGTGCGCGGTGGTCTCCACTGGCACTGGGCTGGTGTTGGGCCAGGTGAAGATGTACTTGCAGGGCACCACGGCGAGGCTGATGCCCCGGATGCAGGCCTCGGCGTCCATGTAGCACTTGTTGTAGTACGTGAGTCCATCCGAGGCGCAGGTGAAGTTCGGCTCCTTCTCGCACCTGTCCTTGCACTTGCAGATGGGCTGCCCATCCCAGATGTCACAGTCCGAGCCCTGCTGGGTGCACACAAAGCTCTCGCAGGTGGCTTCCTGCACCTGCTCCAGGGAGGAGAGGCCTCCGTCCGCGTAGCGGGCGGCCACGCAGCTCCGCAGGCCACAAACGTTGGTGCAACATTTCTCAAAGCCTTCGCAGTCCTGTTGAGGAAGCAGGAGTAGAGTGTATAAATTCAGGTGAATTAGAAACATCGAAACAGCGTGAGTCAGAAGGGGGTTCCTCTGGCCATCTAGTCTGACCCCTAGCTGCAGCCAGCTCTGCTCATGACATGCCCACCTGCCTAACGTGGCAGCAATCTCATGACTTCATGTTGCAAGACGTGGGAAGCTGCCTGAGACAAGTTCACCCCCATGGTCCATATAGCCCTACAATGACAAGCAGCCATCCCCACTGTCAGGCTGGGGTCTTTCACCCCCCCCCCACCCCGCCCACACACCTGGAGAGGCCACACACTGATCTGGGAGCTTTGCAAGCAAGGCAGGAACTGTGCCACTGGCTACAGGTTTTCCCCCATGAAACAGAACAGATCTCATTTTGAATGCTGCCTTCCCATTCCGCTGCCTTCAAGACAGTTTGTTGTCCACAGAAACAACAAAATACCAGAAGTTATATCCTGTAACAGTTCCATCAGGTTAAAATATTCCATAGTGAACAGTATAATTTTTAAAAAACTGTTTAAACCAGTGAACATAAAATTAATGCCTTTGTTCATATCATATTACAAGATAATAACTGAACAAAGTATCAGAACATGATAATTAAATCATCACTCCTAATAGTTACAGTAAAGCATTAAACAATTAGAAAACAACTAAGGCAGATACAAAAAGGCCACAGACTGTGTGAATGTCGTTGTTGTTTACAGTAATTTTATTTCTCTGCTCGCTGGGCAGTGCGCAAGACTTGGTAAATACAATAAAACATGATATAAAAATTTAAAAAATGATCAAGCATCATAAAATTAAATAATTTTAATGTGGCCTTTAGTGAGGATAGCTCCTTTGTTCATGTTTACAGACTAACAAGTTTTAGAATATGTAGGTGTTCATTTTTATGCAATGGTAAAACGTCTTTCCTCCCTCATGTCTGTAATCTGAATGGAAAACCAACATGGTTCAGAACACGTATTTGATGCAAACTGGGTTTCCCTTCTGCTTCTGAAAAAATCACTTTTACACTGAACCCCCAAGAGCAGTTGAAAGATGCAAAATCATACAGGATATGAAAATACAGTATACAACAGCCCTTTCCCATTTTGTTTAGGGCTTGTTCTCAGGAGCAAATTTTTCCAAAGGCTGGAAAAACTGCTTGCCAATGGGCTTAACCTCTACCTGCACCTAATTTCTCATGCCCTGTGCAGGGCTACCTATGCTGCTATCTGAGATCAGGGCTTAAAGAGGCCCTTCTCCCTGACAGAAATACAGTCCCCAGGGTTACCTCAGGTGAGAAAGCAACGACTAAAACCAATTTTAATCTGTGGTGCAGCTATGCCTTCCATGAGTTCGAGAAGTGTATCTAACAACTGAAATTAGATACACATCTAATTCTATTGTTCTATTGACTGTATATTTCCTCCAAGATGGTCCTACTTGAGCTTGCAGGGTTGGCAAGTCTGAATGCTCTCCAGTGCTGAAAACAAAAACAACCCCGAGTCAAGAAAGCTAGCGCTTCACAGGGCCCGGTGAGTCTGCCCTGCTCCTCTAGCTCCCTCGGCCTTGGAAACGAGGCTTTTTCACCTTTTGTCCAGCTGTGGGGAAGAACAAGGTGGCAGCTCCGTACAGCAGCAATCTTCGCAGGTGGGGGCGGGAGAGAGAGAGAGAGAGAGAGAGAGAGAGTGTGTGTGTGTGTGTTTGGTTCTTTTCACAAGAAGCAGACATTGTATGGTGAAGGAGCTGCAGGCCACGTCATGGGACCCTCCGATGTCGAGTGGCTGGCTAGGCTGCCCAGCGCCTGCGAGGGGAACACCCCAATGCCAGAAACTGACCACCCTGGAAACATTTGCTTACAAAGGTTTCCTTGACATGTAACGGGCTGGGGCAGCAGCTCTGGGTTTTTGGGTTTTTTTTGGCCTTGCCTGTAACGGGGCTGTGTGGGGAGCCCCCCACCTCTCCAGGCAGCTGGTTCCACTGCCATGTTGCTCTGACAGTGAAGAAGCTTTTCCCGATGTCCAGCCTGAACCTGGGTTGCCACAGCTTGAATTGATTATTCCATGTCCTACACTCTGGTATCAGCGAGAAGAGATCTTGACCTTCCTCTCTGTGACAGCCTTTGAGGTACTTCTAGAGGGATATCGTGCCCCCTCTCAGTCTTCTCTTCTCAAGGCTGAACATGCCCAGTTCCCTCAGTCTCTCCTCACAGGGCAGTGTTTCCAATCCTGGGTCATTTTCGCTGCCCTCCTCCAGACCCTTTAACTTCGCTGCTATTTTTTCTCCTGTGTGAAGGCCGCTAATGTTTTTCGCTCAAACATCTTTTGAAGCTGTTCTCGTGAAAGCGGGCATCTTCCTTGTCTCATCTTCCGGCTTTAATGCTGTGGCCAGTTTTGCACAATTCATGGTTGCACATTTGGCCCAAGGATGCTCAGGGCACATGCCTTTCCGTGGCCAGCGAGGTGCCCAGCAGGGGTGGCTTTGGCATGACCCCAGAATCCATGGCTTGTTGTAGGGTTCTGGGATAGTTTGAAATACTTTTAAGTAAAAACAGTATGATGCAAACAAAACAAAAAATAACAAAGAATTAAAAGGGGGAACTTTGAACACAAGAATTGTACCCCCAGACTGGAACCTTAGCTACGTGATCATTAATTACTCACATCCTTCTTCTTCTTACTTCTTTTTCTATGTTTCCCTTCTTTCAGAACCACCCCCTTCCATCCAAAATTGCATTAAATCATATGAAGGTTTGCTACTTTTCCCTTTTATTAATACACATTCAATGAACAACCCTCAAATAACATTAAAATTGTCCTTGTTTGTCAACCATCTTTTCACTTTAAAACTACACATTAACGTATCATTAACAGCTATATTCCTGATTTCTTTATACCATTCACTTAATTGGAAAACCCATTTTTCCTTCCATTTCTTTGCTATTATTAATCTTACAGCTGTTAATAAATTGGTTATTAATTCTTTAATATTCCATTTCCATTTCTTTTCATAAAATGCATAAAATTGCATATAATGCAATTCCAGAGTTTGCTTCAATATCTAAATTCACTAGTTGCAAATTTTCTTAAAAACTATTTCCCAAAATTCCCTAATATTTTCACATGCCTACCACCTATGGAAATAGGTACTCACTTTTTGATCACATCTCCAACATATATTGGAGTACTAATAATTCATATAATATTGTATTACCAGTGTCAGGTACTATTTCCATACACATTTTTAAAAACTTTCCTTAATTCTAATTAACATGCTGTTTAGTATTTCCTTATCCCATATTTATTCCCATTCTTCCTTAATTATATCTCTTCCTAAGTCTATTGCCCATGAAACCTTAAGAAGGTCCTAGTGCTCCTCCATATCTAATAAAATCTTATAGGTCTCACTTATTATCCCTCTTGTTTGCATGATATCTTCTTTTTTCTTATACAAAACAATCTCTTCAAATTTAGTAAGATCTCTACATGTACCATTTTTTTACCTGTTCTTTAGTCTATTGCTCTAATTGCATAACATTAAACCAGGTTAATTTTTCTCTTCCTAATACCACCTTTATCCTTTCCTTGTTAGCCATTTTTTCCAACCAATCTTTTAACTTAAAAACCTGTCTTTCCTTCAATACTTTTCTCAAACTTCCTCTCATGTTTCCTGGAAATATTTCAATTTCTGTGACTGGAATTAGAGGTTAGATTGTTAGCATAAATCTTTCTCTTTACTTATTCCAGATTTGCACCATATTCTTAGGAAAGAGTTTTTCTACCTTTGTTACAATCTTTTTGTCATCCAGTTTGAAAAAGGTTTAGAAGGGATCCCTCAGTTTGTTGGTGTTCTAATTATGCCGATATTAACTTTTCAAGCTGTAATATAATATCTGGTATATATCTCATTTGACTCACTGTGTAATATAATTTAATTTTCATAATACCTAAGCCTCTCATTTTTCCTTTCTTGCTAAACCTTGCTTTCTTATCCCCATTGGCAAAATATGATTAATAAGTGTTGTAATCTTCCAATTCTTTACCTAATATCTTAATCAGTAACATCCTGCATAAAACATTGATTTGAGTTAAATTTTTCATTTCACATACTACCATTTTGCCAAACCATGATAACCCTATTTTCCTAAATGGGTGCATTTGTCCTCTATTTTGGATTTCAACATATCAAAGTTATTGAAAGGTTTATACCCAGGAAGCCACACGGCACACTTCCCCGCTCTACACGCAACGCCCTCCCAGGTGGCCAGGCCAGGCCAGGCCAGGCCAGGCCAGGCCAGGCCGCGTCCCTTGGGCAGCCCGCCTCCAAACAGACCGTCTCCTCAGTCTCATCCCCAGCTGAGCGAGGCTTGTGCAAGGCCACCCAGCCCATGGGGCTTCAGGTGGCCGGCTCCGCCAAGCAGAGGCCTGTCCTTGTGGCCCCACGGGGGCTGCAGCCTTTCTTCGACTTCGCAGCGGGTGGCTGAAAGTGTGGTGCGTGGCGGGGTGAACGTGTGCGTGTGAAGGGGTTCTCCATTTTTCTGTGCCCAACAACAGAAAAAAATATCAGTCATAATAATGCATAAAGACAGCTGTGGCCAACCTATGCCAAAGGTGTCATGTCTTATGGCTGAAGTGGTGCTAACGAAGGGGGCAAACGGGGAGAAAACATGTTTTGCTTCCCTCATCCTGGCCCTTTGGTCCCCTGCTCTCAAAGGCACTTGTGCGCCTCTCCTCTTCACGTGTGGAAAACAAACTTCTGTATTTCCCCCTCTCCAGCTGCACAAGTGGAGCTCACACCTCTCTCCCTCAACTCAGAAATGCCCTTTACACGTGTCCGAGAAGTATAACGTACAAAAATGTTCGAACAATGCCTTTCCCTGCTTTTTGTGACAGAAAGCAAAGCAATTGGAAACAGCTATTTGGGCTATTAAACAACCACCTGGTATTGTGTAAGTCAAGACAGGCTGCCTTGAAAGGAAGAGTGTCCAAATCCAGGTTTGCACTCCAAACTAAGAGTGCCTTCCAGAATGTTCCAGCAGGACTGTGGCACATGCTCCCTCTGCAGTCTGTGACCCCCCCCCCCCCTAAACCCAATTTTCCCTCTGAAGAGGTAAAATTCTTACGTGGGGAGGAAGTTGCTGCTTTCTAGCTAGGAAGCTGAGGGCCTGATCCTAGGTATGATTAGGGAGAAAGAAGGCCTGTAACTCCCAGTCCTCTCCAGTGGCATGGCCACCCCACACACCCGTTTGTCTAAGACCCCCGCAGAAAAAAAGTACCAAAGAGAGCGTGCTTCCTGGCAGGCATCCCAAATCTCCAGTTCTCAGATGAAAACAATGTGGCATTTGGAGATGCTGCCACCTCACATGGAAGCTTATTATTACTACTAGTATGACATTTCTATACCACCTGCAGCTGAAGCTCCCTGGCTGTTTCACACAATATTGAAGCCACTCATCCAGATTTCAACTGGCCTCAGCCCTGCTCAGCTCCCGAGATGAGGCAGGATGGGGCACTTTAGGCTATATGGGAGCTGGCAAGCACGCAAAGGCAAACCGCATTCGAGCTCCAGCAATGGGAGAACGGGGCGGCCGGCAGCACAGGTGCACCTGAAGCCTCAGGAGGGTTGTCCGAGGCAGGGCGAGGTGCGCGCTGGGCGGTGGGGCTCCCTGTGAAAACGGCCTCTCACACTGGGGGGTCGCATCCCACGGGAAAGGTTTCCAACATGGAAAGGTGCAGCATGCGCTTCTGGTGTAGTGGCCACTGGGGTCAGGCGAGGCGCGGGCAGCCCCAGTCCCGATCCCCACGAGCCATGCGAGCAGAAGCCCCTTTGCCCCACACAACACGCCCGACTGCACGGGTGGGAGGGATGCAGGGAGGAGAGGATCCGAGCTCCACCAGTGGTTTGAGTGACCTGCACCGAATCCCAAGCGACGTCTTTCATCACTGTGTGACTTGCTGATGCAATTTTATAGCACATCATGACCCAATGAGACGTTTGCAATGGGATGGTATACAAGAGTTTTCAATTAATAAATAACTAAAAATAGAATTCTGCATCAGTCTGGGTTTTTAAATTATTATTTGCCACCTGGAGTGTCAGATTTGGTGGAAAGGTGGATATAAATTTAAGGAACAAATAAAACCGGGGCCATGTGGGGCCAACTGGTGCCATGGCCTCTGACCCGGATCACCCCTTCTGGGACGGCGCGGATGTGGAGCGTGGCTGCAGCACAGCCTCCGCCTGCACAAGCTCCGCTTTCCAGGGGGCTGGAGGAGCACGAAGCAGCCCCACTCAGCCTGCCCCACGCAGGGGCCCTCCCAGCGCAAGCTGCTCCCGTGGCTGCGCAGAATCGCAGAGAACGACGGTGCAGGCATCGGGGGGGGGGGGGCACAAAGAGGGGGAGGCGATTTGTTCCCTTGCTTCACACCCCACTCCTACCCAGGAAATGGCACTCAAGGGTTAAGAAGGTCAATACTACAACCAAAATATAAAACAAAAACTTGGCTAAAACAGCGAGAAAGCAAACACATTAAAACAGGAGTAAAAATGCAGCAAAGACAGGATAAATGCAATATCCAGCCAAACAGACCAACTCACATGCGGAAGGCATGTTTGCATTTTAAAAAGCCTCTGCCGGTGGGCCCAGTGCCACCAGAGAGGAGCCACAGGGGCCTTCCTTGGGGGTGTTTCCCAGCCTGCGAGTGGCCGGCAAAAAGACCCTCTCCCACGTCGCCAGTGGTGCCTCCAGCGCCCACAGCCCTGGTTGCTGTCCTGGAGCAGAACGTGGCTGCACGACTCGGACTTCGGGTTTGCCTTCAAACTGAGGCAGAGGCAGCATTTCTTGGGAACGCAGAGACAGAGCTGGTCCTTCCATGAGGCAGGGCGAGGCATCTGCGTTGGGCAGTGGGCTGCACCGATCCCAGCCCTCCGGGGGGGCCGCGGCTTGCGTGCCACCACCTCCAGCGGGTGCTCCGACGAGGTGCCCCGGCTGCTCTCCTGCCATGGCATTGGCCTTGCGGGCTCTTTGGGACAGCTGCCTGCCCCTTTTCTCCTTCATCACCAGATGCTGTTTTGCGACCCACTCCTTCCAGCCACACAGCTCTCCAGAGCTGACATGGTCGGAAGAAAGACAAGGGACACGCTCTGGTCTCAGGCAGCAAGAGACTTTGCACCAGGGCCGATGGTGAAGGTTGTGCCTGAGCGGGCACCTTGAGCCTCACACGTTCCACTGCCTTCCCCTTGGACATTTGGCAAACCCCTCGGGGCAGGTGCCCAAGGTGGGAAATGCCAGCAATGCCCTGAGTTTGCCCAAGCATGTAGAGGCTGCCTTACAGCATGACAAGCCACACCCAGAGTTTGAGACGGGTGGAGAGCAGGCTCTTGTTGAAACATGGGTTACGGAAGTTCACAGGGTAATGTTGGGCCAGTCGCTGGCTAGCCTACTCTGGGGCTTGTTGTGAGAATAAAGTTGAGAGGAGGATTATGTAAACCACCATGAAAAAGAACAGGTGAAATATAAATTTAATAAAAAAGTGTTGTCTAAACCCAGCTGCACCCATAAACCATGGTGTGTTCACCACAAACAACCTATGAAGAAAATCCATGGGTTAGTTCCTGGGTTGTGAAATGTAGGTTGTTTGTGCTGAACAAACCTTGACTTCTTATTCTGGATTCTGGCAACAGAATAGCCCTTACTTCAAAAACAACCCATGGTTTAATGACAGCCCATATTCAACCCTTGAGTGTCTGAACCCAGCCACTGAGTCAGATCCTTGGTCCATCTAAACCAATACAGTCAGCCCTGACTGGCCGCTCCAGGACTTCAGACAGGGGCTTTCCCAGGCCTGCCTGCATATGTCAGGGTTCAAATCTTCGCCATGAAGCCGATGGTCCCTCCCACCTGTAATTAGCACTGAGCCAATCCACCTTGGAGCCCTCCTCGTGCTCTGATGAGTCCTGACACATTACAGTGAGGCTTGTGTGGAGGACACAAGGACCGGAAGGGACTCTTGCACTCCGACCTCCTGACTGGGCCAAGGGCCAGCATAAGACATTCTGCAGCCAGAGGGAAAGGTGCCCCCTCCCCTCCCCTCCCCTCTGCTCCCCTCCCCTTCCTGCCTTCCAGGTGCAAAGCCTGGTCCAGAACTATTGGCACGGGAGGTAGAATATCCTACAAGTGCCTCTCCCCAGAAGGAAATCATATTTTAATAAGACACTCTTTCACTAGAATTAGCTACCCTTCAATGACATCCCAGACCAGTCACTTGGAGGGGCTGCTTTACTCCAGCCAATGGCAGAGCCAGCCTGGCATCACACCCCACGTCTGCCACTGCCCTGAGGTCCCTGCAGAGCGCTCCCTCCGCCTGCAGCCCATCTGGATGGCTTCAGCCTGAGGAGGCGGCAGCACAGCAGCAAGACCCAGGCACTGATGTGCACACATGAAACATCTGAAGGCCAACAAAGTCTTCCAAGAGCACATTTTCCAGCGTGCAGCTCCTTTGCTGAGGAAACTGCCCAGGCTGCTTACTGGTACCAGGTGGGGTGTAAGCTTCTGCTACTGGTGCATAAAGCCCCACGCAATTTGGGGCCAGGCTATTCTCCCTTATCAACCTGCCAGGTCCATGAGGTCACCTCCTGGGATGCTCTTGGTGGTTCTGCATGGACTTCCAGCCCAACCAGGTCCCCTGGAGAACAGCCTGCAGCGGGATTTCCCATTCTATGGCACGCCCTGCAAACAGGCACCAAACTGTGTTATTGCCGGCACTCCCAAAAACTTTCTGAATGACTGGCCTAGGTTTTACTGATAGCCTGTTTTTAACACATTGGGGTGCAGTTTTTTAAAATCTTTCAATTGCTCTCCACTTCAGAATCTGTGGAGCAGGGATACAGAATGCTGCAAGTAATTGCAAAAAATAATACTTTGTATGTGTGAAAGAACAGCTTGTCATGCTAACAGAACTTTCCACATATGCCTGGAGGTTAGAAGTGCCTCTGTCCTACGGATGCAGACATATGGGCAGCTAATTAAATTAAATCCGAGTAAGCAAATTACAATTGATGCAATGGGAGGTACTTCTAAGCGGCCACTTCAGATTGTGCTGCATGAAGTGCGTGGGGAGGGAAATAATCCTCCCAGAGCGTTACACACCCCTGCCCTAGAATGAGGATGTGGGTATAACAGATGAACAGCGTTCACTTGTCTGTGAAACTTCCAAAGGAGTAGATAAGAAAGTGCTTCTGAGCATGCACAGAGTGATCCTTTCCTGCTGTTGCACAGTTGCAAGCAACATCCCACCCTAGTGCATTGAAAAAGGGAGAGACGGACTGTATAAACCATCTGGATTCCGAGTTGGTGCTTTCTGATTTATCCCAGGAAAGCATCTTTCCTAGGTTGCTTAGCAGAGAAAGCCAGAGACCCAGGTGGGCACCTTACGCATGCTGAGCAGGCCGCAGCCGTAAGAAGACAACTGAGAAACCGGGTCGGGTCACTGGTCCAGCACGGTCTACCTTGACTCACTTGAGCCGAGCCGACCCAGACCTCTTTTCCCCAGCCAGGCCAGGGGCTCCTCGGGGGGCAGCACAGGCCCTTCTGCTGTGGCTCCGCCGTGTGGGCCCCAGAAGGGCATGTCCCCCGCAGAGTGCTGCAGCCACCCTGCTGGTCGGGGAGCGGGTGCCACGGGGGGCGGCCCCTGCCGTGGCAGCCGCCCGCCCGCCCGCCCGCCCGCCGGACTCACCTGGTCCACGTGGCACTCCCGCTCACAGGTGCTCTGCGCATCCACCCAGAGGTTGGGGTTCAGCTGGTTGGGGCACACGCCCAGGTGGCTCATTCGGATTGGCTGCAGGCTGGCCCCTTCTGCCAGGACAGAGAGCAGAGAGAGGATCAGTGGCGGCAGCATGGGTCTGGGTGGTGCTCCGGGCTGCCCCTCCAAGCCTTCTCGGGCAGCCTTCTCTTCGGAGTCCTCTGCCTGCAGCAGTCCAGACAGGCATCCGGCTGCAGCAGGCTCCTGGACCCACTGCGTGTCTCTCTCTTCCCTCCACCCCAGCCAAGAGCCGTCTTCCACTTTGCCCTGTGTGATAGACAAAACAATCACATCCGCAACGATTGGAGGGGGAGAGGAGGCAGAGGAAGGGAGAAAGAGGGAAAGATAAAGGGAAGGCAAGGGGAGCGCTCCTTTTCTTTCTCTCCCCGCTCCCTTCTTAATTCCCTCCGCACAATCTCTTCATCTTATCTCGGCCTTGACGCCTAGTGCCCATTCCGCACCACCACGCCTCCGCCGCCGCCACCACTTTCCAGCTCCAGAATTCCACAAGGGCCTTCCACAAAGGAGCATCATTCAGGAGCCGGCGCATCCATTCACCGCTCTTCAGGAGATGCAGCTCCCGCTCTGCTCTCCTCAGACTTCATTCAACCGTGGGTGCTGTTGCAGATGGGGCTCTGTTTTGCCTTCTCCACAGTGAAGGAGTTCTTCCAGTTCCTAAGACTCTAAACAACTTTAGAAAATTTTGAACACCTCACCGGAGAAAGACCAACGTAGTTCTCTATTTTTTCAAAATCTCTTCAGGGCAACTGGGGAGCACAACTGGTCAGATCAAACTCCTGACCAGTCCTAAAGCAGCTCTGGGTGTGTGTCTGGGCTGGGGGGAAAGAAAAAGCAGGAGGAGGAGGAGGAGGAGGAGGGGGTTGTAACCTGAATCTCCTCCCCTCTCACCCATGCGTCTGGGAGTTTGGAATGGAAAAGAGACTGACCTCAGACGCTAACCCTGTCTGGGTTGATCGACTGGGCAAACACTAGGAAGAGATCAAAGGGGGGCAAGAGCGCTGTAGAGCCCCCCGCCTTCCTAGACAGACAGACAGACACCTACCAAGTCGGGTGAATTCTTTCAGAATGAGAGAACACCCAAAGGCCTCAGGTCCACTTGAAGCCGGGCTGACCATGCCATGCCTTGCAGGGTGCAGACAAGCACGGACCTCTCGCACAGGACCTGGGCATGTTTTCTTTGAGTGAAGGGAGACAGTTCCTCCCACAACTGCGGTCAAGCACGATGCAAGTAATGCAGGAGATTGCAATCCACAGCTGTGCTGAGAGGTGGCTGAGGCAGGGCAGGTGATACATCGCAGGAGCAGGAATGGAAGGACTCCCTGGAAAACAGGATGCAGAATTCGGAAGAGCCTCCAGTGTGGAAACCTGGGAAGCATGGGGCGGACCTGCATTCGTGGGGAGGCAGTGTGGCTTAATGGGCAGCGTGTTTGAGTAGGCTTGGAGGGAGACCCAGGTTCAAATCCCCACCCGGTCACAGAGCCGGTCACGCTGAGTGCAACCTACTTCACAGGGTCCTGTTGGGGAAAGACTAGTGGAGGGAACCATATTGGTTGACCTAAGCAACTCGGAAGAAAGGGAAGAGAACGATGCATTCAATAAAGCCATGCACCAGTGGCGGTACATTTGAGTGCAGGAGTTCATCATGACGGCCATGCCACCCCTCCCAGGAGACATTATACATGAGAAAACGAGAGAGAGTCATGTGATATATATAAATAATTCCAGCTTTCCTCTTTTTTTATACAGAAAGGAGCTAACTTTCTGGTTATATTCCATAATGAAACAGACATCCAAAACAAACCACAAATAAGATCTCACAATTAAGTTTAGAGGCCATGTCTGGGATATAACTATGCCATGTGGAAGAAAGTCGCATTGCGTACTTGATTCATAACTGCAAAGGTTCAGCTTGAACTGTGCAGGTGCAGACAGAAAAGTATCCTACAAGTCCCAGGATGACTTGTTGGGACACACTAGGAATGGTAGGCCTTCCCCCCTCAAAACATGCATGCAATTGCATCCGAAAACACTCTGAGCTTTAACAAAAACAATCTTGCAGAAAAAATGTGACCATTAAAATCTGCTAGCGGGAAGGAGAAAGGCCATCAGAAGAAAAGGGAAGATGTGAGCAGCTTCTGTTTAACCCCTTTCCTTGTCCGCTGGTTTCCTCTTTGCTGATCTGCCCCAAACTGTAGTAAAACCTGAACGCCGGATGATCACCTGACTGGCTTGCCAGAGGAAGGAGGTTCTGGCGTTCTGGCAGACAATGGCACCGTTCCTGCTCTGAAAGTGTCCTGGAGCTGAGCCCCGCCACTCTGCTGCTGGCCAGCCTGACCTTCCCTTCCATTGTCCAGAGTTTTATCCCACTTGTGCCACTGGCAAGCACACCTGAAAACGGCAAGCCATGTTTTTTTCTTTGCGAGAGCCCCGGGATCAGCCAGCTGGAGCCGAATACAGAAGACATACTCATGGTCCTAGAATATGTGAACCCTCGAGTTGCTACAGAGTGCCAGAGCTGAACGTAGCTCTTCCACACAGAAATCCACTCCTGTTTACATTAGGCAGGATGCACTTTCGAAGCAAAATTTAGGATCTTGCATTTCAGAAGCAAAACGTAAGGTTGGGCTCATTCTGCTGCTGTCTCCTTACACAGTTGGAAGTCAAAACTCTTTGACGTACTTCAGTCTTTGCAGCAGCTGCCCACAGAAAACCACTATGGCACATGCATGCAAAGCACCCTCCTACCCATGTTCCCCAGCAACTTGTGCACATAGGCATACCACCTCTGATAAGTGGAGGCAACATATAGCCCTCAGAACCATTTGCCATGTTAGCTCTCACCAAATAATTGTCCAGTCCCCTTTGACAGCCACCCAAATTGATGGCGTATCTTGCACATTGATTGCAAGATGTGCCATCAATGTGCAAGATGTGCTTGATGGCACATCTATGTGCTGTGTGAAGAGTTCCTTTCTTTTGTTTGTCCTGAATCTCCCACCACGGGTTCCACACTTATGGGAAAAGAAGAAGAAGGTCTCCCAATTCACACCATGCATAGATCTGTGCTCCTCTGTTACGTTCAGGCACTGCTAGGATGGGTCCACAGCTTCCCCACTAGGAAACTGCAAGTCTGTTGAAGGTATCTGGCTATTTATAGATTTGCACTTATGCACGTGGATCAGCATTTGCAAACTTTATGCAAATCAATACCCCCCAGCGCAGCCACCCTGGAATTCTCAGAGGCATGGTGTTTAAACCCGGGTTGTCAACAAAGCACTGAATGGGTTGTGTGTTTGACGTCAGAAAACGATTTTCCTTGTTCGTAGGGTCCCTGTGGGTGCAGTACAACCAGTGTCCAAAGTTGGGGGAACAGCCAGGCCCAGAACAAGCTAGTACCATGTTGTGGCATGAAGTGTGTATGTGTGTAAGATGCTGTCAGCCCTGCAGACCCCAATGAGAAGACCTCACGCTGGAGGTACCTTCCCAACCACCCCTTGCTCAGCACAGCCCTTCCTTCTTCAGCCTGCCAAATGGATGAGCAGCAGTCGTGCATACATGTTTGTGTGTGTGTGTGTATGTGGGGGGGGGGATTTGGGGGCTTGAGTTCCTGCAGCAGGCTGCAGTCCAGGCCACATGAGGCCCTCAGCTTGCTCACAGGCTTGTTCCTCGGAGTTCAGATCGTGTGACCGTGGCGATTAACCCAAGCCGCTGTGGAGAGAAGCGGAGCAGCTCCCAGTCTGTTTATCACGTCTGGATGCACAGTGGCTGTAGCTGCTGGCTGGGGCAGCAGTGAAGAGCCTGCCCAACCAAGGCCTCGACCAGGAAAGGCTGGCACAAGCACCAGGCAACTGCATGAGCGTTCCCTCCAAGACTCAGCTAATCATTAAATAATTTTGATGCTTTTTGCCTGCTCCGTGCAGCACGCAGGTGGCCCCTCTCATGTGCAGTGGGGCTGTCTGAGTACACGGAAAACTTCAAAAGCAACAGTGCAGGTTCCTTCTTAGGATTCGTTCAGGGACATTTAGGATACGATGCTTCCTGGGCTGCCCTGAGAATAAGCCCCGTTGAATTAAGTAGACTTTACGTCTGAGTAGACATACCTGGGATTGCACTGCTAGTCAAAAGATTTAATTGACTTGATATACAACTTGATTAAAGACCTTTTGACCTTCTAAAAAGATGCTCCCCGGTTAATTGGGCTGCACATTTTGGAAAGACTCGCTGAATTATTCAATAACTATGATGATTCTGTATCAAGGAAAGGGGGAAATTGTGGCTGGCAGCCACCGGCATAGAAAAGCATTTCCTTTCCTCGCTCACTTGTGCAGAATGTGATGTCTCTCCTGCAGTGGTGCTGCTTACAGGAGGAAGTCGGCCCAAAGCTTAATGAAAGGACAACCAAGTGGCTATTCTTTCTTGGTCTGGCTGCATTCCTGGGCAAATGGATGCAGATTCAGTCCATCAGCTACAGTTCATATCATTCAGAAACTAAAATGTCTTTTACTGGGTGCAGTCCAGATGCCACGCCAGCACCTTCGTGCAATTACCGTACAGCCTGCTCTCCTTATAGGCTGCAGTCCTATAGCCCATCCCACTGAGCTGAGCGGAATCCTCATGGGACTCCAGGACTTTTCTCGGACTGGACATGTGGGGCTGCACCGCTTGTTCCCATGGGAATCCACTGTTCTTCAGTTGTAACTATCTTGCTCCATGGATTTCCAGGGAAGCCAAGTGAAACAGCCAGAGGCAGAGCAAGTATGCCAAAGGTTCTCTCCACAGCATCTCCAGATTGCACTGGGAATGACCCTGGAAGTGCCGTGGAGAACCAGGGCCTCCACTCTGGACCGCGACTCTGACTTGACCTGCAGCGGCTTCCTAGTTCCAGCAGTCTCCACACAGGAACTCCACTCAGAAACCAAAGATCTGAGAATGGGAAGATTAGACTTCAGAAACTGCTTGTATCACGTCCTCCCAAGGGAACCAGAACTGGCTTCCCGGATTGGTAGCAGAGCCTCGGAGAGGCGGCTTTGCAGCCCATCACACCGGGGACCTTCGGCAGGCAAGGCATCCACTCTTCCGCTTTCAGAGCAGGCCAGTCCTCCAATGGCCAACCCAACATGGCACAGGAAACAGATCTTGACCTTCCTCTTTTTGATAACTTTTGAGATCCTTACAGAGGGATATCGTGTCCCCCCTCAGTCTTCTCAAGACCGAACATGCCCAGCTCTCTCTCCTCACAGGGCAGTGTCTCCAAACCCGGGATCATTTTTGTTGCCTTCCTCTGGACCCTCTCTAATTTTTCTGCA